TCATGGACGGTAAGATAAGAGCGGATCAATCGGCGCCACACCTCCGATAACAGCACGCATGGGTCAAGTCAATCGATTGGGATGGCCAATCAGGGTGCACTTGAAGCTTCGGCCGTAAAATCTGGCGACGAGTAACCGACGACCCGACCCTTCAACCACGCGACGTCCTACACAAGACCGAATAAACACCCACGGCGGACGGCCCAATAGCGCCTCAACTGGACGCTGAACTGCCCTCTCATAACCGGCCGCAATGGCTTCCGTCCACTGTTCTCGGGGCCTGACGGTGCCAAGGTCTAGCCTGCGGCTGGCGCCCCGGATCACGCCCATCATCGCTTGGACGGCTCCTTTTTCCACTACACCCGCCGTCAGCAAGGTGGCTGGGGCCCCCAAGAAGGCTTTTCAGGTGATCGGCAGACACATTCGTCGCGGAAAGGTTGCCCAGAACTCGAAGAAGAAGCCCCAGATTGTACGAGCCAAGAAGCCCCAGCCAGGCCAACGCAAGGCCTTCCGAAAACGCATCCAGCTCAGCAACAACAACGCCGCTGTCGTCGATGGCCTCCCCGTCCTAGAGGCCGAGACGATGGCGAACAAGGAAAATCTCTGCAGGATGGTCGGCCTCCCGGACAAGCTCGTGGATCAGCTGCGTGCGTTGGAAGCGTTCAAGCCGACACAGTTCTGGGGCTTGTTTAGGAAGCCTCACATGCTCGTACGGACCGAGACGGTCTCCCTCATGGAGAGATTGAATGAGGCGGCGACGCAAAAGCAGACTCTGCGGACAGTCCTGACTGGGGGGAAGAACTCGGGCAAGAGCCTCATGCTGCTTCAGGCCATGTCGCACGGACTGCTCAACGAATGGGTTGTCATTAACATTCCCGAAGGTTTGCTTCCACCCTTGTCTCCCTCTCACCCTCGCCCTTGTACAACGTTTTCCAGACACCCAAAGCTAACCGTGCATGACACCTCCGGCAGCCCAAGACCTCGTCAATGCAAACACCGAGTACTCTCCCATCCCGAATAGTTCTCCCCTCCAATTTTTCCAGCCCGCGTACTGCCTTGCCCTCCTCCAAAAGATCGCCAAGGCCAACGGCGAGGTGCTCAAGCAGTACAAGCTCAGCAAAGACTACAGCGAGCTCCAGCTGATCCATCTCCCGGAGGACGGAACGCTGTACGACCTGGCCGCCGCCGCCAAGGAAGCCGAGTTCGCCTGGCCGGTCGTGCAAGCGCTCTGGCACGAACTCACCGCCGTCCCCGGCCGGCCGCCCGTCCTCGTCACCATCGACGGCCTCTCCCACCTCATGAAGCAGAGCGCCTACCGCGACCCGTCCTTCCACATCGTCCACGCCCACGACCTGACCCTCGTGCGCCTCCTCGTCGACGCCCTGGCGGGAAACACGGCCTTCGCCAACGGCGGCGCCGTGCTGGCCGGCACGAGCCGCAGCAACGCCCCGCGGTCCCCCAGCATGGACCTCGCGCTGGCGCAGGTGGCTGCCGAGAAGGCGGGCGAGGTGGCGCCGTCGCCGGACCCGTACCGCCGCGACTACGACGCGCGCGTGTATGAGGCGGTGCGGAACGTGGATGTCCTCGAGGTGAATGGCATCAGCAAGCTGGAGGCCCGGGCGGTGATGGAGTACTGGGCTGCGAGCGGCGTGTTGCGCAGCCAGGTTAATGAGACCACGGTGACGGAGAAGTGGTCTCTTAGTGGGCATGGCATTCTGGGTGAGATGGAGAGGGCGGCGCTTGAGAATAGCAGGCTGTAAGAGAATGAAAGGGGGAATAGGGAGAGAGTGATGAGGGGGGTTGATCAGTGTCGCTCTATCCCGTGTATCATGCGCAGCATAGTGTAAAATGTAATTATTTATTTCTTTTGGTTCTTCTCTTCGTTCCCTGTCGCCTCCTCCATAATTCTCACATAGCCCAACGCCATACCAAGCATTGCGAGAGGCCAAGTCTCGAACACAGCATAATGAAAGAAAAGACGAAAAGAAAGAAGAAGAAGAAAAAAGACGTGATATATGATCGCCAGCTCGAAACGAAACAGGAAGATGCGGCAACGGTCTACACTTGGTCAAAGTTACAGCTCCATGCTGTTGTCCCTTTCTGCGTCGTTGCCCGAGGCATTGATGAAGACAAGTCTCGTCATGTTGCCCGCCGTTTGCCAGATCTGTTTCGATGGTTAGCAGCATTCTTCTTGAAGAAGAAGATATAATGAATAGTAAAGAAGCGTGACTGGGGCTGTTGGGTGTAGAAAGGGAAGAACGGACGTCAAGCTCAGTATACTCCTCCAAAGCAGCCAACCACTGATCCTCCGTGAAGCCCTTGGCAATGACGCGCTCCTTGACCTTCCGCAGGTTCAGCTCGACACCAAACTCATCCTCGTCGTCGTCGTCCACATCGTCGGGGCGGCAGGCACCGCTGTCGGCGAGGGCCTTGACGAGGTTATAGATGCGGCTGCTGGCATTGAGGCGGCCGCGGCCGGCGCCCTGGTCGGTGGCCAGGCTCTCCTTGGAGGCCTCGAGCAGGCGGAGGGCCTCGTCGAGGTCGTCCTGCTCGACGACGTTGCTGAAGCGCAGGCGGGCGAGGGCCTGGGCGAGGCGGATGACGCCCAGGAGCGAGCGGGGCGTGACGTGGGCGAACTGCTGGCCCTTCTTCTCGGCGCGCTGCTGGGCGGCGCGCATGCGCACATAGGTCTTGGCCATGTAGTCGGACACGGTGGCGGACAGGGTGGGGCGGTAGGTGCGGGCCTGGGCGATGTAGGAGCGGATCTCGTGCGGGGTGAAGATGACGTCGTCCTCGTTGTTGACGGGCGGGTGGCGGGAGTGCATGTGGACGTAGGCGACGTGGTCGGCGAGCTGGGCGTCGGTTTCGCGGTTCGGGGTGTCGAGGAGGAGGAAGAGGATGTCGAAGCGGGAGAGGAGGGCGGCGGGCAGGTTGATGTTCTCGACGGGCGAGATGCGCGGGTTGTAGCGGCCGTAGACCGGGTTAGCGGCGGCCAGGATGGAGGTGCGGGCGTTGAGGGTGGTGGAGATGCCGGCCTTGGAGATGGAGATGGTCTGCTGCTCCATGACTTCGTGGATGGCGGTGCGGTCGTTGTCGTCCATCTTGTCGAACTCGTCGATGCAGCAGACGCCGTTGTCGGCCAGGACGAGGGCGCCGCCTTCGAGCACCATCTCGTCGGTGACGGGGTCGCGCATGACGGCGGCGGTCAGACCGACGCCGCTGCTGCCACGGCCCGTGGTGTAGACGCCCCGGGGGGCCACCTTGGAGATGTATTTCAGCAGCTGGGACTTGGCGACACCGGGATCACCCATGAGGCAAATGTTGATGTCGCCACGGATCTTCATGCCGTCGCCCACCTCCTTGGTCACGCCGCCGATGAGAAGCAGGAGCAGGGCTTTCTTCACGTCGAGGTGGCCGTAAATCTCGGGGGCGATGGACTTGGCCAGCAGCTCGTAGACTTGGCCCGACTGGCGGTACTTTTCGATGCGTCGGATGAGCTTCGGATCGATGGCCATTTCCGAGTAGGCCAACTTGTGCTGGGAGATGTGGTGGGCCTCGAGGTAGGTATCGGTCAGGAGGCCAGCACGCATGGCCTGGAAGCCGGTGTAAGGGGTCGGCAGGAAGATGCCGGCGATGTCGACGACATCACCGGTGTGGATGGTGCGTACGGTCGTGCCGTAGCAGTGCACGGTAAGGGTTCGGGGGATCTGGCCGATGGGGACCTGCTCGGCCAGCTCCTGGACCTTGACCTCCTGGAAGGGGAGGAACTTGGAGGCGCGGGACGAGGGGTGCAGCTGGCCCTTGGTCTGGTTCGCCTTGCAATCGCTGGACGGACATACGGACAAGGGGCCGAATTGCTTGTCGGTCACGGGCTGGAAGATCTCACAACCGCAGCGGTCGCACGTGTATGCGCTCACTTGGACGAGGGGCTTGACGTCGGAGACTCGGGTGGCGATGCCACGGATGGTGATCATGTGGCCGACATGCTCGGCGCGGACCTCGCGCACGGCCATGGGTTTCTGGGGGTGCTCGAGAGTGGTGGATCTCGGCTTGAAGATCAGGGTATAGCGGCGGGTGAGCTCGGCGGGGAACTTGTCATCGCTGATGGTGGGATCTCCTTCTTGAGAGGCGGCGTTTTCTAGTTCCCTGTTCCGGTCTTGTCTTCTCGCCATCAAGACGTCGAGGACGTCGTCTTTGAAACTGGGCAGCAAGGTCGTCAGCAAGGAAAAGAAGAAGAAGAAGAAAAGAAGAAGAAAAGAAGAAAAAAAGGAAGCTAGAGAAAGAAGACGAAACTTGTTCGAAGTACTATTATCATGACAATGGATGTACGTACGTAATGTCGTTACTCGGCTTGGGCATCTGATTATCGACGGCTCTTGAAAAAATCTCGACATAGCGCTTGGTGTTCGTCTCGATGGACCGGACCAGCTTCAACTGTTCACCGGTGTCGGCCTCATGTTGTCTTTCCCACTGCAAAGATGTGAGATAGCGCCCAATGAACCAAACCAAGGGGCGGGAAATATGGAAAATGGGATAGACCATAGGGCTATGCTCACAGTCTCGAGGTCGTCCAAGTCGATCACTATCTCGCCAGTCTTACGATCGGCCAAGTCTTGTAAGAGCCGCCGATACTTGGGCTGGGGCACACGGCGAGCTTGCTTCTGGCTCCGGGTTCGTCGCGCACCACTGTCGTCATTCATGAATTCGTCTTCGTCCTCATCATCGTCAAGGTCGCCCTCGTCTATTGTGATGTTACCGAGGGCGGTGGATATAGTCTGCTCGGACAAAGCCTTGAAGTCTTGGAGGAAAAGCTCAAAGGCCGCTGCAGGTTGTCATTAGTTCGGGGTTGCTCTTGGAGACGTCGTGGAAGGGAGGGTGTGGGAAGCATGGGCATGGGCCGTACTCTGCTGGGCGCCGTACTGGACAGGCGCCTTGTAACGACGAAGCGCCATGATAACGAGACGGTTGACGACGTTTTGCGAAAGGGGAAATAAAATGTCTTATTGAGTGGGTTCTTATGTGGTTCCGGCCCTTCTTGCGTGGGCAAATGTAGGGAGCGTTGAGGGAGACAATTCGCGACGATAGCAGTAACCGCAGGCCTGGGACTTGGAAGTGGGTTGTTGAACGATTGAACGACGTGCTGTGGTCTCGTCAGGTGCCGTCTGCTGTCTGCCGTCTGTGTCCTGAGTAAGGGTGTGGCGTTCCTGGCCTGGCGCAACAAGGATGTTCGTGTCGTCTGTTGCCAGGTCAGTGGAGTGGAGCTCAAAGAATGAAGGCAAGAGAGAAAAGAACGCGAGTTAAACGCGAATTAAACGCGTCTTCTCTCTTCTCGCGTTCCCGCGACTTGACACCAGCCACAGGTACCTGCGCCGTTGGCATTGGAATTGAGTTTGCTTAGCCACATGTGGCGCTACACTACCTTACCTTGCTTACCTTAGCCATAAGATCTACATACCTACCTGATGGTAAGCATAAGGTCATTTTCACCCAATGAGATGTATCCCGAGTCATGCCTCGGCGGCGTCGGCACATGGCACATGCAAGCAAGTGGTACGGTACAACGTACAAAGTTATCCGTACAAGGTAATACCAAGTACGGGAGTAGGTACGTACGTACATTCAGCAAATCCGGGGATGGAGGGGCCCTGACCCGGTACGTACCGAGTACACTACGACCAACTCAAGATTCGGCCGGCGTCGGCCTCCAGAACCTCTCGAGATCCTCTCCCAGATCCTCTCCCAAGTCTTGCTCCTCTTTTCGAGCCAACTCCCGACATAGTCTCCTTCATTCTTCTCACGACAAGGCCCGGGCTCATAACTTCTCGTTCGTCCTAGTTCAACTAAGGTACTCAACTCAACACGAACATGGCCTCCCGCAATGCCCAGTCGACCGTCGCCGAGCTATCCCTGGTCCATCTGCGCAACTGTCTCGTCAACCTCCCCAACTCCCTGGTCTCCCTCCTAGCCAATGTCAATGCAGTACGAAGCTTCTCCTTCTCCTTCTTCTTCTTCTTTTCTTCTTGTCTGATTTGGGTTCCCCAGCTCTGTCTAGAGCATCTCCGCTAATTCTGTCACTGCAACCAACTATAGCCCGCCCAAAATGTCGTCGTCCAACTCTCCTACCGAAGCCCGACATCTACATCTACCGGACCCGCGGGATCACAGCAGTCTGTCTTTGTAGGATGGACCGGTATGCCGAGTAAGCGCAAGCTTGCGCCCATTGTCGGCCGAGACGGCATCAGCAGTATGCGTGGCCCTGCTTCGGGGCGTGATCAAGAGGTGGCCCTCGTCGAGATGGACGCCACCCTCGCCAACACCCTAGGCCTCTCGGATGGCCAGAAAGTTACCGCCTCCATACATGTCGATCCGCCGTTGGTACACACCATCAACCTTGAACCATTGACGCCGGAAGACTGGGAGATCATCGAGCTCCACGCCACCTTCCTTGAGCTCAATCTCCTCTCGCAAATCCGTGCCCTCCCGAATCCGTCCTACACCTCCCCCTCAGGCGCCCTCGTCCCTCCTCACCCCTTGACCTTGCATCTCTCCCCGACCTCGACCGCCAAGATCAAGGCGGTGTCCCTAGACCCTCCGCCACCCGCCGATATCCCCTTTGCCAAGATCTCTCCCGATGCCGAGGTCATCGTCGCCCCCAAGACCAGGCCGAAAACCACCACGCGCTCCGTCTCCGATAGCCGTAGCGTGGCCAGCACCTCCAAGTCGCGGAGGAGCGGCGGCGGCGGCGGCGGCGGCGGCAGCAGCAGCAACAATGTCCGCAGGCGAAGCTCCCGAGGCGAGCGTAAGCCCAGGATCGTCCTCCGCGGCGTCGACCGAGCGGCGTGCAACAACGATTGGTTCGACCACCACCACCACGAGGACCCGGACCATGTCGCCGCCCCGCAGGACTTCAGCATCTGGGTCGACCACGACGTCTTGCTGTCGCGAGGATTGAAGGGAGTCGACTTTGTTCTGGTCACCGTGCTTCGCAGCTCGAATGCGCAGGCCAACCCGGCGGCGCAACGTCCCCCGCAGGACGAGCAGCAGCCGACGTCGAATCCGTCCGGCCCGGCAGCTCAGATCGTCGCCCATCTCCGAGCTTGGGATGACCCTCCTCCGGATAGCAAACCGGCTGCTTTGTCGTCTCCACTGTGTGCTGCTTTGGGGGTAAGCGGCATGGTGGGCGGCGTGGTGGAGATCGAGCCAGCACCCCAACCTCTGGGTCGGGACGCCGTTCAAAAGCTGGCCGTGTTTCCTTTCGCCACGTCCAAGAAGGTGGCGGAGGGCCTGAAATTCGGCGCCGAATCCAAAGCCGAGAAAGAGGAGGCGGCCAAGGCGTTTAGGCATATATACGGCTCACAGAAAGCGGCCGCCTCCCTACTTAGTGGTCCCCTGACGGACGGCTCGCTCTTCGGTCTCTACGACGGCCTCGAAAGTCCCCAGGGTTGGGAAGGCGGCGTGGTCCGGTTTTATCCGCCACCAAGTTCGTCCGACGCGAAGAGTCCTCCCCGGTGGACACTTGGGCCGAGCGACAAGGTCCACATCGAGTTCCAGCCTCCCATCCCACGGCCCTCCTGGATGACGGAGGATCAAGTCGCCGAGTCTGCTCCGTCGTACCACGGCCTCCTCGTCAGTATTGATCAACTCCTACAGGACCTCCAAAGTAATCTTTCCAACATCTCCTCGACTCTCCTCACCGGCGCGTCGGGGTCCGGCAAGACGTCGGTGGCCAAGTACGTGGCGCAGAAGCTGCGGCAAGACTCTCTGTTCCACACCGTCTATTTCTCCTGCAAAACGCTGGTCAACGACGAGAGCAGGATGGCTTCTATTCGGAATACCCTGAACCAGCTCTTCTTGACGGCAAGCTGGGGTGCCAAGTTCGGAGGCAGGTCGCTGGTCATCCTGGACGACCTCGACACGTCGTGTCCCGTCGAGACGGAGCTGCAGGTGGGAAATGACAACGGCCGAAGCCGCCAGGTGAGCGAGATGATCAGCTCCTTGGCCCGCCAATACTGCAGCCACGAGAGCGGGGTCGTTTTGCTGGCCACGGCAGAAGGCAAGGAGTCGCTGAACGAGACCGTCGTGGGCGGCTCCAACGTGTTCCGGGAGATTCTCGAGCTCAAGTCGCCCAACAAGGAAGCCAGGAGGCAAATACTCGAAGCCATCGTCCGTGAAGACGCAGCTCCCGCTGCCCCCGATGATGCGGTGGACGGTGACGCCGCGTCGTCCTCCCACGATGCGGGCAGCAGCCGACCTACCACTGCCGACGGCAGCAATGCGGCGGCCGAAGAGACCGCGTGGATGGACGGGGGGACTAGTCAGACGAGCCGCGACAACAACAACAACAACAACAACAACAACAACAACAACAACAACAACAACAACAACAACCCCGGAACCAAGGTCAAGGCCAGCCGTTTCGTGCTCGATTCGGACGTCGACTTCCTGGACATCGCAGGCTTGACGGACGGCTACATGCCCAGGGATCTTGGCGTCGTGGTGGAAAGGGCGCAAAACGAAGCCGTCATCCGCTCCGTCAGCGCGTCGTCTACCGCCTCGCCTGGTTTTCTCGGCCGCTCCCCCGTCCGTCTCTGCCGATCCGACTTTGACAACGCGTTGAAGGACTTCACGCCGACGTCGCTTCGTGACGTCTCCCTGCAGAGCTCGACCACCACGTTCAGCTCGATCGGCGGCCTCCAAGAGACGCGCCAGGTCCTGCTGGAGACTCTCCTCTACCCGACCAAATACGCACCCATCTTCGAGAAGTGCCCGCTTCGCCTGCGCTCGGGCCTGTTGCTCTACGGGTATCCCGGCTGCGGCAAGACGCTCCTCGCCAGCGCGGTGGCGGGCGAGTGCGGGCTCAACTTCATCAGCGTCAAGGGCCCCGAGATCCTCAACAAGTACATCGGCGCCTCGGAGAAGAGCGTGCGCGACCTCTTCGAGCGCGCGTCGGCCGCCAAGCCGTCGGTGCTCTTCTTCGACGAATTCGACTCCATCGCCCCGAAGCGAGGCCACGACTCCACCGGCGTGACCGACCGCGTCGTCAACCAGCTCCTGACGCTCATGGACGGCGCCGAGGGCCTCTCGGGCGTGTACGTGCTCGCCGCCACGTCGCGGCCCGACCTGATCGACCCGGCCCTCCTCCGACCGGGGCGTCTCGACAAGTCGCTGCTCTGCGACCTGCCTACCCTCGAGGACCGCGTCGATATCCTGAAAGCCGTGTCGAGGCAGGTGAAGCTCGGCCCCGAGTTGACGGGGGACGGCGACGAGGCGTGGACGGAGATTGCGCGGCGGTGCGAGGCGTTTTCGGGCGCTGACTTGCAGGGTCTCATCTCGAACGCGCAGCTCGAGGCTATCCACGACGTGCTGCGGGGCGACGCTGACGCTGGCGCTGACGCCGACGCTGGCGCTGGTGTCGACGCCGCCGCGTCTACTATCAACGGCAAGACCAGGGCGAAAGCCGACGCCTCGGTGCCGAGCTTCATGCAGTTCCCCTACGATCCGCAGGCCGAGGAGGGTGGTAGTGCGACGGTGCTGGCGCGGTCGAACCAGCTGGTGGAGAAGGCGGCCATCGCGGCCAAGATTGAGAGCATCAAGCAGGCGCGCAAGCGGGCCAGGCGGGCACAGCAGCCTGGTGGGGCGAAGGGGGCAGGCGCGGCGGCGCTGGAGGATAAGGAGGTGGTGGTGGGGTGGAAGCATCTCGTCAAGGCGCTGGCGGGGACCAAGCCGAGCATCAGCGCCCAGGAACGGAACCGGCTGAAGCGGATCTATCATGAGTTTGTGGTGGGGAGGAGCGGCGAGATGAGGGACGGGCAGCCTAGCATGGAGATTGGGGGGCGTAGTAGCCTGATGTGATCACGGTATCGCGCCGTACTTGTCCGATTCGCAGGTGTGGAGTGGGTAGATCATCACGGGGAGGATAGATGCCCTGTTAGATGCCTCCGCTACGAGTCGTTGTCGTTGTCTTATATCTGAGCATCAGTCAAGTGTTCCGTCACCCTGTTCCTGTCATGCCCCATGCCGTCGCAAGTTATCCATCCTCTTTAGGAACATGTCGTATATTCAGGCCCCCGTAACCCAGTCCTTTTCTTTTCTTTTTCTTCCCGTCAATGGAGTGTGAGCTGGATAATCTCTTCCCCCGAAACAAAATATATCGGATTCTGTTCCGAAGCGTCGACGTCTTCGCCAGGAGAGAGTGCTCTCGGGTCGACCAAGGTCACAGGCCTATGCTCTCTAAGAGACTGTGCCTCGTCCGAGTACAGCCATTTAATCTCATACTTCAATCGTTTGGGAGGGAAGGACGAGGAAGCCCTCTCGTTGAAGTGCTCCAGGCATAATTCAAACTTCCCGAGAGTGTAGAGACAAGATTGGCTGCCCGAGTTCAGCTTGTGAGCGTAGGTGCGGCCTTGTACTAAGGAGACCTCTCGCCAGGGTAAATTCTCCAAGTTGGAATTAGTGGACGAGACGGCAGAAAGGGAGTTGTCATCTTTCAAGCTGAGTGATGGTCCTCGAACCTCCGGTGGTTCTGATGGGGTACTCGAGAGCTCAACCTCACTGAGAGAGTCGGGGGACTCTTTCTCCGTGTCAGCCTCCGCTTCAACTTTGCTGCTTCGGTCCGTTTCTTCTTCTTCGACCTCTGGGTTCGCTTCAGAGGCCTGTTTCAGCCCCATGTCGACTCCAGGTTCTACTGGTTGATCAACCGATACCCCCTTGGTGGTATTTGTATTTACAGTGGTTGTTGAACAAGGCAGATTGAGGGCACTGCTCTCATAAGGGTCGGGGTAGCCTGTCGGACGTCTCTGCTGGAGGAGGAATCCGACGCTCTTTCTAGCTTGCAACTCTAGAGAATGATTCAGGCGCTGATGGAGCCCCTGGAGACAGGGCATACATGGTAAACGCCAGCCTTCGTAGAGCCGTCCGTGGGACTGAGGGATGGAATACGTCTTGTGTAAAGCAAAAAGCGAGTTGCAGAGAAAGCAGGCCTTCTTGCTCGACCGGACTACTCGGGGTGGAAGTCGAGGGCGTCTATCTTCCAGGTACGCTAGAATCTGAACTTCGGCATGAATTTTCGACTCTTTCAAGATCCGTCTGACTTTCGACTTGAATTCTTCTCTGAGTTCATTTTCGCTTTTCTTCACAAACTTGGAAAGCTGGACGAAGGCGGATTTTTGAGAATTCTCAGGTGAAATCCTTTTCAGAGTGCGATCGAGTTCAGGCTGATAATGGCCTGGCGTTTGCCGGACAAATGCTTCAGCACCGAGGTCAATCGGAATGACCTTGGCTCGTCGAAGAATCGGGAATCTTCGAGCACTTCTGTACAAGTCCCGGGAGACAATCCGATACTGGGCAACCTTCTTTAAGTTACGGAGGAGAGCCGGGAGAGTTTCTGGGCTCATGATGCGGTTGGGGATAGCATTAAAGAGCCGCGCGATATCCCCTGACTGCGACCAGCGTAGGGCCTCGCCAATGACCGACTCAAGTTCGTCGATTGTTTGGTGATTCTCGAACGACAATAGGGCTGCAAGCATGGGTTTGGAGGCCGCCAGGAACGCCTCAGCCGTCTCCCCCAGTCCGGCCACTTGAAGCTGTTGTCGCATTGATTGCACAGCATTCGATGCCTGCTGAAGGCTGTCACGGAGAGGTGTCCTTATCTTTCCTTTCCTACGACCTTGGTTAGGCTTGATAAAACGTAGTCGACCGACAATCCGTGCGTATGATACAGTGACGACCGCTGTGAAGACCTCTGCTTTCACATGGGGCTCGTCCTCTGCGATGGTAAGCTGGGTGTGTCAATAGTCCCCCAGGGGAAGAATAGCATACTATGAGAAGCGCGCGCCAGGACTTCAAACACGGTCCTGAGACCAGTGGCGACTTTGTCCAAGTACGGCCCCTGGTCTCTCTCCTTCGCTCGGTTGACGGCAACGAGGACATCCAGCCGGTCATCTTTTTGATTCTCTACGATGGACGCCGCGGTGATACAGTTGCTGTCGTTGGACAGGCTGGTTAATAGAGCTACTGCCCCCGCAAGACGGGACTCTCGGTCAATGGGGAGGATCCTCGTCCCCTGACCAGCTCCGAGACTGAGATCAGTGACGGGGTGGGTGGAAGGGAGGATCGGAACTTTGTGAAGAAGGGATAAGAAGGCTGCATTCTCAGCGCAGATTACAACCGGCGAGTTGCTTCCCGAGTCTGTGCTGACGGTCATGTCTTCTTGTCCAAAGGGATAGGGGTATGATTATGAGCGACGAAGGCTAGTTGATGATATTGTTTCGCCGTTGTCAGTTCTCTGCTCATGAGCATGGCCATGCTATCTATCTCTACGACCATGAAAAGCAAACGGTTCTTCTCTGATTTCCCTGTGTCTCGACAGTTCCCCCGTTCCCCCAAATACTTTGACCTCCATGAGGCCATATGCAGGAGGCCATCCACATGCATTCTCGACCCCCAAGACACGACGCAACTGCGCAAGAGTTAACCCAATCACACAGCCACACAGGAAACAGTGGGTGACGCATGCGGGAGGCCGTCGCTCCCGCACCAGACTCCAACACAGCAACAACACCACTAGCATCATTTTGTTAGGTCCTGATAGGGAGAATGCATGCATCTATTCCGCGAGGGGTCTGCGCATAGGACGGAGAGAGATCATGCTTTCCATTGCAGAAAAAGAACACACCAAGATTCCCAAACATATAGAGTGCTGCTTTGCGTACTGGATATTTAAACATCGATTTGCTCCCCGGAGGCATTGTGACGAGTCGGTATGGAGCCGTGATGGTCTGAGCCTTGAGGAAACCGTGTGACGCTGCCGAGGGGGCGCTTTCTGATTGCTCAGAAAATCGGCGTCACGTGAGGTGACTAATCCGCCCACCACCCCAGCATGTACCAGAGCCTGCCTCGTGATGTATCTATCTCTCTAGGTCAACCTCTCTCTCGAATACATAAAGCCGGCCTCTTCCCTGGCGTCAGCGCTCCAACCTCTTCCTCGTCTTCATCATTTCGCCAGAGCGCCCAATAAGAAAAATGCCGCAGCGCCCTCCAGAGCATCGCCTCCCTTCCCGCCCGGTCGTATCCTCCCAGCTCATCACGTCCGACAAATCCGACGGCCATGACGAGTCCCGCTTGTCCGAGAAGCGTGTGCTCGCTCCTTGGTGAGACTCCTCTTACGTATCAAACTCTTTGGAGACGGGGGTCTGAGTAGCCGGGGAAACTTCTTGGCTTGATCACAACGTCCGGCTCGGACAACCTCCGATCTGGACAGCCATCCGCCAACGAAGGGGCCTTTTCGCCCGAGAAGCTCGTATCTGCCTTGCGAGACGGTTTCATGCAGCCTAAGCGTTTCGCTCCTAGGCATAGGGTCTGAGTGGTCAAGAAAGCAGAAAGCCCTTCATCATCGCCGATCACACGGCACGGCCAACCGTCAACGGTAATTCAACCTCACGAGGGACGAGAACGGCCTCGTATCTGCCTGGCGAGGCAGATTCAATCACGCCCGTAGACGCTAGGGCAAGAGATGGCCCAGAAGCCGAGGGGGCGGCAGCGAGGAAGAGCGTCACCACAGCTGTCCCGAGCACGGGCGAAATAGCGTTAGAGGACGCTAGGCCAGGATAGAAGCGGGCTGTATTGGCGACCTCTAGCGTGCAGGCGCTCCGAAAGCGTTGATCGACTCAGTCCAGGTATTCAGTCTTGTTTCTCCGACGTCGGCAGTAGGGAACGATTCTCAGTGTGAGCATCCCAAAGTACCGCCCAAACCAAATCCCGGCTCTATCGCTTTCCGGTCTCCCATTCAATGCTAGTCTGGCAGACATACTAACATACCTAGTTCAGGGCGCCGCCGGCATGTAGCTGCGACGATTCCAAGCTCCGCTATACGAGCCAGTGTATCGCATTCTGATTGGATGGCTACTACCTGAGGTGGTACCCAGGAAGGCACTGACCTGGACCCCAAATCCGATCACCAACCTAGAACCGCCAACACCCTTCACCTGAGATCGTATCTGCCATCCTATGAGCAATTGTCAAGGCGTCGCTCCGTAGTCAATGAGGCCTTTTCTGCGACTCCACGCGACCTTGTCGCCTGGGCATGGGCACCTGCGACGGCCTCATTACACTCGAATTTCTCGACGCACCGCACCGTTTGGTCCAACCCTATCCAAATCGCGTTCTCTGACCATGTCAACCTCCGCCTTCAAGTGCCACTATATCGAGCATGTCGAAGACATTGAAGACTACAAAAATCACGGCTACCATCCGATTCACATCGACGACCGTCTCCAAGACCGCTACCGCATCGTTCACAAGCTTGGCCACGGCTCATTCTCGACGGCTTGGCTGGCCCATGACGAGCGGACTGCCAGCTATGTCGCCGTCAAGGTCGGTACTGCTGATGCTGAAACAAAAGAGCTGGACATCTTGTCCCAATTGACGCACGAGACCGCTCACGCGAAGACAATGATACCTGTCGTCCTGGATCGGTTTGAGATGAATGGCCCGAATGGCACTCATCCATGCCTTGTCACGGTGCCGGCGCGATGTAGCCTGAGGGCTTCTAAGGAGGCTTCCAAGTTCAGGATGTTCCAGCTCGAGGTTGCAAGAGCACTGGCGACGCAGCTTCTTCTCGCCATCTCTTTCATCCATTCCCAAGGCTATGCCCATGGAGGTTCGTCTGCTGCCCCAATTGTGTTTGTGTGCTTGGTTCATTCTGCTTACGCCAAAGTCCAGATCTTCATCTCGGGAACTTGCTCCTCCGAATGGATTCGTCTCTCGACAAACTGTCTGTGGAAGAGCTTTACGCCAAGTTGGGCGCCCCGGAGCGGGTATCTGTTGAACGCGTCGATGGCGCACCCACTTCATCGGACCCAGGTGTTCCTGTGTACGCCGTCCCACCCGTATGGCTCGGCATCGCCAGTGACAAGCTTCCCCTGGGCGAAGCAAGACTCCTCTTGAGCGATTTCGGCGTCGCGTTCCGCCCGGAAGACAAGGACCGCTTCGAGTCCTACACCCCCCTCATCTACCGACCTCCCGAGGCTTTCTTCCAGCCGCCCAAGACGCCGCTGACCCTAGCATCCGACATATGGAGTCTTGGTTGCGTTGTCTTCGAGCTCTTTGCGCACCGGTCACTCATTGATGGCATAATTACGCCACAAGACGATATCACGGTGCAGCAGGTCCACCTCCAAGGCCGTATGCCTGATGAGTGGTGGGAGAGCTGGGAAGAGCGCCCCAAGTAGTTCGACGACGCAGGCAACGCGCTAAGTCCGGAGGGAGACGTCTTTTCGTGGGAGAAGCGGTTTGCCGAATGGGTACAGGAGACACGACGGGAATTTAACACTGGCGTCATTCCGCAGGCAGAGTTTCAGGCGCTTCTGGCGCTCTTGAAGCGCATGCTTGCGTGGAAGCCCGAGGACCGGCCGACCATTACCCAGGTACTCGACTCGGACTGGGCGAGGAACTGGGGTTTGCCGGCCTATCAGGCGAGTCTGAATCAAGGATCGAAAAGATGCCGTCAAAGACTAGCAGCTTACGTGGCGACAAACGAACAATATCCAAGGCACTTTCGCGTGGCCGCCTCTGCTTAGGGGCTGCCAACGTGCTTATGGTGCAGGTGCCTAGTCTTGGCCCCGGGCTACTCATCACAAGGGCTGAATCGGCCTGTAGTTGCTGAGTAGTCCTGCAGACTTGCTCTCGCACTTCAAGTTGCTGATATGAACGAGACATGCTGTAAATTGGAATGGTCGCCATAGTCAACAACTACCTCAAGAACGACTGCACAAGCAGTCAGGCCTTTATGGATATACTTAAGTGCAGTCAGCTCATACAGCCTTGCCTCTGAAGGGCCAGCAACCGCGCCCCCTCCTATTGCTCGAACATCGTACTTGGTCCTGGTCAGCTCATAAAGGGGCCTTGGAACCGATGGGAGCCGTCTGGGAGGGCGGTTGTGCGTGGTGTGGTTCAAAAGCAATATCAGCGTCGAGATCAATCAAGCTCGCGGTTGATATGCGGTTCCAGTCGAGAGAGGTCGAGTTGAGCTCGGGCTGGCAGTATCTGACTCTTCTGAAATTGAGCCACCTGGTCTTTCTGTCTGGGGGAAAGTCCAGTCCCTGGGGTCGGTGACGTGCTATTCCGTCGCTCGTCTGCGGCCTGCGCCGGGCAGGCTCGATATCAGCCGCCTGGGCAGTCGTGTCCTGTTGCAAACCAAGGAGTATCCGAGCCCGTATAGAATCTTCCGTAGAAGATACGACTGTTTTCGTTATACTTGGAGATGGTGCCGGAATCAAAAACCACCTGGGAGAGTGGAGACATGTACTTACTAGGGGTAATCGGGGAGGCTAAAACCCGCAGCCTCTGGCACACAGAAAACCGCTCCTCTGGCAGCATCACACGCACTTCATGGTGGAAGTGAGAAAGTGAGGTCCGATTAAGGTCTCGGTGAACAGGCGGGAAAGTGTGTCCCTTCTCTCGGTGTGTCGGGCTCCCCCACTTCTACTTTCTGCAGAGAGGGGCGTGGAGTAATAAGATAAGATAAAGCCAGAGGGGTGTCTGTATCTATGTATTCTTCGAGGGTCACGAAAATTTCCCAGTCTTTTTCCACCAACGCCGTCGCCGTCACCGAAACTTGACCTGCTCCTGCGATCCGCGGTCAACACAATCAATCCCCATTGCCCGCCATGGCTCCCTTTGTCAAACCCAGTGAAGCCGAGCTAGAACGGCGGAGAGTGAGTCTTTCTCTGTCTTTGCCCTCGCCCTTGCCCTTGCTATTTAATACGCTTAGCCATCCACCCAACAACTAATCACTGGCAGACCATCCAAATCAACGATGAAACGGTAACCAACATCAGCTCGACCGACTTCCCCGGCCACTACCCAGGCGAGGACAACAGCTGGTCCTTCGAAACCTTCAAGAACACCTTCCGCGTCGAGCACCACTACCTCACGCCCGCCGAGTCCTCCTTCTCCCTCATCGGCGCCGACGCCGCCATCGCCAACGCCCTCCGTCGCATCCTCATCTCCGAGATCCCCACCCTCGCCATCGAGACCGTCTACGTCTACAACAACACCTCCGTGATCCAGGATGAGGTCCTCTGCCACCGTCTCGGCCTGATCCCCTTCACCGGCAGCAAGAAGGGCATCCGCGAGTTCCTGCGCTGGCGCCGCAAGGCCGAAGACGGCACCCCGGGCCCCGTCTACGACTACAACACCGTCCAGCTCCGCCTCCAGGTCGAGTGCACCCGCAACCCGTCCGCCGCCCCGGACGAGCGGGAACCCACCAAGCTCTACCACCACGCCCACGTCTACGCCCGCGACATCGAGTTCGTCCCCGCCGGCCGCCAGGCCGACCTCTTCCAGGCGCCCGAGGACATCATCCGGCCCGTGAACCCGGACATCCTCGTCGCCAAGCTCCGCCCGGGCCAGGTCATCGACCTGCAGATGCACATGCACAAGGGCGTCGGCGCCGACCACGCCAAGTTCTCCCCCGTCGCCACCGCCTCCTACCGCCTCCTCCCCACCATCACCATCACCCGCCCCATCCTCGGCCGCGACGCCGACAAGTTCGCCCGCTGCTTCCCCCGCGGCGTCATCGCCTTGGAGCGCGTTTCCGCCGCCGAGGCCAACACGCCCGGCAGCGGCTACGAGGGCCACGAGGGCGAGAAGAAGGCCGTCGTCGCCGACCCCATGAAGGACACCGTCAGCCGCGAGTGCCTGCGCCATCCCGAGTTCGAGGGCAAGGTCAAGCTCGGCCGTCGCCGCGACCACTTCATCTTCTCCATCGAGTCGACGGGCCAGTGGGACAGCGACGAGTTGCTGCTGGAGGCCATCAAGACCATGAAGAAGAAGTGTGAGCGGTTGGAGAAGCAGGTTATCAACATGGTGAGGTGAGGTTGGAAGGAAGATGTGGGCCCCAGCGGAAAAGAGAGGCGCTTTCAGGCGAGAGGCGCATTGCGTGTGCATGTGCATCTTGCATTTTATGACCTTGAGACTTTCTGGGTCATCTGTTCTTATTAACGGTTGCATTGGGATACGGAAAACGGCAAAGATGAAAGATTTTTTGATACCAACCAGGCTTTTCGCTTCTATTTTCCTTTGCCCGTCTCGCGGCATCTCATGTAGAAGTAATTCGTCTCTTTTTATCGTCGTCATCATCTCCTGTGGCACCGCAACGCCCGCCCAATTGGGAGCTTCCTCCCCCTTTTTGTCTCAATGAGGGACGCATTGTAGCGCCATGCAAGTTAAACCAGAAGAGGGAGACAAGGAAAAAGAAGAAGAAGAGAAGAAGAAGAAGAAAAAAAAGAAGAAGAAAAAAAGGAGGGGCAGAAGCCCGATGCCAAAAGACAAATGATCAGTTACCAAAAAAATGCGCCAATGCAAATTGAGTAAGAAAGAAAAAGAAAAAAAGAGAAAACAGCAGGCTATTTACACTTCCTTCTTGAACTGCAAGGAAAAGTTAAATTCGAGCGGATATGCCGGGTCTGTGACGACCACGTTCTGTCCGTCCTCCAGCCCGAGGTCCAGGAGCGTCTTGTCCAGGTTGGCGCGCGTCTGTTCCTCGAGCGATGGGGGGAACTGCATGTACAGCGTCTTGCTCTCGGCACGGATGGAAGGCTTTTTGAGCTGCGCCTCGGGCCGCACGGCGAGTGAATCGACGAGGTCCTGCAGCGTCATCCTCGGGTTGACCTGCAGCGGCCGAGACAGCTGACCGCAAACAGGGCAGTCGGGCTTCTTCTCGTGCTTGAAAGTGTACGTGTAGATGCTGTCGTTGCCGGAATACATCATGTAGTTATCCTCTATCCCGAGAGGGGGCGCGGCAGACGTAGCGAGCTTGAACGCCTCGTTGCAGCAGGCGCCGGAAATAATGGCATTGGTGGAGGCGATGGCGGGTATAATGTTCTTGACGACGCCCTGCGTGAGGGAGTAGGTGACGCCCTCGATTTTGAACTCCTGGGCGCGGCTGAGGGCTTTCTGATAGAGCCAGGTGATGTGCTCAGGGTCATCCTTGTCGAGCTGGGGGAAAGGCTTCTCCTGGTCCCAGGCAATGACGTGAGCCCACTCGATGCAGTGCTCCGGCTGGCGGGGGATCGAGGCGATGGTGCACAGCGGTACGGCGGCACGGGGCGCGTGCATGTCTAGCTGGCACTCGATGCACGAGGTGATGGTGGGGACGATGACACGAGCCTGGCCCTTGAAGCCCTCGGTGCCGCCGTCAATCATGGGGATGAGCGAGTCGGCGTCCTCGCCTTCCTCGGCAATGGAGACCAGCATGGCGTTGATCCAGCGACGGGCTTCTATGCTGTCCAGGCCGCAGATCACGAACTGGAACTGTTTGTAGAACTCGGCGTCGAAGTCTTGGATGCGGCAGTTGTGGGGCGTGATGTCGACGCCCTTGACGCGCCGCATCACGAACGCAGCGGCTACCTCGGCCTTGAACTTGCCAACGTCGTCTTTGCGGAAGAGAAACTGTCGGTTCAGATTCGAGACGTCGATTGTGTCTGCGATGGGCGAGAAGGTATCAGCAGACCTGGCTACAGTAGGACGGACGGAAGGGGGGCGTTTGCACTTGCCCATGTCAATGACGTGTATATCCCTGAACTTGGACATGGCCAAGTTCTTGAGGATCTCGCATCCTAAACCACCGGCGCCACTACGCTCTCCTGTTGTTAATGGCAAGAGGCAAGAGCGGAAATATGGGTAGGGCACGAACGACGTACATGACGCTGGCGGACAGCACACGATCAGTCAGCAACAAGTCCTCGAGGTCGAAGGGGTAGTGATAGTCAGTAGTCAGTCACTTACAGGACTTTAATCTTGTCGAACTGTTCTATCGCCTCTTGTGTTCCGGCGATGGGGTCGGAGAAGGGACCGGGGTTCGTCCGGATGTTGTCGACATAGGTCCTGGGCGGGGTGCGGACCGCGAGGGCCGCCGAGTTAATTCGTTTGGCCGCATTGGAAGGGGGGGGGCACGATTGGAACATGCGGTGTTATCCTGACTTACCATCTTTTGGTTTCGTCGACTCGAGTTGACTCTGGGGTGTAGGCAGAGGTAGCCTCTGCCATAGTGACGTCCGACATGTGGGAAAATAAGAGGTCTTCGGTGTCGGATTGGTGCAAGGGGACCTGGAGGGGAGCAGCGGGAGGAGCAGCCTGAAGTCATACCAGAGCACTGGCGCAGCCGTTGTTATCGGATCGTCCCTGCGAATCCGATAAGATAACGATACAGTGATAAGATACGGTAACTTCTGTCAAGATGGGGGTGGGCGGGGATACCGTGCAGGGGTGTGGTTATCAAGTCTACCTGTAACTAAGGTACCTTAGGTAATAACTTCAGCGTAGGTACCTTAATTAAGTATCCGACGTCTTCAACCATTCACCTCATCCCAATACGAGCTGAAGAAAACCGTCATCCCAGACCAGGCGGTTCACGATATAACTGCGAGAGTCTTGCTTGCACCCACGGAACAGGAAAAGTCACCCCTGCTCGGTCCTGCGTTCGCCCTCCCAAACACTGGGCCCAGAAACGAGTGCCGATGATCTAAGCTTTCCACGTCTCTCAAACCACCATAACATCTGCCGACCGCGAAGGCGGATCTCCATGGAGCAAGCAAATTGGATGCCGGCGCATCTGTTAGGAACACAAAATGGAGGACCTCCTGACTCCCGTTAGTCAGACTTACTTTAAACCGAGGCACCAGGAAGACCTCAGCATATCGAAACTGTCCAGGGATAGGGAGCTCGTGCGACCTGCCCGCCCGGCCAATCTCACCTCGATCCAAGATGCGCTCGAACTGCTGAAGAGCCAGCCAGATTATGATGCTCTCATTCTCGCCCTGAAGTTTCTCGCAGAAGATGACCGGATATCGAATCCCACTCCGGAGTCGGCCCAAGTCATTCAAGTCTTGATATCAGACATCCTTCTCAACTACTGGCCTCTCCTGAAAGACGGCGATCCTGAGGGCCTGGATCTGTTGCTTTCTTGTCTGAGGAACATCACTGCCGTGAATGCTCTGATTACTCGCATGAAGACCCTGATTCAAGAGTCAAAGACCACCGGCAAAGGCGCCAAACGGCCAGACATTGCTCTTGGTCTCGGCATAGCCCTCCAAGTACTCACATCTCTCCTCGAGGGCCATGAATCTCTCCGGAAACTTTGGTCCTCGACTTGTGTTCATCTTGACAGTCCTATGAAACAGAAAGCCATGGCCCACGAGCTTGTTACCCTCTTCTCAGGAGGCAAGCTCGTCTCTGTGACTGCCGAAGGTCTTGCGATGGCTCGGGAAAGTGGCGCTGAGAAGGAGGACCGATGGGTTGCTGATGGACGTCGATATAGCGTCTGGCTTGGGTCGAATGTTGCAGCCTGGATATCCGGTAATCCATCAACGAACCAGGACAAACTGTGCTACGATATTTTCGTGAGAGCCCTTCGTCTTGGCTATTCTGGTATAACATCTCTCCCTCTCATATCCAATTTATACTCACTGAGCAAGATTCTGACATCTTTTCCCAGAGCACTTGATCAAACAACTCATTGAAAGATTGCTCCTTTCGTCCGGGCACGGAGCCGACTCATTCATGAGGCTCGTCGGAAATATCTCTCAGCTCGAACAAAAGCGTATCCTTTACGCTGTCCTGAAGTATCTGGCCGAGACCTTTCTCAACAAGCTCGGCTCTACTGATTCTCCCGAGTCACGACGGGTCATATCCGGAGCTGCTGCTGTCATTGAGAAGCTTGTCGGGTCGGAGGAAAGTCGAAAAAACCATCTCATAGTCTGGCTAACTGGCTCTACGGGAGCCGGACTAGGTGATGCCATTGGTATCCGGAGAGCCGTTTTAGCTGTTCTGGCCCGAGACAAGGACTCTATCGGCACTGTTCTCGAGAAGAGCCTTAACCAATTTGGAGATCAGCTCTACATCAGACATTCGCCCGTTCTACAACAAGAAGGTTGGCCTCCCGCCAGACATCTATTCCTGCGAATTTTCAAATACTGACCCCTGTGCCGCAGCCCATGCCCAAGTTCTCCTTTTGAGTGCCGGATATGTCTATAGGTCCTCACCCCTGAGGTTGCGGATGTTGATGAGATCGGGGAGCTATCTCCATACCATCTCCAACCGGCTGGATGCCTCGCAATCGAGGGCGAAATTCCTAGGCATGGCTATAGGAGAAGCCCTCTCTGCTCTCTCAGACAGCAGTCAGAACAAACTCGATTTTCAAATGGAAGAGATGGACACCCGAGAGGCCATCTGGTACAAAAGTTTGACGAACACGTCGGACGACATTGGAACAATCGAGGACCTCGGCAGAACTCCAACTCCCGAGCCAGAGGATGCTGGCGCTCACACCTCGAAAGCTACTGGCCCTAAAGCTCCGCCAAGTGCAGCACCCCCGAAGAGAGCGGCGGCGAAAAAGGCAGCACCGCCTAGGACGACGGGTTTCATCATCGAAGAGATAGAGGACTCCGACGAAAGCGACGAAGACGACATAATACCCTATCCAAAGCCGAGCTCTGACCCAGAAGACTCGGACGACGACCCTACCCTTATCCGTCGCGACAAGCCCAAGGCACCGGTTTACATCCGGGATCTCATCAGCTACTTCCGCGACTCCGAGAACTACGACAAGCAAAAGTTGGCATTAGCCACAGCCCCCTCTTTGATCCGGCGCAAGGCGAGCTTTGGAACCGAGGTAAGCAGTCACGCCGACGAGCTTGCGTCCCTCCTGGTTGGCCTCCAAGACAAGTTCGACATGGAGGGATTCTCCCAACTCCGGATTCAGGGAATGATCGCCTTAGTTGTCGCTCAACCTGATATCATGGCGCCGTGGTTTGCCAAGACCTTCTTCGACGGTGACTATTCCATCGCCCAGCGGGCATCCATCCTTGTTGTCCTCGGTCTCAGCGCCCGCGAGCTCGCTGGATTCGAGACGTCCGAGTACGCCTCCGCGGCAGCCTTCCCGTCTAAGCGTCTTCCTGAACGTTTGGAGAAGTTGTATATCGGGTCGTCAGGCGACACCAGTGGCGAGAACCGCCTCCTCTCTTCACCATCCTCGTCATACACCGGGTCCGAACTCAAGGCCCTCCCCGCCACGGCACTCGACACCATCGCTCAGGACCTCGCAGCCTCTTTCCTCGCCCCACTAGCAGCCGGGGCGGCCGACGCAGCTACTGGTCCGGACGCCCTCAAGCTCTCCACCTTCACCTCACGCCTCGCCGCCGTGGGAAACACTAAAGTCGTGTCGTCGCCAACCGCAACCAAAGCCAAAGCCAAAACCAAAGCCGAAACCAAAACGAGACCCCGCATCCGCTCCATCCCCAACAAAACCGCCGCTCTCATCGCCTCCGGCTTCTTCGCGCCCCTGACAGCCCGCTTCCAGCACGTCCTCCGCACCCCGGCCCAACGCCGCCACGCCGTCCTCTTCAACCCCCACCTCCTGCCGCTCTACCTCAAGACCCTCGCCCTGCTCGTCCACGCCGCCGGCCCCGCCACCCTGAGCCTCCCGCAGATGACCGCCGAGCTGTGGGACCTCCTCCTGGGCGTCCGCGGCCACGTCGCCGGCGACCTGACGAGCACCCACGCCTTACTGGTCGCCCTGGCGGCGCTCCTCGAGGTCAACGACGCCAGCGGGGGCGGGTTGCGGCGGCTGTGCGAGGAGATGCCGCGCGAGTTTGTCGAGACCCAGGAATGGGTCGGCGCCGTGTTCAATGGCACGCGGGGCGAGGACCGCGGCGAGGAGAACGATGTCAAGATGCTCGCTGCTGGCGTTCTCGTCACGCTGAGGGAGGCTATGGAGAAGTACCGCGCTCTCCTGATGGGGGATCTCATTGGTTAGACATAGGATTTGGGGGGGGGGGGATTTAGGCAGTCTGCAGTTTATTTCATTTTCCCTCGAAATAAAAAACAAAATAAAAAAATGAGGGCATGGGCAGAAGGATGCCTCTCTAATGCGTGGTGCCGAAGCTCTTTCCCCGCCATTGCTATCCTAACTCCTGTTGTGCCCGGACATTACTAGTTTGACTCCCGATTCCTTGCCGAATCTTGATCCTTGCGCGCTCATTACATAAAAAGAAAAGAAGGAAACGCCCAAAATGCAAGGAAAGGGGCGAAGAACAAAGTATACACAGATGAGCCGGCGACTTTTGATATCTTGCGAATCCAAGCCCCTCACCGGTACGACGCTTCCTCCAAACCATTATTCCGCGCAGGAGGCGCAGACAACGAAGAGAGAAACTGGTTGATGCACGTGAGATGCTCCCCCATGCTCATGGTCAGGCGCCGAATCTCCTCCTTCACCGCCGCGCTATCCGCCTGGCCCTGCATGACCTCGAGCGAGGGCGGGAGGGGCGGCAGCGGCATCTCCAGCCCGCCCAGCGGGGTCCTGAGTCGTGGTCTCCTCTTCTCGGCCTGCTGCGGCTGCGGCTGCGGCTGCGGCGTGGCGGCGTCGTCGTCGAACCGCGGGGCGCTCGTGGTCTGCGGCGTCAGGTACTCGCTTTCGTCCGGGTAGTCGGAGGTCGGGGTGTCCATTGCGTCGAAGGGGTGGTTGCCGCGCTGTGAGTCGCTCATGCTGTTGCTGCTGTTGCTGCCGCCGCCGCCGCCGACGCTGCTGCCGCTGAGACTATGGTTCCGGTGCAGCTGGTGCGGCAGCAGTGATGATGCTGACGACGAGCCGAGGTGGGGTGTGTTGGAGATGGCGAGGCCGGAAATGCTGTCGGTGAATTGGTGGGTGTTGGTGAAGGGGGAGGCGAACTCGTCTGATACGTAGATGGAGGGTTCTCGGTTCGTTGAAGGGAGGTAGATGGAAGCGTGCTTCTCGAGGTCGAAAGGGTTCGGGAATCCCATTTCGGAGCCGGTGAGCGACCCGGCTTCCGAGTGTGACGTCGAAGGCCGGGTGTACTCCGACGGCAGGTCAACCAGACCCATGTCCAAGTCGATGAGACTGCTCATAGATTCCCGGTTGTTGTTGTTGTTGGTGGTGGTGGTGGTGGTGGTGGTGGTGGTAAGATTGGGGGCCCCGAGAGTGTCAAAACCATCACCAGCACCGTAGCTCGGCTCATCAAAATGGTGTGCGGACAAACTCGGCCCCGAACCGTCGTCGTTGAACGGAAATCTGAACACCTCGGGGTTGGCGGATGCCGGCGGCGCCATAGAAGGGAACTTCCAATCCTGGGTCCTCCGGTTCGGGTTCATGTCTGCCGGGTCACTAAGGGGTGGCTTGTTGTATTCGTGACCGTCCGAGTTGTAGTCGTCGACAGATGTTCTCGGTTCTCCGGCTCGAATGGTACTCATGTCCACAAAACTGGATAGTTCAGCTCCATGAAGCGAGGCATCCAGGTCGATAAGAGACTCCCTGACGGTGGCCGACTGAGAGGACTCATCCCTCAGCGGCAAGTCGGAGGCGGGCGGAGGAATGGGGTTCCCGTAGTAGGCGCGGGAGTTATCCTCGTAATTCGAGATGGTGTTCGGGTCAAAGACCTTTTCTAATGGTGCTTTCATGGCAGCCAGCTGCTGAGGCGGCGGCCTCCGCCTGGACTTTGGCTTGGACTGGCGTTGTATCTCGGAAGGATCAAAGTCGACGTTGGAACCATAGACATCGAAGACAGCCTGGGCATCGGGTTCCTGAAGGACTTCTTCGTCGAAGGCCAGTGTCGTACTGAAATTCCACTCGTCCTTCGCCAAAGCGGTCGAGGCGAAATCGGAGACATCAGAAGGACCCTGGGCACCGCCTGGTGCAAACAAAGAGGTGCGATTGTTACCCTGCGACTCCCACATCTTGTAGCCCTTCACCAGCATGGAGAGAGACGACGTCGGGTATTGCTGGGACGTGTTGTGGATGTAAGGATGGGCCTGGACTTGCTCGATGGTCGGGCGCTGTCGGGGGTCTTCCTCCAAGCAGTACGCCACCAAGCTTTTCAGCTGATCCGAATACTGGTCTCCGTATAGACGAGGGGCGTTGGCCTTGAGCTGGTTCCCCAGTTGGTAGATGTCGAGGCCAGCCATGGCATAGGGGGGCAGGCCGGAGGCAATTTCGTAGACAAGAGATCCCAAGGCCCAGATATCCACCTCGGTCCCGTAGGACTTGTCCTGGTCAAACAGTTCCGGCGCCATCCAGTGAGGGGTGCCAATGAATGTAGTCCGCTTGTCGAACTGCGTCTCGATGATGCCAGCCACGCCAAAGTCGCAAAGCTGGACGCCGCCAGACTCGGTGACCAACACGTTCGCGCACTTGATATCGCGGTGAATAATGCCTTGCCGATGGACCCAGTAGATAGCTTCGGCGACCTCGCGCAAGATGGGGATGATCCACTTCTCCTGGAGACCGCCCGGGGCGGTGGGCCTCATCAGAGTGGCCACACTGCCGCCAGCGCAGTACTCGGTGATCATCCACATGGACTGGCCGACGGGCAGGGCGTCGATGACGTGGTTGATGTTCTTCGCACCGCTCTCGTTCAAAAGCTTGAGGGCATTGACCTCGGCCAAGAACTCACGGAAAGTGTCGGCGAGTTTGGGGTCGGCCGTGTCGTTCTGTTCGATGTTGATGATCTTGACGGCGACTTGCATGTTCGTCTTGAGAGCGACAGCCTTGTACACTCGCCCAAAGCTCCCTTTGCCGATTAACTCGTCAAGCCGGTAAGGAGGGGGCTCCTGTCCAGTGTCGGACAACTGCTGGTCCACCGTTTCTTGCATCCTCACGGCATCTTCCAGGGCCTTCCGCTTCGTGGCTGAGTAGAAGGCCGGTCGTACTTGGAGCGTGGCCATGGTGGGCCAGTGGTTGCGCGCTGAGGCGCTGAGGCGCGTTGTGAAGAGTAAGAGTATCAGTGGCGAAGATGAATGGATAGGGAAAGTAGAGAGATGTGGAAGGGAAGTGGTGGGATGTAGGATGCGGGTTATGAAGATCAGGTCACATCAGTCAGTATCTTTCGGCTCACGATGAGATGGAGATGCTTAGTAAGGAACGACACCCGTACTCAGCGACCCAATCATTTGCTCCATATAGTGCCCTATAGTCACGCTAGGTGTGCCAAGCATCCCGGGCTGTTTGAAACATGCATAAGCGAGCTATGGAGTTATCGGTTATCGGTTCGGGAGTGGATTCAGGTACGGGTACACCGGTACCGAGGCCACACCGAGACTTCTCCTGACTCGCATAAAGGTGCTCGAGATAAAGAACATTCATTCACTTTGCGAGTCAAGTATTGTTCATCTTGTCTATACTTTCATTCCTTACATTTAAGCTTTGGCTACTTACATCTCGTAAATGGTCCACTCTGATCTATTCACGCAAAAGCTAGGAAAACGGAACCGGACCCTTTGGATAGTATGCATTCATCGTATCTCAGTCCAACATGAATTCTCAGAATGACTAGATGCAGAGTAGCTTGATGGTCTCTATGACCATCAGAGTACCTTATTCAAAACCATTTCCACCATCGAGACTTTTCAGTTTGTTCCTCAACCTCTCTTTGTTTCTCCTGCTGCTGCCCCTGTTTTTCCTTCTTGTATGATCGTGGGCTAACAAAGTCAGAGGGCTTGGCTGACCAAATTCCCAGCCGCTTCGCCCGGGCCTTGAGCTCAGCCGCCTTGTAAACCTTCTCCATGCCGCCCCATTCCACCCCGCTCTTGGCTTCGTATGTAGTAGCGAGTCCCTGCTTCAATAATGGCAGCCCGACGTCTTTTCTGAAAGGAAAGCCTCTGACGTAAACTGTCGCGACGACTCTGTTGTACTGATCTCGGCTGTGAATGTATGCCCTGACTCGCCGGTTGAGTATACAGTCGGACAGGTACGCCCGAGCCTCCTGTGCAAATGGTTGGCCAGGTTGACCGAAGTACGCGCCCTCCGGAGCGTCGACGCCAGCCAGACGAACAGGAATCTGCAGGGCTGGTTAGCTATGTGGTACAAAAGTAAAGACGTAAAGAAATGATTCAAAGCTGACCGTTTTGCCTTTCAAGGCCGACCTGGTCTCCGGCACCTTTCGGAGCCACCCCCAGCCAGCCAGCCGACCACCAGGTGTGTGAAACAGATGGAATCCGTCTCCGTCTCCCACACTGGTGACTTTGCCAAACAGCGATCTCCTTCTGAAGTAGTTGTCCTGGATGCTGCCTGCGCTAGGAATTCTCTTGAGATAGGACTGGTAAAACACAAAGACGGCTAGTGAGCCGACTGCGGTAAGAAACACAGGAGTCCATTCCTTCGCGGCTTGAAGAGGAGGATCGGGTTTGGGGAGGAGGTCATTCCAAGACGGCGGGCTGCCTGGGGGAGATTCATCCTTTTCCTCTTTGGACTTTTTCGACAAGTTCGACTTGTCGGAGGATCCCGAGGATCCAAAGGGCCATGGCCATGGCATTGTGACGGCACGGCCAGCCTTGGACAACGCGTCCTATGAGACTGCCTAGATTTTGGGTTGAGGTGAGTAGGCGAATCAGATAAAAATGAGATGATACTCACCCGAGTCCGTCCTTCGGTGTAGGTAGACAGACAATTCTTGAGCGTCGTTTCCTGCTATCCGGTACAGGCTGTCTCGAGAATGGCGTCTCGGAGACCAATACTACCACAAGGTATATGCATTTAGCGTCAGAGAATCGAGTTTGGGTATATGCATTGAAAAGCGAACGGAGTATACCATGAAGGATTCACCGAGAGCTGTTGCATGCTACCAAGCGGTGAAGGCTCACCATGAAGTTCGTACACAGTGTAATGTGTGAGTATCACGCTTGTACTCACTGTACATTTTGCCGAAAGGGAAAAAACATCTTGGCGGTATCGGAAAAACCATGGAGCCATCCCGGCCAATCATGCGACGTTGATTTCTTCAATGTCAAAGCTCGGGAGATGACGGCCATGTCACACAACCACCGCACCTCGACTTCGGTCTCGTCCCCTCTGGAGGCATCAACAATCAAAGATCGCCACCGTCCCCGGCAACAGTAGAAGAGGCTCAATTGAGGAGGATCGGTCTCCCTCAATTTCTCTTTGTCTGCCTCTCTCCACTCCTCGACGACAATGGCGAGCAGCATCTACCGTCTTGCTGGCCACAGCGCCAAGCGGTTATGCCTCCGGCCAGCCGCAACCACAGCCGCCTCCTTCGCCGCCCGGTCCCTCTCCACGACACCCCTTCGAAGATACGCGACACCCAGCCCCGAATACCAGGGGACCCGCCTCGTCCCCGTCGACTCCGACTTTGGCATCCCCGTCAACCCCAACGCCCCACAGGGGGACGAGGCCGACAAGAGCGTATCGGCAGTGTCGGGCGAAGAGTCGGCCGAGGGCAGGAAGGTCAGGCACTACACCGTCAACTTCGGACCGCAGCATCCCGCCGCCCACGGCGTGTTGCGATTGATTCTGGAGATCAATGGCGAGGAGATTATCCGCGCCGATCCCCACGTCGGTCTGCTGCATCGTGGCACCGAGAAGCTGTGCGAGTACAAGACCTACCTCCAGGCTCTGCCCTACTTCGACCGCCTCGACTACGTCTCCATGATGACCAACGAGCAGTGCTTCTCCCTGGCCGTCGAGAAGCTTCTCAATGTTGAAATCCCCGACCGTGCGAAATGGATTCGGACCCTGTTTGGCGAGATCACCCGTGTCCTTAACCATCTGATGTCTGTCCTGTCTCACGCTATGGACGTCGGTGCCCTGACGCCCTTCCTCTGGGGTTTCGAGGAGCGAGAGAAGCTTATGGTAAGTTTTATTATTTTCTTTTTCTTTTCTCCCCCCCCTTTCCCCTTTCCCCGTCACGTTGCATGTATTTGCGTCGCATGTTTGTAGGCCAAAGAGAAGAAGACAAGAACAAAAAAGGAAGAAAAAAAAGAAAAAAAAAGAAAGAAAAAAAAACTGACTTTGATTCGAGGAATTCTACGAACGTGTCTCCGGTGCACGTCTCCACGCCGCCTACGTCCGCCCCGGTGGCGTCTCCCAGGATCTTCCCATTGGCCTGCTTGACGATATCTACCAATGGGCCACCCAGTTCGGTGACCGCCTTGACGAAACGGAGGAGATGTTGACGGACAACCGCATCTGGATCAACCGTCTGCAAGGCGTTGGCGTCGTCAGTGCCGCTGACGCCCTCAACCTTTCCTTCACCGGTCCCATGCTCCGTGGCTCGGGTGTCCCCTGGGACATCCGCAAGGCCGCTCCCTACGACGCCTACGACCAGGTCGAGTTCGACGTGCCCGTGGGCGTCCGCGGCGACTGCTACGACCGGTATCTCTGCCGGATGGAGGAGTTCAGGCAGTCTCTCCGCATCATCCACCAGTGCCTGAACAAGATGCCCCCCGGCCCCATTCGCGTCGAGGACTACAAGATCTCGCCCCCCCCGCGCGCCGCCATGAAGGAGAACATGGAGGCTCTCATCCACCACTTCCTCCTCTACACCAAGGGCTACTCCGTGCCCCCCGGCGAGACCTATTCCGCCATCGAGGCCCCCAAGGGTGAGATGGGCGTCTTCGTCGTCAGCGACGGCAGCGAGAGGCCGTACCGTGTCCACATCCGTGCCCCTGGATTTGCTCACCTGGCCGGCTTCGACCATGTGTGCAAGGGTCACTTGCTTGCTGATGCTGTGGCGGTCATTGGTACTATGGATCTTGTGTTCGGTAAGTTTGCGCTCTGCGTGCCCACCTACAATCACTGGTCAGAGAGACTCGATGCTAACAAGTGAAATTAGGTGAGGTTGACCGATAGATGTTGGTTTAAGAGGGCAAAATGAGGTAGAGGATCGTAAGGTCTATTCCGTTTGTACTAGTAGGGAAAAGACAGAGCATCAAGTTGACGTATATATCACATCGTTCTTTTTTGTTTCCTAAGTTATCATTTTTTCCCACACAATATTGCCCGTGATATTGCATTCCGCCATGGTGGATACGATGTGTGCCACACTACTCTCGTCTCGTGGTATGACAGACTGGCAAAGAAGTTTGATACTGTTGTAAGGTAGGTAGTGATACATTGCATAGTACACGGGGATGGAAGGGCAAAATATATGTACAGCAGCCCATCTTATACAAGCTTAGCTCCGCTTCCTGCGGCTTGGCTCATCAAGAACTTCTTCAACGGCCCCATCGCATTGACAGCATTCAGCCCCAGCGAGCGCAACGGCACCAAGGGACCGCTCCCCACGGAGTAGAGCTTGTGAATCTTGTCGCAGACTCCCAGCAAAACGTGGTTGGCAGCGTAGCGCTCCGCGTTGTAAGACTCCAGGGACAGCGTAGAGCCCAGGTCCTGGCCGTGGGACACAGCGTACTCGATGGTCCTGGCCAGACTCTGGACGTCCCCCTGGCCTTGGTTCAGACCTTGGCCGGCAAGTGGGTGGATCGCGTGTGCCGCATCGCCGATCAGGGCGACACGCTCGCCGGTGTAGGTATCGGCGTGGCGCATTTTCAGGGGGAAAGACGCGACGGTGCCTTCCTGCACGCCAACGACCGTCTGGGGGATCAAATGCGGGTCGAAAGGCGTGTGGTTGAGTCTCCACGCGAGCTCCTCTTCTTGGCCTGACGTCTGCTTGTGCATGAACTCCAGGTCCACCGGGGAAAGCCGAAAGGCCGCGTTCACCATGGCAATGAACTCCTGGGGAGGGAGGCTCTTCAGGAGAGCCGCGTTCTCTGGGGTCGTCGACCATACTAGTGTCGAATAATTTCCAGGTAGAGGCAGCATGGCCACCGGGCCCGTCGGTAGGAATCGTTGGTACGCGACCTTGCTGTATTCGCCACCCCAGCCATCTCCTTCCAATTCCAGCGTGGCAACAACGCCGTGTCTGTCGTAATCCCATCCCCGGCTCTCGATGCCCGCAAACGTCCGGACAGGACTGTTGACACCATCGGCCCCCACGAGTAACCGTGCATATAGCTCGCGCCCCCCGGATAATTGTACAACGGGCCATTGTCGGAGATCGAGGTCGGGCTGCTCGGACCCGAATGATATGTGCTCGACTTTCGCCCCGTCGAAGATGGAGACGCCGCCTAGCTCCTTTAGCCGTTTGAGTAGCCCGGACGTGAGGTTGAGGTTTTCGGTCATATAGGCAATAATCCCTCCCTCGGATGCCGCGCTGTCCTGCGCCCAGTCAAACTCGATGCGTGCCCCAGATACACCATCCCAGACCTGCATTTCTTGATACTCCTGGACGCGGCTGCGCTGTATGTGGCTCCATGCGCCGATAGAGTCGAGGTGTCGCGCGGATGTCGGTGTCAATGAGCTGCATCGGTTGGAAAACCGGTCTGCCGGTAGCCTCCAATCCCGAATCTTGGATAGATCTTGCGCCTCTACAAGGGCGACGCGGAGGTGCGAGGTAGTTGGATTCGCACCTGAAGGGATCGGCAGTTAGCATCGCTGAAAACCCAGCTCAAAGGCAAAGGGCACCGTAAGACGTACGGAGGGCAGTGAGGAGACTTAGGCCGGCCGGGCCCCCTCCAACGCAGACCACATCGTAAAAGTCCGGCTCGGAACTGCTTGCGCTGGCGAATGTCCTGGAGGATTGATATTGGAAGCGTTGAGTACAACTGCGACACACGAACCGTGTCCCAAAGGTAAGGACGCGTCTCCCAAGCCCGGCCATCGTTTAGAGAGGAGACCCAAAGACAGAGCCCGTTAAAACCGAGATATTAATGCGTCCGGAGTTTCGAAACCATTTATTTTCGTATAATAAAGTTCGAGAAGCGTCGTGCGAAGTAGTCTAGCTGTCGCCTCAGCCAAGCCACACATCATGTGGCGCAATGCCTGACTAATCATATCATGTTTCGCCATTTTCGGTAATCGTACAATATTATGTACTCGGTACGTCAGGGACCCCACCGATCCCACTTTTTCTCACCACGTTGCCACAGAGACCGAGGTCCCCTCCCTCATCGACATCATCACGACCCTGTCGGTTTTTTTCTTGTCAACATGCAACACGTCTGTCCCATTGTTCCTATTTCTTCCACTGTCTGTGCATACCAATATCCCAACATTCTGTGGCCGCATCTGGGGTCACGTCAAGGCAACGGGTACCTACATTCTCAAAGGCTTGTGATCTACAGGAATATTCCCGAGGTCTCTCGCCTTCCCTGAAGTTTCTTTTGCAGGTCGCAACAACCTTTCAACCCAACTTTGTCTCACAAAGTAGTGGCCCATTTTCGGCACCTTCTTCGGGTTCCGGACGGACGTCACTCTCACCCTCTCAACTTCCTGCCCCACAAAGCTCGTTTCTCTAGCCTGCGCGACACGACGACGGCTACCAAGATGGAGGACGAGTACGACTATCTTCAGCCTGGGTTTGATCCCAAAACGTTGACAGTGCCCCGACTACGCTCGATTCTCGTTGCCCACGATGTCCAGTACCCCGGCACTGCGAAGAAGTCCCAGCTTATCGAGCTCTACTATGAGGGTGTAGTACCCAAGGCGAAGAAATTCTTGGATAAACAGGCACGTGCGAAAAGGTCCAGCATGGGGATTGTCGATATGCCCAGCGGTAACTCGGCTTCGTTTGACGACTCCGATCTTCAACCTCCGACACAGACGAGACGATCTCGGTCTCCACGAAAGGCCTCGGCTAGAATCAAGCCCGAGGAGCAGGAAGAGCCAGAGCCTGTGCGAGCCCAAAGCCCAACGAAGCGGAGGGTGCGTGGCACCAGCCGCCAACTATCCCATCCCCCGGACGAGGATGACCGGGAACTTTTGCGGTCTCCTAGAAGAACCACTCGCAATGTGACTCCTCAGGTTAAGGTAGAGGAATCCGACGATGACTTCTTCAGACGCACCCGGGAGGCGGAGGGCCCGTTCTCGTCTGATAACCCCTTTCAGAGCGGGAGCTCTCCGCTCACGGCCCCACGCTCAGCAAGCAGCCGCCGGAGGACTGCCGGGCAAGAACCAACCACCCCGCACTACGAGAAGGAGGCTAGACGACGAACGGATGGGCACGCTGCACTCGACGGCCCAAAGTCATCCAAGTCTCGCAAATCATTCGAAGTGCCCGTAAGCAAGTTTTCGGGGCAGCAGACGCCAGAAGTTCATGACGTTGACGCCGGCGAGGAGTTTACACCCGAAGAACAATTCGAGTTGGAATTGGAGATGGCATCCAAAGGGCAAACGGCGGTTCAACCTCGTCAAACACAAGCTCCCAAGCGGCGATCGGGCTTCAAGGTTCCTATCATGGCTCTGGGTGTTACCCTGCTCAGCGCATATGCCGGCTGGTATCGGCAGGAGAAGATCGCTGTCGGATACTGTGGCCTCGGCAGACCTGCGACGCAGATCATACCTCCTGAGGTTCCGGTTCCCGATTGGGCTGTGCCCTTCATCGAACCTCAATGTGAGCCTTGCCCGCAGCATGCCTACTGCTACGAAGACTTTTCCGTGCGCTGCGAACCCGACTTTGTCTTGAAGCCCCATCCCCTCTCTGCCGGTGGAATCCTCCCTCTTCCTCCTACCTGTGAACCTGATGGGGAGAAAGTGCGCCGTGTCAAGGTAGTAGCGGACAAGGTTGTTGAGGAGCTACGTGAGAGGCGGGCGCGGTTCGAGTGCGGCGAACTCGTCGACGAGGCCGGTCGCAATGATGAAGGCCCTGGCATTGCGGAGGATCAGCTGCGCAAGACCATCAGCGACAAACGCAGCAAGAGGATGAACGAGCAAGAATTTGACGACCTCTGGCTCGCTGCCCTCGGAGATGTGAAGGAACGCGAGGAGATTGAGGTAGTTGAGTAAGTCCCCACCCATCTCATTTAACCATCATTTGCCCTCCATCCCTGCCATTCGGCCGCTCCCTTTCTTCCCCTTCATAGAGCCATTCTGACCAGTAGTCCCACTAACCAGACCGGTTATGGTGGAACTAGAACGGCCAATTCCTCCGGCGTTCCAATCACCTACCTCTCGTCCACCTCTCTCGCTCGCCTTTCGCTCGGGTGCGCAGCCAAGCGCTCCTTCAGGCTCGGACTGGAGCGATATCGACTCCCTGCTGGATCTCTAAGCCTCCTGGCCATCTTGTACTTTTACGCCCGTTCTCGCTACAGGTCCTACAAGTCAGAGATGGCCCAGGTACCCGCTCTCGTCGACCTTGTCCTCTCCCGGCTCGCCGCGCAGAAGGAACTCGGCGAAGAGGAGATTGACGAGCCCTGGCTATTCCTTCCGAACCTGCGCGACGACGTGCTCAGGTCGGTGCACTCGCTTGGCGACCGCGATCGCATCTGGAAACGCGTCCGGGCTGTTGTTGAGCAGAACAGCAATGTCCGGACCAGCCAGCGGGAGAGCCGCAACGGAGAAGTCGGCCGCGCCTGGGAATGGATAGGACCCATCGGAGGCGAGGCTGCCCGGAGGCGGCGGAGCGGACGTATTTCCTTCGGGGCGGACGTCGAGAAGGAAGAGACGCCCGAGATGGTGCACAAGACGGAGAAAGGGGCCGGACACTCGAGATGGGAAGAGTCGCGCCCCGTGTATTAAATGGGGGCCTGGATGTCGTTGGCTTGACTTCTTGATTTTCCCTCTACCTTTCTTTCACATCTTTATTTTCTTTGTAATGAATACGTACTCAAGGCGACTGGGAGGGGTTGGTGAAATATCTAATAATGTTCTGTTCTCGTGCAGAGTGTATTTGAAACTTGATTCTGTCCCGAGGAACGTTCTATTCTACGAGTGTCGAAACGACATTTCGGATATGAGGACGATGGCTTCCCATAGCTTCCCGTGGTACTAAATTCACTTTCTCACACCACAACCCCAGTGCTGCATGTTGACTGAAACCACTGCCGTCTCCCCACCTGACACAATTTACAATCGCAACAGAGCACTGGGGACAGGGAATCATGTGCGGAGACAACTCGAAATAGCGAGACGGTTAAGTCTACCCAACATGAATATAGTCACTCTCACTGTGCAACAAAGGAGACGAAGTATTATGTTCAGGATTGTCGATTCGGCTAATGCACAGGATGTTGATAAACACGGAAGGGAATTACCCTCGGTACAAAGGAAACCTTCCTCTCTTGCAAGTCTAAAGTCGGGACTTGGAGGCTGAATTGTCTGTCTGTCTATTGGGCCTTGGAGGCAAGGATCTCTGGAAGATATTGTTAGCAGATATTCAATGGAAAACCTAAGAACTGAGAAAAAGAAGGGAGGGGGGAAAAAATGAACTGGTAGCTTACTCTCGACGTCGGCAACGCTCTGCTGGAGAATCTGCTGCAGAGCCTTGGGGCTCTGGAGCTCCTTCTGGACCTTGGCGATGATGCTCTCGGCCAGCTCCCTCTGTTGCCGCTGCTTAACCTGGCCCTCGTACCGCACCCACGAATCGAGGACGGCCTTGGCCTCGGCAGCGAGGGCGGTCTTCTGGTCGAGCTCATAGGCCTCAGCCTCGAGCCGCGCGGTTTCCTATGTGGAGGAACCAGCATTAGCATTTCGATCATCCGATCCATAGCCTCATCGTGGCAATCATCCATTCAATTATGAAATGGCCTTTCGGTGAGGGGGGCAAGGAAGGAAGAGAATGAAAATCAATTGCTTCGTACCTTCGAAACCTCGAACAGAGACCTGGTGACGTCGACAACGCCCTGCATCTGCTTGACATCATCGATGCGGACCTGGACGGCCTTGGCGTGGTCGGCGCGAGCCTGGTTGAGCAAGTTCCTCATCTTCTCGGCCTGGCCGTCGGCCCACTCCTTGTAGGCGGGACCGCCATACTTGATGAGGGCACCCCAGACGGCGAGGAGGCAGAAGGCGACGACGGTCTCCTCGTTGACGACGTAGTACTCGTTGCTGATGCCGTAGACGCTGAGACCGGCGGCGGAGGAGAGGATGGCCGACTTGGAGAGGAGCGAGCTGCCGGGGAGCGCGTCGATCAGGGACTGGGCCTTCTTCTTGGGGTCCTCGGCGGGCACGTTCGAGGCATTGCGGGTGGAGGTGACGGCGGCGAGGGCGGGGAGGGTGCGCCGAGTTACGGTCGGCCGGAGGAGGTTCGCTCCTGTTGAAGGGTGAAAGCTGTTAGCTGTCATTCATCGTCGGGTGACGGGGGACGAGGTCAATTGACCTCGCAGAATATCATTAGCGGGACGCGAGACGCACCAGCAGCGCTTCTAGCCAAACGAGACGCCATTTTGTGATGATCGGGGATGCGGTTCGGTCGGGTATGTTTGAAGTCTTTCGGAGCTCTTGGAATGAGGTTGAGGTTTTTTGGGACCACGCTAGTTCGGCTAGAATATATCACGTGACTCTTCTTTCTGTTGCCGGGTGTTGACGGGAAACTTTGGGTGCTCCACTCTTTTGACGAAGTGCTGACTAACGTTTCTGGGAAATTTTTATGTTCTTGGCATCGACTTCTCTTGGAGTTTCGACGAGATGCTGAATTATTCGCCGTCTGTTCAAGCCTGGTCATCTATCTTTCTCTCATTCAGTCACTAAAGAAACTTTCAAGAATGGCGTCCAAGGTGGCTAAAGATAGCCAAAAAAGAAAACGGGTGTCCGAGGCCAATGGAAAGCCCAAGAAACGAGCACGATCTGAGAGTGAGGATGAGAGCATCCAAGACGATCCTCATGCTGAGATTCTGCTCTTAGAAGAGCAGATTCTCGAGTCAAAGAAACATTACAACAATATCGTCAAACTGATCACCACCGCTAAGAACTTTGAGAACGACCCCGATTCGGCGGCTCTCGCGTCTGTCGCACTGACCAGGGTTTTCATCAGATTACTGTCCTCGGGCTCTCTTATCAAAAAGAAGGGTCAGCCGGAGAAGGAGGCCGTTGTTGTGCAGTGGCTGAGGGATCGGTACTTCGAGTACAAGGATGTTCTGCTTGACTTGATCAACGATGATGAGCTAGGGGCGCCTGCGTTGACGCTCGCTATGCGGGTTCTCAAGAGCGAGGGCCAGCATCTCAATGATGGGGATGAGTACAACTTCCCTCACGTTTTCCTTCAACAGATCATTCAAGCGCTCCTCGACTCAGAAAGTGATGATGCGCGATGTGAATTCGTGGACAAATTCTTGACCGAGTTTGATGACATACGATTCTATGCTCTGAAGGCTACCAAGTAAGTGCCCAAGACGAGGAGGCAGACGTGCTGGGCCACTGGCTAACCTTTTTACAGGAGCATTGTTGAAGATCCAGAGCGCTCTGGGGATCAGGAGGAGCTTTTCGATGACTCGTTTACGTTCGTGTCATCAGTCGGTAGCGTACCGAAGACGCTCGAGAACTATTACCTCGAGAAGCCGAAGAAGAAGGCGCACCCGCTCAACTCGCTGCACCAGCATCAGAAGCAAGGCCAGGATGCATGGCTGGCGGTCTTGAAGCTGGCATCGACCAAGACTCAGAGGAAGCGTACGTTGAACGTCATGTCGACGGACATTGCCCCCTGGTTCCTCCGACCTGAACTGCTAGCGGATTTCTTGACCGACTCGTACAACACGGGTGGCTCCATGTCGCTGCTGGCCCTGTCTGGCGTTTTCTACCTTATCAAGGAGAGGAATCTCGACTACCCATCGTTCTTCACGAAGCTTTACAGTCTCCTCGACCGCGATATCCTGCACTCGAAGCACCGGTCACGATTCTTCCGGCTTATGGACACATTCTTGGCCTCGACCCATCTCCCTGCTTTGCTGGTGGCCAGTTTCATCAAGAGGCTTGCGCGTCTAGCGCTCAATGCACCGCCAGCAGCCATCGTATTCATCGTGCCGTGGACGTACAACATTCTGAAGCGGCACCCGACGTGCATGTTCATGCTGCACCGGGAACTTCGCGATCCAGATGAGAGGAAGCGCGTCGAAAACGAGGGATTTGAGGACCCCTTCCTCCCCGACGAAGCCGACCCGATGGAGACCCAGGCGATCGATAGCTGCTTGTGGGAGCTCGTGCAACTGCAGCAGCATTATCACCCGAATGTGGCGACGATTGCCAAGATTGTATCAGAGCAGTTTACAAAGCAGTCGTACAACATTGAGGATTTCCTCGATCATTCGTATGGCAGTGTAAGTCTTCAGGAGGGTAATCGACTAATGCTTGAAGACCGTACGCTGACCCCGTTTCTCTTTTATTTAGCTTTTGGAGGCCGAGATGAACAAGAACATGAAGAAAGCTCCCGTGGTCGAATTCCAGATTCCCAAGAGGGTGTTCCTCCCACAAGACCCGGAAGCAGGACTTGAGGACAGTCTTCTCGCACGACTTTGGGATTTTCAATGAAGAGCCATCAAGTTGGATGTTAGCGGAGAACTGGCAGAACCATTGGGCCACTCACACAACACCCTTGCTGAATACGAGATACCCGAGCAGCTACGCATATCTATTGTTGTCACTACGCTATGCTCTGTTTTAAGGACGCCCATGATATTGGGATTGATAGCCATGGCTTGTTTTGAACCGCTTTTTGATGTGTCCTTGGCAGGGAAAGAGGCGATCTTATGTGATGCTTGCTGGTGGACGGACTCTACGAAGAGCGAAACAGCGCGCATCGCAATCTTGAAAATGCAAGAGAGCAAATACGAACTCCCATCCTCATTTCTTAAAAAATCCAGGAGTATGTCATGGTGTCGTAGAGCCAGTTATGCAAGAAAGTTTTACAACTAAAATCAATAACATGTTCCGTAGAACTACGCTTATCATACCCTCACATGCTCTGAATATGCATCCACCGCCACGCCTGCATCTTAATCCCTTGCTTTCACACTACTTCGTTTATATGCGCTCTCCCTCGCTCTAATACCGAAGCCCACATACATGCAACACTCACCCATCAGGCCTCCTTCGACAGTACCTTCTTGAGCCGGGTGGAACCCTCGAAGAAACCCCTGTCAATCGCGGCAGCGACGGTCAGGGTACCGCCGATAACAGCGCAGAGACCGGTAAGAAATCCGGTAAATGTCTTGACCCGCTCTTCGCGGTTGATGACCTTCATGGGGGAGATATCCTGAGCGCATTCAGGTTAGAAAGCGTACGTCCCTGGTAGAGGCAATCGAGTCCCACTTACATAGGAGAAGAAGACACCCGGAATGCCGCCTCGGGAGTGAAGACGCTCCGCATGGCCCTCGGCAGAATCGTCGCCGCCGGCAAGACTCCGCTTGTGGCTGGTGACCGAGTACTGGTGGGTTTCGATACTGCCGTCGCTGCCGCGGCCGTAGGAACCAAGGACAACATTGTCGTCCTGCTGGAAGTAGCCGCCCTTGTTCTCCCAGCCGAGAGGGAGATACGATGTGGGAACAATCTTGACGAAATAGATAAAGTTGAAGTTAGGGTCGTCAGTGTTCTGGCGGGTGTCATCGAGCGGGTTCATGCCCTTGTTGGACCCGGGCAAAAACGTCTTTGCGACACTGCGCGCGACCGAGTCCGGGAGCTGGGGCCCGAAACGAAGGTGGTGGATGATGTGGGTGAAGTCATGGGAGGTTTCCTTGTCCCAGTAGTTCTTGAGGTCGTGGACGTGCATGTTGCCGTTGCTGAAGCTGCGGCCCGGGGCGACGTGGAAGTTCCCGACGACCTTGTTGACGCGCAAGTCGCCCTCGATGCGGCATCCCTCCTGGCGCTGCTCGTCCAGACGTTCGGTGTAATGCTCCCGTGTACACTGCTCGACGTTTTCTCCGCGGCCGAAACCCCACGACGCCTGGGCGTACGCCTCGCGCACCTCGTCGCACGTGTTGCAGCAGCCCGGCTTCACGGCGTTGGCGGGGGCTGGGGCGCCATAGCAGGGACCGCAGTAGTTGGGGTCGAGGTGAGTCGCGGAATCTTCGTCATCGTGACTGGCATACTCAGTCAGCTTTTGTCCTTATATTGAGAGTAAGGGAAAAAAAATATTGGTAGAGCGCGAGTCGGAGAGTTGAGGTCAATCCGTACAGCTTTAGAGACCGCTTGTCTATTTCGCCCCCGCCCTCCTTCTGTGGCTTCAGGCGGACCTTGTTGATACCGGAGACGATTCCGTGTTGTTGTTCGCCGGAAACATCCATAACGTCGAGGGTCAGGAGCTCGCATGGCATCTTGGGGAAGGTAATGTTAAGATGTATTTCCATCCGCTCGCCTATATGATTTCGCGCACGTTAGTCCACCCAGTCCCATGGTATTGGGGCAGCTTTCTCCGTTGAGGCTAGAATAGCCTACCTCGTCCCTTGTCCACCACCAGCTCTGGATGGATCTCTATCCTTCGGTAATCGGTCCATTCTCCCCAAGCCAGCCATAAAACGACGAAAAGCGAGACGATGGTGATAATGCCGCCGGATGACGTACGGATGCGCGCTTCGTCGACAGTTTTGGTAAAGGCATCGAGCCTGGTGAATCTCGACTTGGCCGGCATTGTGAAAGCGAGCGAAGGAGGCCGAACTTCAGTAAAGGCGTCTTGTTACCTGGGCGACAATCAAGATCGTTCGTCGTCTTTCGCCTGGAAGCTCCAGTGCGCTCTGATCTAGCCTTGCCCCTCCACCTTCGCGACACGCAGGGAAGAAAGGCCTGCCCTAGAGAGATGGTCAAAAGATATAAGTAGATGCTACCAATAACCTCAGAGCCAATTGGACCATTTATAAAGGTAATTTAGTGTTGGTATGATAACGGTCCGAGATGATACCCTAGACTTGGACTTGCTGGGAGTAGGTACTTGGTGAGGTTGAGGCCACATTCGCGTTTTCCAGACAGGTGAATGTCGCCAAGGGACAGGGGTCTTTGTCCGTTGAAAACTGGGGCATTAGGTGGGGCCAGGCACTCTACCCGTACCGACCCTATTTTGAGATGAGACATGCATTCTGATATCTGGAGGTATCTGAGGGACCCACCTTTCACAGCAAAACCGAAGTCCGGATAATCATCGGCCCAGCTCGGTTCGTCTACCTATCCGTAGGGTGGTCCGTGCTATAGCTTATTGGTCCAGAACCCCAGAAAATTCCGGTGCAGCTCGAGAAGGCTGATCCTCTGAGGAGCCTTCTTACGTTCTTTGACAGCCTTTCCTGTCCATCTCGCCATCTAGCACAATTTGACGTCACAAGGTCACAGCAGGAAGGATACCTCAAGGCATCAATTGATTTTGGGTCTCATTGTCTTACTTATTTTTTCATGCGAATTACCTAGCTCTCTAAAAGAGAAAAGGGGGGGTGAACACACATACGAGGGGAGCTTAGAGCTTAATCACACTGCACCACCATGTCGAAATCAACATCGCGCGTGGTCTTTGTGGGCAACATTCCCTACGGTAATTTCACACGACCCTCTTCGTCTTTGCTTGGTCCTCTGATATCTAACCTATCTCTGGAACTCAGGTCTATCCGAGGAACAGATCACCGACATATTCAGCAGTGCTGGCAAGGTCCTGAACTTCCGTCTCGTATATGATAGGGAAACGGGCAGGCCCAAAGGCTTTGGTTTTGCAGAATACCCCGATCATGGTATGGTATCCCCTGACGAACCCGCGCCCGCTGTGTTTCTCCAGCATGTCTGACTAGTGTAGACTCTGCGGCGTCCGCGGTCCGAAACCTCAACGACTATGAAACCATGGGCCGGAAACTAAGGGTCGACTTTTCGAACGAAGGGGGCGGAGACAATGATAATGACGGCCACCCTCACAGCCACGTAAGTGCTGGCATGCTCAGCTATGTACATACACTGCTGCGACCTACTCTGACTCTGACATACATTCGGCAGACACGCGACGGTGGCTCCAACGGCTACGGACAATCTGCACCAGCACCTTCCCAAGGCAGCTCGCTGCCTCCCTTGCCCCCGGGCAAAGATCTTCCCCCAAATGTCACTGCGACCGACGCTATCTCGCGAACTCTCAATACTTTGCCACCGTCGCAGCTCTTGGACATTCTCGGCCAAATGAAGGCACTAGCTGTTTCCGATCCAGGACGAGCCACCGAATTACTACAGCAAGCACCTCAGCTTTCCTATGCCATCTTTCAGGCGTTGCTTCTCATGGGTCTCGTCTCTCCCGAATCTATCCATTCAGTGTTGGATTCCAGTGCGCCCGTTCCACAGCCAGTCACAGCTGGTTACCCACCTCAACAGGGCGCAATTTACCCCCCAGTGCCGGGAGGCGCCAATAACACGCCCCCGGTAGCAGCTACGCCCTACGCTGCCCCCCCTCAAGCGGCTCCCTATGGTGCCATCCCGCCTGCTCCTGCGCCACCCCCAGACACCGAGGCACTGGTGCGGCAGGTTATGGAACTACCCATGGAGACGATCAACCTCCTCCCCGAGGCGGAGCGCGCTCAGGTTCTCGCTCTGCGTGCTCAGTTCGGTGGACAGCGAAGATAAGAATTATCTTGTCTATTGTCCATGTTCTGAGTGCTGTGCTCTTGGGTGCTACTTGCGAGGTTACATGGTGCTGTAATAACATGTGGCAGGCTTGCTTGTCCTGACTCTCGCCGAGGCGCGGGTCTGGCGCTTAGAAATCCTTGCTCTACTACTGGGTCATATTATATTCTGATACTAATATCTTCGAGGATAACGGGTTTCTCGAGTCTATTACCTTCATGCACGAGAGACAGCCCTATCTCTACGATCTACAGTCACCGCTACCACGCGTCCCACGTCGCCATGCAAAGAGTGGCCATTTCGCCCACTTAGGTGAGGCACGTCAGGGCCTCGATGTAACAATGCCACACGGTATTTATGGCCTGGGTATGAATAACCCGCACGACGCAGGACTCGGACTTGCCTTGCATAGAAAGAAGGACAGGGACCAGATTCCCTTTTTAGCTGGACTCTGTCAAACACATAAGGACTTGGCGGCGGCGAGAGATGCTCTTTTCACAGTTAAATACCCACAGTCAACTACAACTTCCGGCCCAGCCGTTCACGCTTGGGCAAGGCACCCCACGTTAGGATCTGAGGTCAATCCATGACACTGGGACACTACTGGGTGGTTTCGGGGAAGATGGGACACTGAATCCGGAAAGGGAGTCTCTATACCAGACGAAATAAATCATCTCATAGCTAGGCTAGTAATACTACGGTCAGTTAGGATGGTAGAATCTATTTCAGTTCTCCGAGTCGTGGTACCACCTGGTGCAGTTGCCCCGGGCATTCCTCTAGTCCGTAACTCTTATTTCGGCGGGCCTCGGTGAACAAAATGATTGATGCCGAGAGGGCTCCATTAAGTAGGAACTTGTCTTGGACAATATAAAGTCCAGCCACAACGCTACGAGGCGAACCGAATTCGCGACGCTGGTGGCCGTTCTCTAACCGCCTCACACACGACCATGCCTGCCGCCAGAGTTGACTAATGTTTCCCATCTTGGCATTCTTCGCATGGGTACGACATGGAAATCGGATGCGGCAAGGCCTGCCTGGATCTAATTTCCGCGTACATGCGCTAGTCGATGTTAAAGTAAAGCGGCAAAGCCTGCAAAGCTTGACAGCAACAAGAAAAGAAACGTTACTGGCAACTCCGGGGTAAGGCGATGGGCCAATCCAGTCCCTGCATTCCCCTCTCCGTACGGTCCAAGCTCGGGTGCTCTCAGAAAGGGTCTTTTGTCCGCGTGCTAACCCAAATAATTATATCCGTTTCTTTAGGACAGATACCTAGGTACCGGCAGGAACATCCTCGGATGGAGACGTTTTGCGCTATAATTCGTCAGAAACAAATGACCGCAATTCCCACGGTTACGTCCAAATTCAATGTCACATGTTCTATGCATCTGGACTCAGGACCAATCAGTTCAACTTATACAGAAAGGCTGAACTCAGGGGTAGACGGTAGTTCCTGTATGCCGCAGTACGAAGTGCAGCAGGTAGTCGTTCAAGATACCTAATACGGGGTGATAGGTACGGTGGTAGTACAGTACGTCGTACGTTGTCCATACGGGGGTTTTTGTGCGGAATACACGGGGAAAATGGGATTCGCCGGCGCTGCCGGCAGAAGGTCCCGTAATCAAAGGGACCATACAATGTCGGTTACAAAGGAAGAAAAGGGTTACTCGACATAGGTCGCGTCCAACTTAAGGAACTCCATACCATTCGGCTACCTAGGTAGGTACCTAAAGGTATTCAGACAAGCCTAAGGTGGAAGCTCCGCTAAAGGCTAGGGACATCTTAGCATATGGGCCAGACGCCTCAAGGTTTGCGCTAATAATCCCGGCACGTGGTGTGTCTTCGTTCTTCAGGACTGGCTGGCGTACATACAATGTATAACCTCGCGATGATTATAAGTGTATACCTTAGGTAAAAGAATCTTTTAAGAAACGGACAGCGATATTAATTCTGTTAGTGTGGAAGTGATTCCGTGGTGCTTTTTATACTAACGTACCTACCTCAGGTAAGAAATAGATATACTTCGTAATGACTGTTATACTAAGGAGGGAATAGTTTCTGTGTTAAAAGCCGTAAGAAAATGGATACGAAGTCGTGTTCATGCTATAAATAAATGCAATGATATTATGGCATATATACTCGGAAGAATAGTCTTGGGTAACAGAACCGCTTATATGGCCTAGAATAAAATAAATTAGATAAGTTTACGGATATGGGTATATGTATAAAGGACAGCGTCTGTCCAGATATGCTCTACTATATATCCTGCACTTCGTACTTATGCGAAGTACCTTACATCGAAAGCAAAGAGGAGCCAATTTCGATCCACTTCTCAATGGATCACAAGACCAGGTGCCGCCTCCTTCTTCAGAACAAAAGAATGAAAGGAGACCGGGGCGGGGGGTAGTGTAAAGGGGCTAGGCACGGTTAAGGGTGTGCCAGGGGCCTTCCCCCATAGAGGATTGGACGGTTAGGCATGCTGCAAGACAGAAAAAGCCAGTGACAACAAAGTAGAGCGATTCCATAGTGTGTCTAAGTGGAGGATCTCCTACTCACACGGTAGAGGATATATTTACACTATCTCTCTACACAGTGTAACTGTACAGTAAATTACACACCATCATAACATTTAATAGAGGTTAGAATGTACCTTAGTGGTAAGGTAGTGACGGGGCCCTGTTTTATTGCCCACCTTCCTGCTACTATCCGGGTCTAGGGTCCGGGACATCCTTCACTGTTATTTCCCCGTTAGGACTTACCCCGTCCTGGGCAGTCCACGCCACGTCTCTCTGTCCGTCTCTTGGTCCACCCATATCCACGTCCACGTTCACGATCTTTCTATCTCTTTTACATGACACACCAGTGTTGTGCCCTTCACTGTTATTGTACCTTCTCTCCTTTTTTTCCCTTTTTTTTTCTTTTTTTTTCTTTCTTTTTCCTTTGACATTCTCTTTCTACCATCATCAACTTCTTCTTCTCATCGACCCTGCAGGGGACTAGAACTACCAGTCTCTGGCTTCAACGCCTCCATCTCCGCCTCAACCTTTCATCCGATTATAGTGATCTGCTGATCCAAACGCCACCGTCACTCTTCCGACTGCTTCGTCCAGCCACTCGTTAACAAATCTCATTGCCGCCTCCACCATCGTTTCTCGTCCAGCTATAATTTCGAGTTTCAAAGTTATCCCCTTAACGAACCAACTCTTCGTCGCAGATCAAGACGACACAAGACACATTTGGCTCCTCTCCGGCGACGATACGAGTAGGAGTAACAACCCGTCGAGTCCGCGTCGACTGCCATTTCCCATTACGACGACATACTCGCGACGTCCTATAGCCCGCCTCATAGCCCTCTACTACACTGTCACCCCCTCGCGCTCTTCTTGCCGAGGCGCCGTCATAATTGCCGGCTCGACTCTTAATGCGTCCCGCCCTTTGCCCATCAGCCATCGACAGCCACCCGTCTCATCTGATAGTTGGGCTCCAATTTCGTCCATGGTGCAGTTATCTTTCGACACCTGACGACGTGTCAATCCGACGACCGAAACGCACCCCGACATCCATAACTCGCTCCCACCAACCTGGGTACATATGCAACACACGTACCACATTGACGACACATTTTCCATCATGGCGCAGCGTCCTGGTTTTCTCGACTTGCGGTCAAAGTCCAGTGCCTCTAATGTGACAAGTGCATCCAAGCCTCTGCGTTCGCCTCGGCTTCATGTCGCAGGTGAAGTGCCCCCCGAACTCTCACCTCTCGATGCCTTCGCCATGCAAAGTCGCCTGTTGGCCCGCCAACTGCAAGATACTGATCGGTCGGGACGGCGCATGAGTCGACTCCCACCCCTCACTCCCGACAGCCCCCTTATCGTCCAGGGCCGGTCCGAGTACTTCCGTTTTATCTCACAGGACTCGTTTTCCGACGCAAGCGTCTCCCCTGAGCCTCAACAGAGCAGCTTCGGTTTCAGAACTGAAGTCGACGAGGAAACAGAGCGCCCCAAGTCCATGCATCCTCGGATGAGCTGCATCCCCTCTGTGCCCGACGAGGACAACCCTCTTCCCCCAAAGCCCCTGACCGAACCGATTTGCGGACGCCAATTGAGCCACATCAACGAGAATGAGACGCTGTTCGGCGCGAGAAGGGAACAATCCCCAGGCCCCATGGAGTCAGCGCCACCGGCAGCCGAAGAACCTTTGGCCCGCCCGCCCCGTCCGCCCTCTCCCCGCCAGCTAACACCATTCCATCCCATCTCTTTTTCTTCGTCCCCCGAAAAATTGACAAAGCAGCCGTCTTTCGATGGGGCGGCCTTGGCTCCACCCCGGCCATCGTTTGCAAAAAGACCTTCTGCACCAAGCAGCTCGTCCTCTCCACTGGAACCTGCAGAAGAGGACAACGTGATGAGCGCTTCGGTGCATTCACCATCAATTCGAAAGCTCTCATCCGCCAGCAGTGCCTTCTCCAGTATGCATGGCGGCTCTCCCGCTCTTGGCTCCACACCTTTCCGGAGATCTGCATCAATGAGCTCCGAAGCTTCACTCCCCTTGCCTCCACGTTCTTTCAACTTCTCCCGGCCGTTGAGTCGCGCCGGAACTCCCGGCCCCGAGGCCCCATCGCGCCAGGCCTCGTCTGACAGCCAACCATCCTTTGTGCTGGCCGACGACGCGGCGCACACTCCAGTGAGCATGACAGGGGAAGGTTTCCCTGATCGCCACGTTGATGATGGGAATTCGGCGGCGCCCTCTTACATTTATTCCAAATTTTCGCTGCCCAGGGGCAAGAGCATCCAGAGGTCAGATCCGATGGAGAGTGGACTGCAAGTTCGAAGCCAGTCGGAACAGCCCACTGCCTCTCCGAACAACGTGCAATCAGACTCTACCTGCGCCCCCCCATCTCCACCCACAAGGCCCTCTAGCTCCTCGGGGAACGGACTTGTAGAGAACGCCGACTTTACCAAGATGTCTCTTGAGGAGAAAGAACCCACGTCGTTGGGGCTCAACGGTTCCCCGCTGCGGCATTCGTCGACACCCTACCGCCCGTCGACGGATGGTGAGAGGATATCCGAGGATACGCCCAGAGGACGGTCTCGGATCTCACCCCATCACGACGCTACCCCATCGAAGACACCCATGTCCGTCTCCACGCCCGACTCAACTAGCAAGGCGAAGCCATCCCCGTCTCTGCAGTCGGTGGCACAAACAGCGTCGGGCATGACGGCTGAGGAGCACCTCGCCAAGGGCATCGAGTGCCACGAGAACAGTTCTGTCCAAGAGTCCACGTATCATTTTCGGCATGCGGCCAAACTGAACCATCCCACCGGCATGCTTCTTTACGCCTTGGCCTGTCGTCATGGCTGGGGTATGAAGCCCAACCAACAAGACGGCGTAGAGTGGCTGAGGAAGGCTGCCGAGTCAGTTAGCCTCGAGATTGCCGATGACGAAGGCCAAATCAAGGACGGTAAACATGTCGACGTTGCTGACAGGAGGACCCGGAAGGCCCAGTTTGCTCTGAGCATCTACGAACTCGGTGTCAGCCACATGAACGGCTGGGGCATTGAGCAAGATAAGGCCCTCGCCTTACGGTGCTTTGAGATTGCTGGATGTAAGTGGCACGCGCTTCCTACCCGCTGTACCTGAGCAGTAACTAATGCAAATAAATAGCTTGGGGAGATGCGGATGCTTTGGCAGAAGCAGGTTACTGCTACGCCAAAGGCATTGGGCGTAAGAAGAATTTAAAGAAGGCAGCCAAATTCTATAGAGAGGCTGAGGCCAAAGGGATGAACATGGTGGGCAACAGCTGGTACGTATGATTGGATTTCGCCGGGCAAGGGATGCGGCCTTAATACTGACTCCGTGGTATAGGATCCACAAAGCGAAGTATAAGGACGACGAGGGAGACGCACCCAAGGCGGTGAAGAAATCCCGGAGCAAATCTAGAACTCGCTCAATATTCGGCAAGAAGACTGGCGGCTTGTAAAAAAAAAAAAAAAAAAAAAAAAAGTCTTGTTCTAGGATCAGCGTCTCTCGGGAGTTCCGACCAAGACGCCTAATAACGAGACGTCGGAGAAGCAACAAAAAAAAAAAGATGGACCATCTCCTCGATTGTCCACCTACCTTAGGGAGTTTTGTCGGCGCAAGGGCGCTAATATGGCCAAGGCTGCCGCAACTGGGAGCGCATCATTTGGCACGTACGGGTTGGGACGGCTTCTTATTTTATTATTATTATTTTTTTATCTTATTATTTTTATTTTATTATTCCCCTTTTTTCGGGTTATATCCCGAGGTTCACCTTCAACTTGGACATCTAGACTCTGATGTCTGGACGGAGGGCAGCTTTAGTTTCTTTTGTACAAAAGTACCTATTTCGGAACATACCCAGCCGTTTTGGCTTTGATTTTACACATCACTTGGTCCCATATCATGCAAGACCGGGCAGAGGTGTTAATGGAGAGGAATTAGTGATAGGTCTAGTATCTAGGGCTGCGTTGTCGCGTCACACTGTTGGCTGTTTCTCCGGGAAACCTGAATGGGAGTTGATAAAAGCGCATATGTCCGTTGCATATATCGATTGCATTTAACATTGTCTCTTCCTCGCAATTCGCCCCAAAGTGATCTGGCTATAGGACGGATAGATATGAACAGGAAAAAAGCCGCTGCCGAAGCTCTCTTGGCAGCTTAGCAGGCCGTTTTGCGCACCTGCTAGTCTAAGAGATGCTTTTGCCACGCGCCTAGCTAACCCCTGTAAGTATTTGACGCGGATTTCTGAAGGAAGAATTACGAATTGCGAGCATACGACAAAGGGGCCGGTTGGGAATCAGATGCTTGTGTCGGGAGAATAGCCAGGCCAGTCTTGATAGACCTTCTATTGCAATCGCCGTGTTGTACAATACATCACCAAGAGCTCTTCCCATTCTTTGCCCTCCACACACACACCCCGAGGACGAGCCGCCGTATATATCACCTCACGCATCTATCTCCATGGCCTCTTCACCAACCGAGACCTCCGTGACGCTTACGTATCGACCAATATCGTTCTTGGAGATGATCTTCTCGTTGAGGACGGCGGTAGTGCCCTTGGGGAAAGCATAGCTCTTCAGCTTGGCGGAGCGCTCGTTGGGGCGGACGAAGCCGCGCTTGAGCTCGGTCTTGTCGGCGGTGATGACGGCGACGTCGACGTTGCTGCCGGAGCCGAGATCGTTGAAGATGCCGGAGAGGATGGCGTCGCTGCAGAGCTTGACGGCGTCGTCGCGGCCGAGGTTGGGCTTCCACTGGGACTCGAAGACGGACATGGCGGCGAGGGAGCCGGAGCCCATGGTGACGTAGGGGAGCTTGTCGGTGGAGCCGTGGGCGTGGACGGTAAAGAGGTGGACGCCGGTAGGGTCGACGCCGGCGACGACGAGGTAGGCGCCGATGTGGCCCTGGTAGCGGAAGAGGTGCTGCTTGAGCATGGTCATGCAGGTGACGACGCGGGGCTTGCGGCCCGTGGAGAGGGCGTGGAGCTCGAGGTTGGAGGAGATGATGGCGGTGGTGAACTCGGTGTCGGCGGCGGTGCCGGCGCCCGCGCACCAGATTTGCGGCGCGATGTAGTGCAGCTTCTCGCAGTTCTTGTCGGCGACGATGGGGCCGGAGGTTGCTCTTGTGTCGGCGGCGATCTGGATGGGAGAGAAGAAGAAGATGGGGTAAGCAACGTAAATTCATGCAATTCACCAGGCGGCCCTGGGACCGGAGGGCAAAGGAATGTCTGGGTGTTCCAAGGAGAGACAAACCACTACACCGCCGTCAAATATGCATCCCACGATGGTAGTTCCTGTGCTGGTGGCCTTGGGTAGAGGCACACCGCGAGCATGGAGAGCCGCATTGCGGTTGTAGTTGGTGAAATCGAACCCGGCCATGGTCGCAGGTGCTGGCGTGTCCGTGTCCCTGCAAGCAAGTTGCTGCCAAACTGTTTTCCTCTTATTATTCGAATATCGTCTTTTCTGCGTTTCGACGGGCGTTGATGGCGTACAGATGCGGGTGTGGGCGTCGTTAAAGAGCTGGCGGATTGACTAGGTAGGGGAGTTGTTCGTGAGATGACGAGGCATAGTAGCAGCCTTCTTGTCGAGCAAGTTGGCTGAGGTAGGTACTTTGGAGTTCGTACCGATGTACCCAAGTAGCCAGCCTCAGGTACCTAAGGTAAGGTACCATCTTTGTAAAGTAGGTACCTAAGGTAGCCTTAGGCAGCCTGCATGTGGCCCAAGCTCCTTCCAAACACGTGATGTGATGGTGGGAGACTCTCCGAGCTTGAATTCTTTGTAGAAGTCTCTCTCAGGATCTCAAAAGGTCGTCCAGGCAGTTATTACTCATCACTTCAGGCAACATCTACCTCTGCAATACATATATTTCCACGCGTCCGACGTGTAACTTCCTTCGGGCCGTCTGGGCAAACCCTCTTTGCTGTCGCCCCCGCCGTTATACAGTGGTCAGTTCTGGCAAGAGGGTAGAAGTAAGGGAGAAACAAAAAGCCCCCCGTTCGGGTCAAACCACTCCTCTGTCACTACCATACCACCCATCAGCCTTTCTCCGAATGCCAAAGGTCCTGCCAGGCCTTCCTCAGCCGGCTACCTAGCAACAGCCATGGCTTTCGGATTCAGGAGTTCGGGAAACGCCATGACGGGAGCCGCGCCAGGGCCTGCCGGCGTCTCTGAAGGCCCCGAACTAGAACTCATCCAAACAGAGGTGCGTCGTTCGGTTCCAGTTCATATTTGGTTAACCTACGTTGTCTTGCTCATCCTTGTTCACAGGCCCTCGGATTCAAATCGATTGCTGGAGACGCAAAACTCCGCCTTACAACGCCATGGTCCCCTCCGCCCGCTGACACGGCATCTCTTATAACCATCGCCGCCCGCAAAGGCCTTGTTGCTGCTGCTGGCCCAGACGGTATCGTCACTGCTACGACGGACGCCGTTCGAAAAGGCTTCGATGGAGAGAAGGAAGGCGATTCCGATGTCCGAGTCTTTCAACCGCAGCTCAAGCTTCCTCTGTCCATGCGCGTATCCCACATCGCCTTCACTGCCGACGAGACATACCTCTTGCTTTCTGCGGAATCAGGGGGAGGCCTGGCCGTATACGATACCCAATCCCTTCTTCAAGGCAACACCCAGGCGGCTTTCGAACTAGCGACCAATGGCGAGTCGCTCCGTGCCCTGGCACCCAACCCAACAGCGGAAAAGGCAGACCTCTGCGCCATTGTGACCAACAACGGGAACCTACACATGGCCAGTCTCAAGGAGAAAAAAATCAGTAACCCCCTAAAGTCGCAAGTCAGCTGCGTCAGCTGGAGCACGAGGGGAAAGCAGCTTCTTGCCGGGCTGGCAGACGGGACCATCCACCAGATGACGCCAGAAGGAGAGGCCAAGGCCGAAATTCCGAGACCTCCGAGTGTAACGAATGCCCACGGTATGTTTGTCTTTCTCTCTCGAAGACTTCGATATCTCTGTTACCTATCGACTAATGCATCTTTAGTGGCCTCCCTTTCCTGGCTGGAAAATCACGTCATCCTCGCCATTCACACGAACACAAACGAGTCCCCTCCGTCTTCGACCTACCACATCATTACTCGACAGCCGCCATCCAGCTTCACTTTTCAGAAGATGACCGATCCAGTGGACCCCTTCGGCGCCGAAAGGGTCCCTCACCACTCCATCATGAGACTCAAAGATTTCCCTCCCAATCTCCAGGACCTTCTCATTGTCGCGTCGACCGCATCTCCAGATATCGGCCTGATCAGCAGGTCCAAAACGCCCTTGTCTCCGGACAAGCCTGCCGAGTCCATCTCCAATGTCTTTACCACTACTGAACTCCTAGATGACTCCAAGAGGGCTCAACTGCCCATGAGCGAGTCGATGGACAATACCACCGCTGTCGGTGTGGCGCTCGATCTCTCCAGCAAAGACAAAGTCTACAAGCCTTTGCCTGCAGACGAGGAGATCGAGGAGTCACCGGGACCTCTGCCGGGCTACTGGGTGCTGAACAACGAGGGCGTTCTTTCTTCGTGGTGGATTGTGTACGAAGACTCCATTCGGCAGGGTACGTCCTACCCGAGCTTGGCCGCCCTTGACGGCTCCGCTCAGACGGCGGCCCCTGCTACTATGTCAGCTCCTGCAGCTCCGGCTGTCGCACCAGCCGTCGCACCGGCCTTCAGCGCTAGCACAGGCACATCTGCCTTTGGCTCTACGCCAGCATTCGGGGGTTCCAGCGGTCTTGGGGCGAAACCTTCCCCGTGGGGAACGTCGCAGACCTCAACAGGCACGACCGGAGGACAGCCCTCGACGGCATTTGGCGGTAGTTCATCCGGCAGTGGCCCCGCCTCTTCCGCTCCCGCCTTTGGCAAGACCAGCGCGCTCGGCTTCGGGCAATCTTCGCAAATCGGCCCGAAGACTTCGCCATGGGGCGCGGCAGGCTCCACAGCTCCCAACGCATCCTCGGCCTCGGCTACCCCTGCGTTTGGTCAATCGGGTTTCGGTGCTTTGGGCGGCGGTGCAAACAAGAGCGTCTTCGACAGCAGTACGAGTAGCAATACTGCTGCCTCGGTCCCCACCTCGGGAGGCTTTGCCGGCTTTGCGGGATCAGGCGGCTTCGCGGCCGCCGGCGCGAACACCAGCGGTGGTAGTATCTTTTCTAGCAAGCCCTCGTCGGGATCCCCGTTTGGTTCGGCTGCTCAAACCCTCAAGGACTCGAGCACCGCGTTTCCTGCTCCGAAATCCGGCGGTTCGGGTCTCGCCTTGAACGCGGGTTCCTTCAAGCTTGATAGCTCCTTCAAACCCGATCCCGCGACTAAGGACGACAACGAGAAGCCTTCTTCAGCTGGGGGCTCGTCGCTGTTTGGTAGCAATTTTGGCGCTGCTCTGGGAGACGCGGCCCAGCAGACGTCGAAAGATGAGGATATGGATACTTCGACGACGCCACAACCCACACAAACCAAATCATCTTTTAACCTGGGCGGTGCTCCATCGGCAACCGAGTCCAAGTCCCCGTTCGGCCTGTTCGGATCTCAGTCAAAGGCACCTTTTGCCCAGGCAACGGAGACAAAGTCGCCTGGGCTTTTCGGCAGCACTCCGCCGGCTGACCAGAAGACGCCTCCGGCCAAGTCCGCGTTTGGTCTTGGTAGCACGGAGACTACGCCTCAGGCAAACCCGGCTTTCAGCCTCGGCGGTGCGCAGCCAAAATCTCCGTTTACTCTTAACGGCCATGAGTCTACAACTCCTACGACTACTCCTGCGCCGAGTAAATTTGGCTTCCAGACTACTTCCGACACTCCCAAAGGCAGCATCTTCGGCTCCACAGCAACTAGCGGTGGCCTCTTTAAGACATCCGAGCCTGCGAAACCTGCCGCGGAGGCAAAACACCCCGAGATCAAAGTGGAAAGTCCCGGCGAAGCGCCTCTTCCCCCAGAGTCGACAAGCAGGAACGCGTATCCTCTCGGAGAGTCCTCGTCCTCGTCCGGTACTTGGACCGATGTAGGTAGCAAGACTTCCAAAGCAGACGATGCGCCACTGCCGCCCGACTTTGTTAAACCTGCGAAGCCTGCGGGGAAGCCACCCTCGCCTCCAGACACACTCTCCACGCCCAAACCATCCACGTCGGGGGGTATCTTCTCATCCCTGTCGGAGAAGAAACCGGCTTCGTCCACTCCTTCGCAGCCATTCACATTCCCATCAGTCACTCAGGATGCGTACTCGGACAGCTCCGATGAAGGGTCTACCGACGGATCACAGCTGGGCGAGGAGGCGCCGCTGCCTCCCGACTTTGTCAAGAAGGCTCCAGTCAAGGAAGCGGCGCAGGTCCCGGCCGTACCAGATAGTGAAGGCGCCAGCGACCTCGGGGAGGAAGAGGGCGACGCTGAATCTGAGGGCAGCGGTGTTATGGTGGGCAAGGACACCAGCCCGTCCACCACGGGTTTCGCGGCAACACCCGGGTACACGCCTCAAAGCTCATTCGGTGGAATGTCCGGCAGCACTTTCATCATCCCTCCGGCACAATCCGACATGCCACGTGGCTCGTTGTTTGGGGAGCTGGGGAGAGCACAGGTGCTGCCGCGGCCAAACGCCACCAGCCCCCGGTCGCCAAGCCCGGTTCGCAGTGCGATACCGAGCAGAGTGTCCCAGCCAAGCGGCTCACGGTCGGTTAGCGCCCCCGGCATGGCATCGCAGATTCTGGGAGGATCTAGGCGGTCAGGGCATCAGATGGGATTATCTACCGTGGCCAACAGGCTGGAGGAGGACCCGCAACTGAGACAACAGAGGCAGGCCCGCTCGAGACGTGAGGCCGAAGAGACAAAGGTGTTGGAGGATGAAGAAGACGATGAGATTCAGAGGATCCTCGCTTCGGACATGGAGCCAACGCTAGTTCTGGACGACTTCATCGCGCACACCAATGTCGTTCCCTCCTCCCAGGAGACGATTCCGTCCCAGGTAGAGGCCGTTTACCGAGACATCAACTCGATGATCGACATGCTGGGTCTGAACGCTCGGTCTATGGCAGGTTTCATCCAGGGACATTCGGAGAATTATAAAGAAGGCGGCCGACACAAGGAAGATCTGGAGAATCCCGATGACTGGGTCCTGTGTGAAGTCGATGAACTGGGCGACGTACTCGACACGGAACTAGCCCAGGAGCTCGAAAACGGGAGGGTCCAGGACGTGGAGGGCAAGCTGGAAGCGTGTCACGACCTAACCCGGGAGATGTCGCGGCTCCGGTCGAAGCAGGAGGATCTCAAGAAGCTCATCACGGTTCGGCTAGACCCAGAGCAGGCCGAAGTCAGCCGGTCGCTGCCCCTTAGCGCGGAGCAAGCGACGCAGCAGAACGAGCTCCGGCGCGAGTACGGCAAATTCATGCGGCAGCTGGCGGAGGCCGAGGAGACGCTGACGCTGCTCAAGACCAAGCTGGCGCCGATGACGGCGACGTCGGGCAAGAGCACGGCGAACGTGCCGACGGTCGACGCGGTGATGCGGACCATCCACAAGATGACCAGCATGGCGGAGAAGCGCTCGGGCGACATCGACGTGCTGGAGAACCAGCTGCGCAAGCTCCGCTTCTCGTCGGCCGACCGCCGTGAAGGCTCGCCTCTGGCGGCGGCGACGACGACGACGACGACGACGCCGCAGCGCAACAGCCACAACAACCGTTCGGTCGTCTTCTCCCCCGACTCGGCGGCTGGGGGGTCGCCTCGCGCGTCGACAACGCACAACCCGCCCAACTCGCTCATGTCTTCGGTCGCTTCGGCCGGCGGCGGCGGCGGCGGTGGGGCGACGCCGAGGAAGAAGCTGAGCGGGTTCAGCCGCGCGGAGAAGGTAGAACTGATGGAGAAGAAGGCGAAGCGCCGGGCCGTGCTGGATAAGCTCAAAGCGAACATCAAGAAAAATGGGGTGCAGCCCTGGCCGATGCCCGAGGATACTGAGTAAGGGTTGGTACAGGAGGGGAGAAAAGCAGGCCTCCTATTGAACTGGCTGAGGCTTGGTTGGATCTGCCATGGGTGGAATGTATGACTAGGGGGGATCACCGGGATGCTTCGTGGCGATGATGGGCAGCAGGGCGGGGACCAGAACCAGAACCAGAACCAGAACCAGGGAGCCTGGAGTCTGGGCCACTGGGGTACGCGTTGTATTTTATTGTGTGGATGTTCTGTATTAGGATGTAGTAGGCTTCTTTACGCCGTACAGTCGTAATTTTTCATTCTGAGCATCGATCGAGTAAAAAACCTTTCGAGGCTCCTTTAGAGTGTGGTCGTGTCTCGGTAGGTAAGGTTGTAATGTGATGATCCTACGATGGCCGCTCTCTCAACCACTGCGGCTGCGGGAGGAGGCTCTCTTGTCTTCTAGAATGCGAGATGTTTCTGGTTTCTTTGGGATTTTTTGGGGCACAAAAGGAAATTTGCTCCCTAGTAAAAATAGACATAGTACTGTCTTTATGGCACAATGCTGAGCCAATACTTGTCTCTGTCTCTACCACTGCGGTGACTATGGGACTTTCAGCTACTAAATAGGGTGTTTAGAACTGTAGTGATTAACTTGACCTTACTGTCATTCAGTTTGAAGCGATCACGATATACGGATAAAACCTCCTTGTTAACTAACCCTTTAAGAGTCTCTCACAACTGTTCTCTTTAGATTTGAAACTTTCCGTTTGGTTTGGAAACGGCCCATCATACATTTTTAAGTGCCTATTTCTGTATACTCTTCACACTTTCACTATTATTTTCTGTTAAAGTAGCGCCGTATCAAGACCCCTCGGGCCTCGGGCCTCGGACCAGCACCACCCTAAGTATGTATCACTTTGGACGAGCCACCGGGAAGGAGTGGTTAGCACGAGTACGAGTGGGTATGACTAAGGTATGTATCAGTAAGGTAGGAACCTGATATATTTTAACCCCCTATATGATGTCACGGGAATACCTGCGATGGGAGGGCAGGCAGTTGGAGACAAGGGATTGCTGCCGCACGAAGAACCCCCGTTTCTTCTGCCTCTCTACCCCGCCAACATCCGAGGCTATTACGTCTTTTTACTCCGTGGAAGGGCCTCGTGTAATTTACCACGACAAGTTAGAGCCAGGGCAGGCTGGTGATACGTTTGGTTTTTGACGTCATGTCCTATATTTACAGGCTGCAAAAAAGGCCAAGCCACTGTTGTGAGAAAGAAAACAAGTCTTGGGATTCAAGTTGGTTTCCTTCCAAGTTGTAAGCCGGTAGCTGGTAAGAGAACCGGGATGTTAAGACAAATAACACTAAGAACACTGCAAAAAGCGTGCCATGTCGTCCGATTCAACTCGACGTCTTTTGAGCCTCAAAACGATTCTCTGCCGATCAATCAATGATCGCCACGATATCCTCAGGGAGATCTGATATGGACAGACGCCAAGCTTCTTCAAGGACACTTCTTGCTTTTGGTTGTTATTCCTTGGTTTGATTTGATTCGCGGGACCTTTTTTGGTTATTTCCCCCCCCCCTTCTCCTTTTAAGTTTTAAGCTCGCTATTTATTAGTCCCGGGTTTTTTTTTCTTCTTCTTTGTTTATTTGCCCAATGTATTAAACTTGCAAGACAAAGCAAAGTATTAAACTGTGTATTAGTCAAACTCCTTACCTTGTCTCTCGAGTTCTTCCAGTACACTGACAATGGCGTTAGATCTCCACCCACCACGTACACTGATGACATGGTAGTACCTTGATGTGTCTGACGCTGGCCCTGACAGGGATATAGCCTCGATACAGCCTGAAAGACAAAAGGGACCCGCTGGCGGATGTGAAGGTGAGAGGATGGTAAGGTTCTGTATGGACTCACAGTGGTCGGCTTTGAAGCAGCCGACGCTAGGCTCGCAGACACATAGGATTGGGAGGAGGAGATATGTGATGGGCACTGGCGCAGTTGCATATGTCCAAGGGCTGTCATGCAGGGATGCAAGAGAGGGCAGGGGCGGAAGAAATACGAGACTGGAAGAGACACTACGGCTGTAGCGTCGACACTTGACACACCGCTCTTGTGTTTGATTACATTTTGCAAACACGACCTCTGTACCGTGGAGGATGGGCCAGGTCAATGAGATAGTATTTTGAGCCATATCAGGATTGAGATGGCGCAAAGGGAAATAAATAAATAAAAATGGGATACGATCTTGCTCTCTTGTAGATGGGATACTCGGGCTCTTGCTTTTTTTCTTTTCTTTTTTTCTCTTCTTCTTTGACACATGTGGTGGATATACATACCTAGGGGGGGAGGACAGTCTTAGAGCTTCATATTCACAGAAACATCTCAGTCCCGGCTCTGGCCAGCGCAAAATTCTCTGTTCGAGCTCTGACCTATGTACAACGTACAAACCACCCCTTAGGTGTGAAAAGGGACAACAAGAAACTGGGAGTCATGGCCCACGACTCGTGGGGCGAACGAAACTCAACTTAGGTACTCAAGTTAACCTATGGCATGTACAGCTCCCTATCGTTAGAGGGAATACAACAGCGGAGTCTTATTCCCCCGAGGGTTTGAAACTCACAAAGTCGTTCAAACCCCCTTGCGGAGGAGCCTGTAATCACTGCTGGTGTCCAGGAGAGTCACTTCCTGGGTTCCTCGACAATGTATGACAATCAATGTCTCCGGTACATTTACTTGCCCGTCCGTCTGTTTAGACATTGACTAGCGACACCGCCCCACCTTCACTATACCGACTCCCCTCCAACCCCCCAACCTTATCCGCTCGTTGCACACTATGCTTCCCCGCACGCCCCCCTTTCTCCCACCCGCCTTTGACAGCACAGGTACCGAGTACTTTGTCCTACATGTACCAAGCGCGGCCCAATGATGTTTATTATTAGTCCTAATAAATCAGACTTTCTTTGAGCACCATACACAATGACGTAAGGTGACGTCATTGTTGTTTGCTGACGACTCGTGGAATGCCTGGTTGAGTCTGCGCAGATACTGTACCCATACTTAGCCAGGTAAAGTACTTCGTAGTTCAATCATTCACAGCGTACGGATACTTGCCATAGCAAGGTATTCGTACTCCATGGTTGCTACCCTCTCGGGCTTATTCTCCCACGCAGACGAGACTTCTCCCTGCACGGGCCTCAATTCTCTTCGCTGTACACGTGTAGAGGCAATTGACTGCGGAATTGTTGTAAGAAATACTTTGTGGAGAATATACATAGTGTATGTCGGTAACTGGGAACCGTCTAACATTGTCCACTTTATCATACGCGTCCTTCGCTTCTTCCTCCTTGGCAAATACTCCAGATCGTCAGATCGAACTGGGATCGAATCTGCGAATCCGGGGCGGGAGATGTACCTCTACTTTCCTACTTTGTCGCACCGTGTGGTAATCGTTCAATGTGGCAAAAATGGTTTCTACGAATTGAATGGACAGAATCCAGCCACTCCGCCGCTAAACTCCGCACCAATGTCGGGCGAAACCAACTGGACCCTGAAGATCCCATCTCTCAACTCGAGTCCACGGGGTCAAAAATCAAAAACGGTCGGACTACCGAGAGGAAACCTGACTAGCTACGTGTACTTTCCTTGATGGTGTCTGCGTGGTATGCTACGTGTAAATCGCCAGGTTCTCGTCACGGGTTAGGTTCCGCGCCTGCTCTGCCGGCAAACCCCTCTTCCCCGAGCCCGCCGTAAAGCCGGCAGGGGTAGCAGTGTTACTATGTCCTAACTTCCAAGTTCCGGCTTACCCTTGACATGTCAGCCACCACGTGCCCCGAGTACAGTAGTCCTCTTCTCCGCCTGTACTTAGTGTGTCATGGAGAGCGTGAGCCACATTGGTGCCGGTGGGTGAAATAGTCCGAAGGGACGTCCATGCCATGTTTTCCCTAGGTACCTACCTAGGTACCTTACCTTACCTTGTCCATCGTTCCAGAGGTACCGAATACATGGTTGTCTTTCTCCATACCATAAGGTGGTAAGTGCTGGCTCGTCCGCGACTCCGCGGTATGCTCGTGTCGCCTAGCCATTCCGTTATGGCGTATTAAGCGGGGCTTTAGTTCCCCTAGGTATGCCAAATCAGTGCCGGCACCGGTCTGTCCCCTTTCCTCCGTCCGTTCCTCCCTCGCTCTTTGCCGGCCGGTTTCCAGAAGTTCCATCTAGCCCGCCCAATAAGAAGCTATAAGCCAAAAGCTTGAATGAGCTTGACTTCGGATAGAAGGCGGGGCTCTCGTCCCCACCCCACCTGGACTTGACTGCCTTTTCCTTTCCGCTTGCCTTGCCCGCGTGTGGCAACGATCACCGTCCTGGCAGGGCCAGTTGGGGACCACCTGTCACAACACCCACCCCCTTTTGGGCTTCCCTTTTGGGATTCCCATGGAGTCCTCTGTATTCGAAGTACATTACGCATACCCCTTTCATCGGTAGGTGCGTCCTTATTGGTACCCCCGCTCGAAAATCCTTTTTTTTTTTGCTACTCAATTTGAAACACGTGTGCCCACTTTTAAGCTTACGCAGCTCGCAGATGCCCCAGCTACAGGTTCTACCATGTACAAAGTACAAAGTAATCAATTACCTAGGTAGGTAGGTACGGAGAAACCTCACCATATCCCTAACCTCCCCCGGAGCCTTGCGGTGACCGCAGTGGTCCGAGTAGCCTAAGACGACCGGTATACTTCTCCGTCTAATATGTTGCTTTCGTCGACTGACAACAAGGCACAGCGTGGATGAGGCGTCTCATCTACTCGGCGAACGAAGCTCCTCACATCTCGCCGGAGTTGCGACAACCTTCTCACTCTATCTCTCCGCATCGACGTGAGCACACCCACTCCACTCATGGTATTGCCAGCTTGTATGTATGCGTACCTCGTATGCGTGTGTGTATGGTTCATATAGAGTACACGGCTCAGCGGGATACTAACTAATTACTGTGATACCGTAGTGTACATACAGTAGCCAACCATGGTTGACCAGAAGACATTGGTCGGGCCTTCAGCCAATTCAGCGGCTCCTCAACCCATCTGTGCCTCATCTCAACCTCAGTTCTCACTCTGCTGGAGAGTACTGTAGCTCATAATTACCCGGGCTTTCTTTCTCAAATTATAACCACCCCGGCACTTAAAAATGTGTCCAATTTTCCAGTCATAGGCGCTATGTTCGACGCAAGGGCAGATATGCCGGCGCGCGCCGCCGACGACTACACACTCCCGGGGTGCTTAGGCGACCTTGCTTAAGACAAAAAGACCCCTCCGACGGATGGTGACTGTGCATGAGGCACCAAATGGGCTTTCTGCCCCTGACTCAGTCTTGTCCACAAGGCTGATATGTCAGTCTACGAAGGATTCCGCTTTATCAGTGCAATATCAGCTCAACCGACGCTGGACTCCCCCTTGATGAGTTGCCGGGAGTCCAACCCTTTCTCAGTCCGGGTTATTCGGAGGGCTATCTAGAAAAGACCTCCGCAAGGCTTTGTGGTTCAGGAGGCCACGCGGCGTCCAGAGGACGCCCGGTATGTATTGGCCAGTTACCCGGGCGCCATAATGTCGATCACCACCCCCTGAAGGAGCGGAAACAGCCCATGTGCCGGACTCGCTGATCTCTCCGCGTCATCAGTCTCAGCTCCTTCTTCCTCCCCTCTTCGTCTCTCCATCGTCGTCGGATCGCCGTGGACAGATCAGATGACAATAATAGGAAACTAACCACGGAGACGGAGGCAAGAAACAGTCTGGTGGCTGCATGGCAGATCCCCCTCTCAAGGAGAACCGAGGGGGGGGGGAGGGGGGGAGGGGGAGAATCATTACTCTTCTCTGCCATCTCCATCCACTGCCTCGGGCAGGAGTTAAGCATATTTCCAAAAGTAGTTCCCCTTTCATCGCCGATCGTCGCTCGTTAGCCGGCCCTCCCATCCCTCCATTCCCCCTATCCCAACCCCCTATCGCCTTACTCTTCCACTTCTGACTCCACCAATTGCCTGGCTCTGGTTACAAAACACGTTTATCCCTGCCAGGCCCTTTAACCACGAGCAAATAAGCTTCCTGATACCATCCCGTCTCGACACTAACGTCAGGTCAGGGATCATGTTACCCTTCGTCCCATGGACCCTAGAAGCAGCGGATGTACGCGTAGTGCTTGCTACCTGGTCTGATAGTCCATGAATTGGAACAACAACGGGGAAGGCAGCTAGAAAAGGAGACAGGCGGCGGCGGTTCAGAGTTCCCCAGTCAAGGACGGGCAGGAGAGCAAAAAAGAAATGGGGGGAACAAAGAGAAAAAGAAAGGGCAGAGATCGCCCGAGGGGCCCGGCCCATGGGGCCATGCGATGCGATGCATGAACGGCACTCGAAGGATCGTCAATCAACACTTTGCTCGCTCTGGGGAGGGATGCTCCGTAGGAAAAGGGGATTCATAGTTGTCATCTCCATCGCCCCGACATCCCGTGTCTTTATTGTAATGCCGAATCCGTCCATTGTATCTGACAACTTAGCCGCTTCTCACGCCGGCTGACCTGTCGGTCGACAGCATTGGGTAGCATAAACAAAGACATCTTGCAGTACCTACCAGGCCAGTACTTTAGGCAAAACATCGGGAAAAGATGATAGTACGGAGTCGTTAGGACCTTTCATGATGCGTCGGGTGCTTCTGCATGTCGATATAGCCATATGCCGTCAAAACATTCCGTGGCATGAACCGCCTCGACCGCCTCTCTCTCCCGGCCCTGACCTGTCTTAATCTGTGAGCTGATCGCTAGGAAATCAAAGAACCAGCCAAAATCGGGTGACCCCTGGAGCTAGGAAGCCGTACTCCACCCCTTTCCATCTCTCCCCTGCTCCCTACTCATGACCTCCTTCCACATTCTTTTCACAGATGGTCAGCCAGCTTGTGCGTGCCGAGTCCGTCATAGTGTGAAGAAATAAACTGGTTTGTTGGTACAAGGCCTCGGGCTAGCCGTCTTCCAGCGAGCGAGGGCGGACACTAAGAATATGAACAATAGTCACAACAATATCCCCACCGCCCGTGTCTGGCTATGATTTTTTCTATGATCACAAACAATGTAGCCGCGGGAGTATGTGCGGAAATGACAGGATGGGTTCTCAGAACACGCAGCCATAAAAAGTTAAATGCATCAGCCGTGTCCCACTCTCGCAGTGTTCGCCGCGGATGCTAGGCTCCTGCAAGAACCTGCGTGCGTGGGCGCGTAAAGCCAAATCAGAAACGGGGGAAGTAGGCCTTGACCCCTAGAGACAGGGGTCACAGAGCCATTTGCCGTATAATGTTCCGTAACGCCGTGATGAGGGTATCACCGGATCCTCCCTAGTCCAACTGGTAATCGTTCCAGTTCCCTTTTACCCCTCTTAGTCCAACACGCCAATGAATGGAGTCGAAGTGTCGATATCAGACACCTATAGAGAGCTCCTCATGAAGCCGCTTCATGGGACCGACTGCCGTGGTTGTGAACATCCTGAAACGCTGATCGAAACGAGTCGCAGTGTGGGTGTCATCCCTAATTGGCCCATTTATAAGGACAGCTCCGGATGCCACCATGGGTGCCGATGTGGTGTCCCAAATATTCCGTCGAAACCTGAGACCGAGAGAAATCGTCGCGCAAAAATAAACCCCTTCCATCCCAGTAGACCCAGTTGTGACCGATTATTGGACTTCTTTTCTTCGCTCCCAATAATGACGGAAAAGACTGTAATGAAACGTATCGTGAACAGCAGGGTCGTCTATCATATAAGCCTGTATGTAGGGTGGTCCCGTGACGGGGAATGGTCGTGACGGAAGTTATTTCGAACCCCGAAGGAAATAGGAGGATTTCTCATGCGAAACGATCATTGCCGCAAAAAGCGGCGGCGGCGGCGGCTTATGGTGGATCATGTGTAACTTGGGCATAGGCTCCGAAGATGCCAAGGTAAGAAATTCACAAGGGAAATGCATGTTCCGGATCATCATTCAGAATGATGGTCCTCGGAACCTGCCTCTGATCTCGCATCCCCTTTATGTACCTTTTTGTGGCGGCGGAGGTTGGAAACGACCGAGAAGTGTCGGCCACAGCCCTCAACCTCGCAGGCAAACGCTGGTTCTCGATGGTTAGCCGGAGCAGTTACTTTTTCTTTTTAGCGGGATAGTTTCTTACGCTTCTCGCCAGTGTGGCTGTACATGTGCGTCTGGAGAGATGACGGGCGGGTGAATCGTTTATCGCAGACTTTGCACTTGTGCTTCTTCTGTGTGCTAGATGATATCTTGGAGCTGAACTGGCCCATCATTGACTGTGGAGCTGGAGGTGCCTGGTTGAGCAACCCGTGCGGCCGGGGCAGGGTACGAGAAGTGACGGACTCGATATCCGAAGTCGAATAGTCACTAACGGAATCTGCGCCGTAATAATTGGCGAAAGCGCCGCCGGAAGAAGAGACCGAAGAGCTGGTAGAGTGCGTAGCCGGGAATCCATACGAGTCACCAGAACCCCTCTCGTTCCGAGTCCCATAGATATTTCGGGGCGTCTCCTGGCTCATGGCTAGCATGCCGTGGCTCGCATCAATGGCGTCGGCGAAACTCCTCCTGTCGTCGTGCAGGGCCCTGCGATCAAAGTCAGTCAACGGGTTCCTATGGGTCCGTCGCGGAACGGGCGAGTCCGCCAAGGACGTCGAACCGAGAAGCGGAGGGATACTGACGACTGAGAAAACCTCCTCGCGTGATCCTGTTCGGGGGGGAGGGCAAAAGCCGATCTCACAGGCGCGGGGGCGTAGCCCATGGACTCGTATGGGGCTGGGGAGGCCGTGTATGAGGCGTTGACGGGTGATGCGGAGGATGCGTAGCTGCTGGCGGCATCACTGTAGTGGGAAGCAGAGGTAGGGTGCATGCGGTCGATGCCGAGAACGTCTTGATAATATGTGAGCAAAAAGAAAAAAGGAAGGGTTTACCTTGCAAAACGAAGGGGGAGAAGGAAGTCAAAGCCTGTGGCTGACAGAAAAGGCTCACCTGTTGATGCGGCGGTTACAGGAATCTGACCGTAGGAGCCCATGGAAGCGCTGCTGCTCGTGCTTGCGCGGGTGGCGTGTGACCTGTCGAGGCCCAAGCTGGGATGATGAAGGCTTTGATTGCCATTGACATAGAGCGGGTGGCTGCTCGGCGCCGAGGACGTGGGACCCCAAGGATTGGAGAATTGGGGGCCGGCGGTGGACGAGGAAGTCGGGTAGGGAGGCATGTGGTCCAAGTTCAAGGGTCCAAATCGTTGATGTGTAGAGTCTAATGTCATGGTCATGATCAATGGAGTATCTGCGCGGGCGGGACTCCTTCGAAGAAAGGCTGGCAAAGGTTGGCGAGTAGCTTCGCTGATCAGATGCGCGTTTCCGTCTTTGAAGGGAAAATAAAAGAAAAGAAAAGAAAAGAAAAAGCCAAGTCGTAACACAAGACAGATCAGATGAGACTAGAAATCTTTCCCCCCTTTGGAAGAAAACGAGAGACTTCGATGTTGGGGGATCAGCGAGGTATATGTGCGTGTAGCGGACTGCCGACACACACATCCAACCCGCACGGCTTGCACCAGCGGGAACAGAGACCCAGTGGTTTGAAGGGCCCGGGGTGGTAGTCTGAAGCCTGTCGCACACTGGTCAGTGGGACGGGGGTGGTGGAGATGCCTTTCTGGTGCAGTCTGTTGCCCTTGGGGAGGATAATGTACAACGTACAATGTAGAGCTGTGACGACTCCCGACTCGGAGTGATCGACAGACCAAATGTCCCGTGGGAGACAGGCCCAAAAGCGACCAGGGTGAAGGGGTCGATTAAGTACGTGTACGTTGTAGGGAGATATAGGTCCACACAGCCTGGCTGGGACTGGGAACCGGGGTGGACGGGGACGTGGAGAGAGAGAGAGAGCGCAATAGCTAACACTTTCTCTCGAGGCTGTATTCGGCCCCCAAGGCTTCTTCCAAGTTTATGAACGAGAGATGACAGAAATGACAGAGATAGATGGCGATATGATGTATTATGAGAGTCGAGATGCCGTCCCTGGATTTCTGTTGGGATTTCTTTTCCTTTTTTCTTTTTTCTTCTTTCTTTTTCTCTTATCTCTCTGATTCGATGCCGAATAGAAGTGAATCCAGGGCTTCAACACGTGAGTATGGGTTCAACAACTTGATGCAGGATTAGTCGGAGAATTCGAGCAACTTTCGCCAAGATCATGTAGCTTCTTCGTCCCGAAGAGGGAATAAAGGCAACTTGATGTGCGAGTCACGCTGGGTACGTGCGTGCTGACTTCGGATATGGTAGGGCGGAGATTCTTTCCAATGATTTGAGAAGCGGAGGGATGATCACGGAGGAATATTATCAAGGCTGTCCTCGTCGAGGCTATAGAGGAGAGGAGATAACGCTTTTTAATTCCTTGTGGGTCGTGGAAAGTGACGGGCTGGAGCCGTCCCAGTGCGTAAAAAGACGACGAAGCTATGATGTCGGTCGGTCTTTCTGCAAAAAAACTACGAATACCTTCGTACCTAAGGTACCTACCTAAGGTACCTTTACTCCGTATGTGAAGTAAGGTACGTGAAAGGTGCCTATGTGAAGGTGTGAGTGGGATGGGAAGTTTGGTGCGTATGTACATGTACAACGACTAAAGGCGAATAATTAGGGAGTACGTTGTAAGAACCAAGGTGGGGAAACTGGGGAAGGGGGTGTGCACTGTGAGGTGAAAGGGGAGGGGGGGCGGGGGGGTGGTGCTTCATTCCTGCGGCCAGGGTATAGGTGGATAGAACACAGTCCTGTGGTTGTATAGGTACATGTGTTCGTTCGGGGATGGAGTTTCGAGGCTGTTATTCAGGGGGTGACCTGGGGCCATTCATGGTTTGCCTCATACATTTGAATCAATTGCCTACCAGGTGATGTTGAACTTTTGATGCTCTTATAAGAGCGATCTTATATATTACGCCTATAAAGTCAGGTATTTATCTTTTGTAATTAAAACTTGGACGAGTCCTGGTCTTCTGGAGATGGCTAAGATATAACCATGAGCCTGGTGACATCCCTTGACTACCTACAGGGAGAAACATTACCGATGCAGAGGACTTGATTAAAACTGAAAGGCTGCCGTTCTTCTCGACGTCCCGGGCCAAACATCAGAGCGGACGTCGAGAGGAATTCGGATGAAAGCACGGAGACCCTTCGGCCGAGGGATATGCAGGGACTTGTGTCCGGGTGTACTCCGTACTTAACCTTTGAATTTCGGCTGTGTAAAAGAAGTAAAAGGAATAAAATAAATAAAAAAAGGGAAAAAAGAAAAGAAAAGAAACCTCGCCGTGAAGTATTCTCCGTACGGATTTATTTCGACACGACCGTTTCAACGACCGATGGGAGTTTATTACCTAGCCCGGACTACGCACCCTAGCTAGGCCTTGTTAGCTTGCCCTGGCAAGTAGGTAAATGCTCGTACGCAAAATAAAGCCGGTTCCTGGTATATATATTGCCGGCTAATATTGGTCGTTTCTCATAGGCGGCGGCATTTGATCTTGCCCTAGGACAAGGCATGCGTGCAAGTCACGTTCACATGCCTAAGGTACCTAGGTATATAATAAATGAATGCACGTCTATCTCTAAGAAACCGAACAGAAAAAGCATCGCTGCCGTGAGGAGCCTTGTAGCTCAACAAGTTCGATCTCCCCACTGAGTTCGCCTACTATTCACTCTCCTGCCCTTCGTAATATACTGGGCAGACTTGGGGATGCGAATAAAATAGACAACTCAATGGCATTTAGATAGGTAGTATACTGATTACTCACACTACTCTAACTACCGTAGACGTGTCGGTTGTGGGCCAAGGGAAGTTGCAAAGACAGCACGGATAAGTTATAATGTAGGGATACATTCCAGAGGGGAACGAGGAAGAGTGGGGGATGGAAATGGCAACTTCGACGAACGGCGCGTGGGTTGGGGTGTGAGTATACCTATGCATGGATACCATGTACCAGAAATCAAGTGAATGCAACGTCCCACTGGCCCGCTCATTTCTGTTTGTCATGTCCAACCAAGTCGACTAAGGTAGAGGGAAAAGGGGGTGGGAGAAAAGAAAGCGGATCTTAGGGCGGGTCTCCAAGATGTCAGTGCAGTGAACAACCAGTGACGTAAGGTATGTTGACTTAGTGCAGTTGTTTCGAGCAAGGGCCTCCTGTTGAAACAACCAAACCCTTATCCACACCACAGTCTATTACAGTGCAGAACACTGTATCATTCCCCCCACCCACCCTATTTGATTTCTCTCCTTCCCTGGTTGATGCCCTGGCTCTCAAAGTACCTGTAAGATGAGGTAAATGGAGGTATATACGTAAGGTCCCTTACCGTCCCATCCACAACCGAACCTCGGGTACCAGGGTTCAGTGTAACCTCTAGGCGCGGGAAACCTTCGAAGGTACTAATTAAGCACGGCTACGGAAAAGAAACGACCAAGGCATCGTCTCAAACTAAGGAGGCATCAACGCCGTATATAGGGAAGAATGCTCGGTGTCGTCATGTGTCTCCTATAATAATTACGAAGTAGTGTACGAATAATCGACTTGGCATCGATGCCATGCTTCTTCTATTCCCCGGACCGCTCGTAGATCCATTAGTCTAAACTGCCGCCTGCCTTGTCGCCGGATCATGGGACGTCTTGCGGGTATGGGATGACTATACCTACGTGTACTTTGTAAGCGAATTCTTTGCTGGATCACTAAGGTATAAATCGCTTTTATTTATTTATTTATTCATTTCATTTCATAGCTGCAGCCACCTTGGCTGCACGACGACAGAGATCTCATTTCCCGCCCGAAGCCGCGGTAGTTGACGCAGGCCCCACCCTCTGTACTTGTACTCGGCCTCATTCCCAATTTAGCTAACCCTCGAGGTAGGTCGCCGTTTCTCTCGTCGTGTCGGTACTAACATAGGACTTTCCATCACTCGTCGGTCTCCCCCACTCCCGGCCGTCGACGGACTTGAAACTAAACTCACTGTACAGTCTCTCTCGAGTTCCCTCACTGCGACCACACGTCATTAGCATTCCCCTAACAACATCTGCCATGAATAAGGGAGAGGTGTTATTGGCAACATGGCAGTCAGTGCCAGGGACAGCGACATCTTCAATGACGCCATCGTCATGTCTTAAGATTATTAAAGCTACGTGCCACAGGAAAAATATACAAACTGAATGGCTTCAACTGACGTATAAGGTAGGTAGATAACTTTAGTCCTTGAATCTGGCCGTTCAAAGCTGGCCGTGTTGTTTTGCGACGCGGACACGAGGCCCTTCTTCCTAGTTCACGTGTCGTCTTCTGCGCAAATGCTACGATACGAATAGTATGGGTGAGAGCGGCCTTATTTCCGCTGGAGGAACCCCGATTTGTTTCGTTTGTGTCTATTCATCTTTCCTGCCTACGGTACATACGGCATCAAAGAGAGCATAGTGCGGGTTGGGTGATTCGGCGTTTCATCTCCTTCGGTGACGACGATGACCCCAAGTCCACCAGTATGGTATTTTAGGTACTTGACGGTCAATTAGAAGGGTTTCGGTACTTGCTAGTGCGAGAATCCACCCGAGAAACCAGGATCTTGGTCCCCCCCTCTCGTGAGATGACGGTAACTGGGATGTTGGAAGTGGCGCTGCGCTAATACAGCGTTATGCCTTCCGCTGCAAGCCAGACAGACAAATACAACGTACTGTGCATGGCATTCTTTTAATAACGCGGCCTGTATTGGCTGGGGGGGAGACAGAGAGAAAACAAGCATAGCGGATTCTCTCCGGCCCCCCATGACACAACCTCTGAGCCTGTCGTTCCCGAAGGTGATTTAACCACCAATCACCATGCCCGCTCAAAGACAGATATTGGCTGTTGCGGTCGATATGGTACCTCCGTATATAGCCTTAAGGACACGCGACAGAGACAGCCTTAACTGTGTACCTAAGTTGGCGTTATGCCTTAATCAAATAAAAGGGAGGAATACCTTACAAAAGGCGCGTAAGCACTAATCAGTTCGTGCAAGTGCCTGTTTGGACAAGTGCAAGCCACAAGACGTCTCCGTGCCAATTTTTTTTTTGCTGTCTATATCGCCTATGTCGGCCGAGAGCATTAGGAAATTATACGGAGTACTTAGATCCTGTAATGTAATCGTTTATCGGGAAGTCCTTTAGAATCACAGCGTAGTATTCTATTCGTACGGATATTTTCATCTCAATTATAAAGTCCTGCTAAGCCAGTTAAGAAGACACGCATACAGCGTAAACCCAGTCCGGCAACATGAAACGCGCTAGACAAGGAACCCTTAATTAAGGTGCAAATCAGCCCCAGACGCCCTGTCCGAGATCCACTCTCGAGGGGCTGGAAAAGGTACAGACACGTACCCTACCAAGTTATGTACAACGTACTTCATAGAAGGGCAGACATCTAATCCCAGACTAAGGCAGTAGATTTGGCTCCCCTTTGTCCTCGGAGATTCAACGGCACGTCAGCGCTGATCCGGGAGCAACCTTTTGGCTTGTCTTTCCTATCCGCCTGGTTCGGACGATCGCGTCCGACCTCATCCAAGGCAGAAGGCTGTGGACGAACAACTGTCGTGTTCAACTCCACACAGCTCCGGAGCTGTTGCCGCATGCGTTATGGAAAGGCTGAGCGTCCGGAAATAGTGACCACTGGGTAATTAGCCATGGGCATTCGAAATCGAAACCCCTCCCCCCACCTTTTTTTCCTTCCCCAGAGTGCGAAGCCAGCACCTGACCGCTGGACGACGTTGATCTTTGTTCCGAAATGCCCTCTCGGGACCTCGGACATCGATCGGATGTTCCGAATGTCCCGATGTCCGGACCGTGGCGGACAGATCGGCTAGTATCTGGAAAGAAAGATGATGAGATGCTAGGTACCTGGTTTTTGAAGGAGCCCTTGACAGCACGTTGAAGAGGGACAGATACGCTCGTCCAAATGTCAATACGCCACTATACAAGCGGAATTGCGGAGAAATACAATAGGACAGGATGTATCGGTTATAGCTAGGAGATGCCTTTCATTTCTCCTTGATATTTGTGTCTTTTTTTAGAACACTTTGACTGAGTGCGTGGGTCTTATTTAGACTGTGCGAATCCGGCGCAAATACTGTATGAGATGAAGGTAGGACGACCCGACCCAGCAATGTCGAGACTCCACCCACCCTTTGCCCTAGGTAGCAATGACAAGGCATCCTCTACCTTAATTGACGAGGGGCTACCTTGGTGTATGTACGTTGTACGTTGTACTCCGTATATGTCGCGGCATCCAACAAGACGGCGTGGCCCTCAGTAAGGCAATGTCGATCATAACTGATTGCAGTATGATTGTGATCAGGGTCATGGTCGCTCGTAGCCGCACAACCTTGTTGTCTACACGTGTACGTGTACTTCGTTTAGTATAACGTACTGTTTCCGTACGTACCTACACCTGTACTAAGGTATATCAATGCATTTCTTCGGCAGCGGATGGCTTTTACCATGAGGTTACGAGATCAGAGCAGGTATCGGGCAGCTTGACCCCTGCTGTAGCATGTTAGTATTTGGGCGTCCTATGTACAGTATGCTTATAACAAATCTTGGAGAGAACAGAATAAGGTACCTAACCCGAATACATAGAGTGAATGGCAGTACGTGCCTTAGTAGAACTGGGGACGCGCGTCTTTCTGCAGACTCATGCATTGGTGCATTAGCGTATACACTTGACTCGAGGAAACCCGCCTGGGCAGGAACGAAAGGACACGAGGTACGAGGCACACTCTGTGTGCCGTATTGGGGCTTACTATCCGTAGTGATGCCGACGACACTGTCACCAGTGTGTATCCGTATCCGTAGCAATAAAAACTCGTTCACAAATATACGCTGTACGTTGTATAGCATTGGACACGTTCAAAAGTAGCCTCAGCCGGGTAGTGGCGAAACCGAGCATGGGCTCTAGCTCTTGACCCCACAGGATAGGAAATTAGCGCCGGGTTCAGATGGCTCACAGCCTATGGACGCCACGACGCACTGCCGGCCGAGATCCAAGTGCCGAAGGTTGATGCGCATTTACCTCTTTTTGGTGGTGATCGTCACCAAAAAGGTAGATAAGGTTGGGAAACGTGCCAGACAGATGTTTACCCGCCCGTTGGGGCACTTCCGCCTCGTCCCTTAAGGAATTTCTAGTCTTTCGAGAATCTTTCAGATACCTGAGTATAGGAAAGAACTTTGTGGTTTCTCCTCACGTTGCCTTCCTGGCCATGATAAGGGGCAACCGGTCTCTCTTCCTTAAACTTACTGGAGCATGTACGGAGTACTCTGTAGAATTGTCAACGGCTAACATCAACGAATGACGTCAAAAGAGCTAGTTCACTGAGACTCCTGTTTAATGGGAAGGAAAACCCGAAACAGCAAGGGCGTCCCGCTGCCACCAGTAACGGAGTACAGTACGGATAGCCACGTACGGGTACTTGGCTAGTTGTTCGTACGTTGTACCTGCGATGAAAGGAACAGGAGTCAGAGCAAAGACAGGCAATAGCCACATCGCAACATGACTTCCGTTGAGCAAAGTGCGAGAGACGAGGTCGATGAGATCAACCGGGGTACGCACCCGAAGCATTTATTTAAAACCTTTAAATCTGCATCCTCAGCACATCCAGCCTACGAGATGGGAAAGCTATTCTACTCTACGGTAGTAACGGTACTACGTCGTGGCCTTTGTGCTATCCCCCGACGATCGACTAGGTGCCAATCTGGCCCGTAGAGTCCCTGGAGCCACTCTCTACTGAGTACATACGTCCTACGATCGAGAAGCATCGCCTTCAGAATACACATATATGGCATCTTAACCCAAGGCAGTTTTCGGACGGGCCATGGCGAAGTAGATGGTGGAAAATGACGCAACAGTGCTTTCCAGTGGCACAACAACCCGACGTCCCGAAAACCTGGCTAAATAAAACATCTGGCCCTTTTGGGATTGACACATTCCGCAACCAACATGGCACTGCCCGAGCTGACCCGAACATGTCGTGTCCAGGCTGTTGACCTTTTCTTTCTTTTTTTTTTTTTTGTTTAAGAAGGGGAAGAAAAGAAAAAAAGGCCTTCTGCGGTGTGATTACAGGGCAATGCTATCTGGGTCGAAACTTATCCCCGAATCAGAACGACTAGAGCCAGCACTGGCGCTGACCTACATGCGCTGACCGATGTGCCCGGCTTCCACAGGAGGTGGGTGTCTCGGGATAGAATCACTCCGACAGATGATAGGATTGCTCGAAACTACTTCGTAATACGAAGTAAAGTACGGGCAGTTTCAAGGATTGCCATCAATATCCATGCAGTTTGCTGCGCCAATGACCTATGATTCGTGGCTTACTCTTCCCGAAAGTGAGACATTCACCTAAGAGGGATCTCCCTTGTCTTGTCACGAAGGACAATGTGTGTGCGAATGCCAGGGATGAGCGTGTTCGAATCGGTATCTCACATCGGCAAAAAGCCAGACATTGCCGAGACAAAGCCCGCCGCCAAAGGATAATAAGCTTTTCCTCGGAGTGCACGTTCGGCGACCACAATATCGAGGGCAAGGTGTTGTCCCCCCGCCAACAGCCCTTCGCTCGTGCTGGCTGAAATTGAGCTGCCCTATCAACTGACCAAGTCACCATGCGCTGCGAGAGAGAGCTTGGGTGAGGCGGATCATTCTTTGCTTTTCCCTCCTCCTCCCCTTTGTCTTCATGGCAGCACTCCTCACGCAAAGTGCCAATCAAACCATACTGGGACGAGCCCGTGTAGCATAGCAGAGCTTAAGTTGAGCGTGAGATGAGCCTCGTGGCCGGCGCAGGACAAAAAAAACTAGTTCCGTCTATCATCCGTTCCCATGGGTTCATTTCAGCGAGAAATCAGAGGATCGTAGCACCGCGGCATCCGTCATAGATGTCCATCTCCCGCTGCGTCACTCGAGACAGCAGACTTTGTGTCAGTGCACGACTGGCCCGAAAAGAAAGTCAATTGCTCAAGTCCGTTTATGATCGACACGAGACAAGACACCTCGTAGCAAGGAAACTGGGTTGAGAGGCCTTCTTGTTTTTGGGCCCTTTATTTTTCACACCCTGGGGCGACGCCTAACTGGAACGAACGACTTGATGGAAAAATGTCGGCATCCTGCAGCACTGGCATTAGTGTATGTCTTTTGTTGCTGGCTACGAAGCATCTCCGCCTCGACAACCGCTGAGGCTTGATGGGCGTCCCGGGAGATATTGATTTTGTATATGTGCCTTGCTAGACACGACTGGAATCAAGCACGACCGAAACGACAGTGTAAGTACCTTAGGTAGCCAAGTAAGCATGTGGGCGGCAATAGAGCCCTATCTTTCCAATCGAGTACTCTACATCCTTTTGAGCAGATACGTACATGTACAATACAGAACACCACGGCCCCTGCTGAATTGCATCGTGAATGTATAACCGACGAGCAGAGCATCCTCACCACCATGCCCCTCCTCCCCTACCGTCCTTGCCGTCCCAGAGCGTGATGCCCGCCTTCCCTTCCTCGCCTTCCCCCCCGTCCTCCCCCCGGACAAGCGGGATCACCAGCCCCCCCCGCCTCCTCTCTGCCACCCACCGGTCCGTCCACCCTTTCATGCGCCGCCTCGACGCCTCGCTGCCAACATTGACGGTGGGGACGATCCGCTCAATGCGCAGCCCCATGACAAAGAGCGCCAGTTCCCGGAAACTGCTGTGCTCGCTGTACGGCACGCCGAAGCACATGGCGTCGCGCGCGCTGCCGCGCTGGGGCGTCATGTCGCGGACGGTAAAGCGAGAACGCCACGCCGACGAGTGGAGCATCTGCGTCGTGGGCACGCTGCCGGGGGTGGTGCTGGCGGTGACGGAAACAGGCGCCGCTGCTGCTCCCGGTGCGGATAAAGAAGAAGAAGAAGAAGATGCCGAAGCAGGACGGGGACGGTAATTCCACCCAGACGGCCGGAATCCGACGATGCGGCTGAAATGCGGGCGGTACGAGTCGAGGTACTCGCGGAGTGTCTCGGCGCGGATCTCCATGAGCATCTGCATGTGGACTTGGGCCTCGAGCGGGTTCGAGGTGAGGAGCGCCGTGAGCTCCGGGTCGCCGAGCTTGGCGCAGATGCGCATCTTGGCCGGGGACGCGAAGATCTTGGTGTTGAGCGCCTGGGCTAGGGCCTTGCAGATGCGTTCTTTGCCGATGGAGTAGGTGCCGCAGATCACCAGGAGGCGTTGCCGAGGGGTAGGCGGGTTCTTTCCCGTTCGGTTCGAGAAGAAGGAGGAGTCAGCAGTGGAAGTCTCAGCCTGCGCCACTGTCCCGTCGTCGTCAACTGCTGACGATTCTTGCGGGGCGTCTGCCTGCTTAGCGGAGATAAAGAACTTGCTAACAGAGGCGGTGGCGTTTTTGCGGCCTAGGCGGTCCCAGAGGTCGTCTGTAGAATTGGGATCCGGGGACAAGGAGGCGCAGAGCTCCGCGCAAGCGCGGACGACATCCTCCTGCGGCGGAAATGAGTAGCGTGGGTTTAGGTAGGTTGTGTCCAGGTAGCAGACATCGATCTTCTGCTGCCTGGTCTTTCCTGTGATAGCATCTCTGATATACGGCTTGAGGAGCGGGTGGGTGACGTGAGCCGGACAGGCTCTAAAGTCGCCGCAGTGCAGAATACGCTGCGTCTTGGCGTTGGGCCCCTTTCCCATCGTCTTCTCGAAGAGGAACATCGAGCTGCCCGGACAGTGGTTCGCCGGAATCATGGTTACCGTTGCGCCGTCGGTGTCCGGGATCTCGACCTTCTGCTCGAACTCCAGAGGCACCACCCACTTCTCCGCCGTCCTCAACTGCATCTTCACCAGGTCTGCCGTCACAGTGCTGCAATAGATGGGACCGTGGGACCAATTCGCCGTCAGGCCGATGTAGTGGTCGCTGTGGAAGTGGCTCAGGAAATAGGCGTTGCATCCCTTGACGGCCCCATACCGGAACGCGTCTACGCAGATGGAGAAGCCGGGCATGATCTTGTAGAAGGGACAGGTCCGTTCGTAGGCGGGCCTCCCGCGCGACGCCTGTTCTGCAGCCGCGGCGGTCGCCCATGCCGCGCTCTCGGCGTGACTGGACATCAGCTCTGCAAAGGCGGAATTGGATTTGGGCTTGCCTCCGTTCTCGTCGAGGCGGAAGGGATTCATCTGTCCGGGCCGCGGTACGGTAGCGCGGGCAAACCGCTTTCCGAGTTCCGGTCCGTCGACGTTAAGCGGCGGACTGGTGTGACCAGGGTCCTTCTTGTTCGTTTTCTTCTCTGGCTCCGGCAAGGGAATGGGATTACCGTCGAGGCAGGCGTTAACATGCCTTGTCGCTTCGACGGGACTGACTCCCGCGAGGCTTCCGTCGCAAATGGGACAATTCGTCACTGAGGAGTTCTCGGATGACATCGTCTCTGCGGCCGTGTCGGGTTCACCATTCGAGCCGAGAGTATCATCACACTCTGCTGCTTCCAGCCTGGCTTGTTCTTCTTCCATGAATAGCATCATGCGGTACTCCTCGCCACCCGGATAATCATCGAGATGGGCAAACTCTGCTGCAACCGCGGCGTCGTTGTCGTCGTTGTCGTCGTCGTCGTCCTGCTTAAGTGGTGGAGGTGGACAACTCGTGTCCTTTCCCGGGGTCTTAGACTCCACATCTTCAGAAGCGATTGGGACCGGATCGGGGACTTTACCAGGTGTCGAGAATGAAAGCTTCGGCTTGGATGGTGTCTCGGCATCCTCGCTCTCGGTGTCGGATTCCTCGAGGAAAGGGCCTTTTCTCTTCACCGATGGTGTCTTCTTCTTCGCAGATGTTGTTGGTAGTGAATTCCCGGGCGTCTTTGCTGCAAGCCGGCCCTGCCCTCCAGAGCTTGAATCTGCCTCGTCCTCAAACGCATCCTCTTGATCCTTTTCGTTGCCGATCGCTTCGTCCTTGCTCAGCTTCCTCCTCTTGACAGTTGATCCACTCTCGTTATATCGTATATCATCTTCACCAATGATGTCCCCCAGGACGTGGGTAGCTACGGAATCTTCCTGTTTAGAGACGGCGGATGGGCTTGTAGAAGGCTTCACTTCGCCAATGAACAAAGCCTGCTCCTCCTTCTCCGTTTTCTGGAAGAAATTAAGTATGCTAGCGTTTGGTCGGGACGGCTTCTTGGACGGAGGCGGGAATTTAGAGACGGGCCTCCTTGGAGCCATGCTGGATCGTTTTCGGGATGATGTCGGCGTGCCCATTTTCTGGCAGGTAGAGTAGTAGAAGGAGAAGGCGAAGGGTGTCGGGAACGTGATTCGATAGAGAGTCGGCAGAGGCAGTTCTCCATATATCAGTCCCATCGAAAGGCAATAAGGTAGAGCGTCTGTAGTAGTCAAACTCGCGGCGACAGCCGGGCCTAATGGCATTGTCGTGACCTTTTTTGCGTGGGTTTTGCATTCTCCGAACACGAAAAAGCGCGGGGCCGAAGCACCAATTAGTCGCGAAGTCACGTGGATACCTCGACGACTACGACGACTCATGTACATCAGCACTAAGGTACTACCTTACAGTATCTTACCTTAGGTAATAATAAGGTAAGGTACAGAGTATCCAACTCTCGAGTCTTTTGTTTGGACATCAACGTGTTACTCTGTTACTCTGTTACCACAGAAAATACTCCAGTCGAGAATAATAATATTCAGCTATATTCATCTTCCTAACCTCCTTCCTTAACATCGTCACCTTCCCCTTCGCCCGTTGTCTCTCCTTTCTCGCCTGACCAACACCTAACTTACAGAGCGGGTGCTCTTCCTCCTCGCACGACGAAAATATACCAGCGGACCAGCGGGTATCCATGAACCTCTTCACATACCGCACATTATGAGACGGCACAGCAGGCAGAACGCCGGACGCAATGTCAATCAATGTACAGAAGAGGAGAAGAAAAAAAAGAAGAAGAAAATGGGTGCCAAGTTTAGAGACAGCTCCATAGCTGAAGCGAAGCGACTTGCGCTCTGGTACAGAATAGAAGTAGACATTAAGCAAAAGTCGTCAGGTCGTCAAGAATCGAATTACGCATAAAAGCAAAAACAAAAGCAAAGAGCAGAGCATGCGAGATGCCGCCGGGGTCGTCCTCCTCATGGGTGGGACCCCTTACTGTAAGGGCGGACATTCCGTCGCACCTCGCACTGCTTGTTGGGTATCCTCGTCGACGAAGCTGGGTGCGTGTGTGTGTGTGTGTGTGTGTGTGTGTGATGTTGATCCAGAGAGTTTCCTTCATGGTCTCTCGCCGAAATCCCCAGTTGGAAAATGGTGTCGAATCGCAATGAAATCTCATATTTTCCCTTCCCGGACCGTCCGTTTCCGCGCCATGTTCAAATGCCCCCAAACCAACTCCGGCCGGTGAAACAACGAAAAAAAGTCAAAACGCTCTTCTCAGATTTCTTTTTCCCCCTTTTCGAGGTGGCTTTGTTTTGGTTTTCCTTCTTCAGATACGCGGTGCGCCGGGCTCGCGCTTACCCAAGGATTGGAAGAGCTCGGCCGGTGGTATTCTGCTGATGCCGCTCCCCCGGTCGTACATCGACGTCGGCGCTGGTACGTATCCCTCGCGCTTCTTACGAAGGCGGTCCAATACGACGCCTGCGACGACGAGAAGGAACATGAGGCCAAGAGCGATGGCTAGGCCTATTAAGACAACAAACACGAGAGCCATGTTGCTACCACCTGTTCGAAGCAGCTTCGGTTAGCAGTTTCCTCAAATCCACGGAGCACACCGGAACACATCGGAACACGTCGGAACACATCGGAGCAAACATACCTCTATTAGTGAAAAAGTCTTGATGCTGAGAGAAGAGCTGACTGATTGTTCCAGCGTTGTTTCCACTGTTCGTCGTCAGGATGTAGGGTCGGAAGGTAGTCCCGTCGAAGAGGGCGGCTGATGAGGTGCCAAAGTCCGGGATCCCGATGGAGCCCGTCAACATCAGGACTTGGTTTGAGCTCAGAACGTCGGTGTCGTCATGAGAAGACGTCACTGTAAGGACCTGCAAACCGCGAATGACCGTGTCCAAGGACAGAGTCTGCCCAGCAACGTGCCAATCCGAACCATCGTGTTTCATGACGTACACCGATCCATTGGCCGCTCTGCCAGAGACCCAAAGCTGATCTCCGTTTCTAGAGCCTCGGGTGATGACCTCGACGGGGCCTGGCAGATCATCCTGGCCAGCAAATGGAGACCAAGTCTGGTCATCAGCCGTGTACTGCGCGAGCGATGCCGACGAGCCGTTGATGGTCATGTCCCCACCGGCAACAAGGAGACTGTCGCTCGTCCACAGTAGTGCGCTGACGCTTCCCCGAAGACCAAAACCGGGACGGTTCCACTGCAAAAGCTCCGTGTTGTAGTAGCACACACCGGGGCAGTCGAGCGAGCCGGCCGATTCGAAAGCTCCGCCGACGTAGACTTCGCCCGAATCAGGGCGCACCTGGATGGCCGAGACCGTCGCATTGCCGCCGTCGATTGCCGGCGGTTGCGAGTTGAGCGTTCCGCTGGCAAGATCGAAGGTCAGAAGCCCGCGAACAGGGCCATCATTCACCGTGCCAGCGACATCACCTCCCGCGAAGAGAATATCGTCGACGATGGCAAGCGCAACAAAGGTCGAGTTTTCCGAAATGCCGTCTCCAACCCCGCGCACGGCGTTTTCCGCCGATCCATTGATGAAGACGAGGTTGTGAACTGGGGAACCGTTGCCGTCCTCAGCAGTGAAATGCCCGGCAAGAATCGTCACATCATGGTCGTCCTCTTCGTAGAACGCCCCCGTCACGACGCCATTGACGTCGCCTTCAGACAGGATATCGCGGCGGGCGACAGTTGATGACCTGGTAGTTGACGGCTGGATCTTGATGGGGAATTGGCCGAGTGCATTACCATCCTCGGTCAAGGTCACAGCACCATTTGCACCAATGGATGCCGAGCTCATCGAACCCGCGAAGAGCGGACCGCTGTCTGGGATGTCAAGGAGGGAGGCTGTCAAGACGCCACTGTAAACAGGAGCTGTGCCGTCGAGATTCTGCAGCCAGTTTCTCTGGGAAGGAACCCAGATCGCAAACCCGGACACGGGAACAGCAGCATTGTCCCCAAAATCGTTGATCTGATCAAAGTCGCCGGTTATGGCAATCACGGTTTCAGGCTCATCGTCCGTGATGTTCATCCGCATCGGTACCACATGCCAGACATTTCCGTCAACGCCGGCCCCGAGAGCAGACCAGGTGCCGTCCTCGCGGTCGTAGACAGCAACACGACTGAGACCAGAAGCCTGTCCATCCAGAGTGTTCGAGAAGCCGCCACCAACGAAGAGACGCGAGCCCTCCAGGTGCATGGACCTAACTTCGCCGTTCAGCCCACCACTGAGTGTCTGGGGAGACTGGTCGGTCGTATCGATGGCAATGACATTGCGAGCACCATTCGAGGAGAAATTTCCACCGACAACCACCAAGTCGCCCATCGTCTCGAGACTAGTGACGGCAGATCCGGCAGAGAAACCAGCACCCAGTCGGTGAATAGCTGAGCTCGAAAAATTGTTCCTGTCGACGGTGTCGACGGTGGGATCGTAGTCAAATAGTCCGTTAAGGCCGCCGGTGGAGTTGACGAGAGAAAATCCGACCCGCTGCGCCACAATGGTCATGTTTTCCAACGACTGACCTCCAAGAGGAGTGAGGGTAATGCTCGGACGGAAGCCCTCGGTGCTTGCTTCGATAAAGCCGAAATAGATCTGGTCGTACTTATCGAAGTTGTTCGTCTGATAGAGCGAGGTGGTAAAACGGCCGTCAGGGGAAAGAGACATGTCACCGGTCACATTGACCTGGGCCCGCGTCGCACATGTACCGTCCTGGATGCACCCGGGGGTGTACATTTCAACGGAGTAGTTGCCCGATTGTTGAATGTTAGGAAAGAAGACGACGGAAGCCGAATCTTCCGAGATGTCACCGGAAAGCCGAGCGGTCAGGTACCCGGAATTGCTCTCCAGCGAAGGAGACTGTGTCCAGGGGCCAGTCGCCGTAGCGGTGGAAGGGTTGCTGATGCTCAGGCCGCTGCAAGTCGGTTCGTTGAAGTCGTCGATGGCATAAGTAGAGATATCGTCAGTAAACACTTGGATCCCGTTCAGACCGGCCCCCTCGCCGTAGAAGTCGGATATGTCGATCCGGAATGCGTTCATGCCGACGGTGTTGACGAAATGGAAGTCTTGGAAAACCACATCAGGACTGTCGCTCAGGGGACACTCGCTGGTGCACGAGACATTCCGACCGGTAGTCGGGTCGACGTAGGTCATGTTGAGGATTCCGTTGATGGGGAGCGCGGTGAACCGCCACGTTCGGGTTCCCCGTCCGTTCAGGTGCGTGTTGTGCAGCCTGACCTTACTCGGCCGGAAGCCAAACCCGAACGAGGCCTGCCAGAAGCCTGGCGAGTTGTCTTGCAGGAGCCAGGTGTCGCCGGGACCGTCCTGGCCATCTGTCTTGCAGAGGATGTTGCGGGGATCGGAGAAGCCGCCCCTGGTGGAACTTGATCCGGATGTGATATTCGCACTAACCAGATTGATGGCCTGGCCGTCGGGACTATCCGGGGTAGTCGTGTTTCCCAAACCAGTGAAGCGTCCTCCGAAGATGATGTGACCATTCGACGCTTTCGTGATGGAGGACACGGGGCCATTGAAGCCGGCGAACGGGAGGGGAGTCCATCCTTCTCCGTGGACCCACGACATGGCATTGGTCGAATTGGCGTGCCGGAAGCTGCCGCCGACATAAACCCGGTTCGAATCTGAATCGCATAGCAGGGCGTTAACCTGACCCGACAGCCCGTCAAGGGGCACGAATTCGTCGGAAGTAGTGTTGTACATGACGACGCCTTGCGAAGGCGTGCCGTCGACGCTTGTGAAATTACCCGCTATTACCACACCAGCGACGTCGCCCGATTCGAACGTAGACACGCACATATCGTGAATGGAAGCGTCGGTCGACGCGATGGACGCGAAGGCGCCATTGGGCAGCACGGCCAGCAGCGACTCGCTCCCATTCCTCCTCACGGGCCTCTCGCTTTGTCCTTCGAATTCATAGAACGAAATTCCGGTGAAATCTCCCGCCAGTCCTATCCTTCCCAGCCGCGAGAGATCGAGGTCGACTTCGGGGATGGCTGTGAAATCGTTCGCCGACACGAGGGACGAGGCAGCGAGGGCTGCTATGGCGAGAAGTTTAGGGCGGGCCCGGGAATAGTCACGGGGCGCCGCAGAGCGCCTTCGAAAGGGTAACCGCATCGCTGTGGTCGTTCTCGTCTTGTATTAACGGTGGATGGCCGGTCGGAAAGCTCAATGGCAGCAATATGTCGAGGGAATGGTTGTTGGAAACGCGAAAATAGATGTGACCGGTCTTCGAATCGCATTGGCGAGGAGTTTTAAATCAAAAGCTCAATCGCAGCCGGGACTGATCACAACCAGCGATTGACGAGTGGATGACGATTTGACGATTGACTCAGCTATCAATTCGCGTCTTGGTCAGAAGGGAGGGCGTTCTGAGATGCAGTCAATTCGGGCGTCGGTCGGTAGAGGGAAGAAAGGAAAATGTTGATTGTGGGTGGTTCGGAAGCGCGGTGAGTTTTGTTTTTGCATGCGATTGTGAATGTGTCGTGTTTGTTTGTCCGCTTTGATCGTTTTCGCGAAGCTATTCGTACCTTATCCGTACAAACACAAGCGTATTCTGCTGGACCTTTCGTCGGCGAGACAAGGAGGCGGGGAGATCCTTAGTTTTGGGTAGCGTGGTGCGATCGGCCAATCTTGCGGAATGAAGACTTGGTTGGCCTGGGAGACGACGCAGGAGATAAAAAGGGAGGAGGAGAGGGGACGGGAACCTGCTGAGGTACCTGATGGGGAGTACCTGCTCGGTCCCTACCTACTCCGTTGTGTTCGAATGTGGACGCTGTTGGTGCTGATTGGCTGTAAAGTTAAATGCAATGGATCCACTAGCCCTTTTTGTGTGAACTTTTGACGGGTCGTTCCTGAATCCTGAGAGGTACTCCCGTAGGTAGTCTCGAAGAGCTCGGACCTTTTCTGCCACCAAGCCCGTTTAGGTCAAGTGAGACCTGAGCACGGTCCGTGTCTTCGAAGATATAGAGAGCGTCGACGATCAAACGGCGCTTTCGTCTATCTCGGTCAGGAAGACTCGTCCTTCGATCCAGTGATATCAACAAGAAAGTACGGAATATGAAGAAATTTGACAAGAGTGGGAGCCGTACTGTAGACGTGGGTCGCTTGCGGATGGACGAACGATCGAAAAGCGGCGTATCGGGCCAGAGGAAGGGGAAGCGGGTTGATATTCTCGTATTTGCGATTGATCTTCTCTCCCCTTGAACCGTTATTTCGATGAGAGTCGGGTGTCTCTGCGTCCTCCCGCGTTGGTAAAGGGCGCTGCAAGATGATTGTAACACAGCACAGGCGGCTAATAATGCACGTATGTTCCTGGGTGCAGTTTGTGGGTGCGGTTCAGTTGCTATAGCATCGAACGAACGTGGAGCGAAGGTGGGAACGTTAGAAGGAAAGGTCGGCGGTGAGTTGTCTCGTCTTCTCGTCAATGGTCGGTTTTCCAGGCGTTGTTTGGTCAAGAGAGTGACAAGTAAGATTCGGTTTCCTTCTTTTGACTAAGGTAAGTTAGACTCTCTCTCGGGTTTGGTTCTGGTTACGGATAAAGGGGTTCCCAAGGCCACCTACAGATGTAACGATTGGAGCTCCAAGGAGTGAGCGACACAGAAACCGGGCAAGTGAATGAGAGTTAAAGAGAGCGGCAGGCGCCAGGAGCCGTAACGGGGCACAACCTCCTGAGGCGGCGTGAGAGGAAAATCAAACGAAGAAGAGAGAGAGAAAAAAAGAGTGACGAAACCCGAGCATCTCACGATCACCCGTTTGAATTCGAGGACGAAAGCGAGAGGCTACTCAATGGTAGTGATGCATCGTCAGAGTTTCCAAGCGAGATGGGAAAGCAGCTTTTTACCCTGGCTTTTCCCTTTTTCCTCTCGCCCTGTGCTTTTCCCAGCCATCCGCCATGCCCAGTAACATCGAAGCAAGGGACTCACTCACTGGGCGACCACCAAAGGATAGTGGAGACGCCAGGACCGGTGTTCAGGGGTTGGCCCAAGCACATCGTTAGAAGGCCGACACTGGGCCAGCCCCCTGCTTTTTACATGTGCTCCTTCGTGCAGGCAGACCGCTCCTCTGGGCGCTTCTTGTTGCCAGAAGGAATGTCTATTCCGTGCTTCTTAGTATCGTTCGTCTTACTTTCGCTGTAATTACTTGCTGAAATAAATCACTTGGAAATGCCATGTTTTTAAGATGCTGAGCTCCAGTGATTCTCCAGCGTCTCATGCAGCATTTCAGACAATGCAGGTAGATTTCGCACGAGACCTGTCTTTGGTGTCTTCGCGATTCCCCAATACTGCAAGTTAGCTACCAATGATGCCTTATGGAGCAGCAGATCAAGTAGGTAAAATGGCACGATTGCAATGAGACATGCTGCTGTGGAGACTGGTAAAGTACAGTGAGCACAACACACACACATTGTTTACAGTGTTTGGTTGACCCGGAGAGCGAAGTAACCAGAGCTACAAGAATAGTCTATACAAATAGAGTAGAAAAGAGAAGGATGTGGCGAGCCTCTGACCTGAACACTTAAGAGTAGGTAGATTGGTAGTTAGCCTAGGCATTAACGTTAACGTACGTCCGTCCCGCTTCGCTTCGCCAATGCTCTTCAAATGTCACCAGAAGGGGCGACAGCAGACACCCAACGAGAAACAATCAATTTGGGATGAAAATGCCCAAAGTATGGGGCGAACCGTGGGTGCAAGAGTGCATCGAGAGCCTCGCCCGGTATCCGCATGACACTGGGCAAACCGGAATCAGTTCCCCGCTCAAACTTCGCAGTCAGGTCTCTCAAAGAATCTCGAAAACCGACATGCCTAGGGCGGAAAGAGTAGTCCAGCAAACTCTTCATATCGTTCGTAACGCAATTTAACGCAATTAATTCTATGGCAAGGTCCTTGGTGCTGTTCAGGCCACTAGACTCTCGCTGATCGCAGTCCTGGGGCTCTCGACCTCCACCCGGCGACACCTTCGCCGCGAATCTCCCACCACTCAGGCACCATGCACCTTGAAAGTCCTGCCACTCGCCGTCTTCCTCTCCTTTTCCTCGTTGTCCGGCCGGGCTCTGCGGAGAACTGCATTGGCACGTTAGTTAAAGCCCTGAGAAGCGCCCGAGGGAATGTCGCCTTGCCTTGGAGGAAATCCGCCGTCCTCTTCCGCATGCGTGAATGAATGTAGGCCTTTGATGCCTTGATGTGGTAGTGGAAGTAGTCTCGGAAGGTCTGGATGTGAGAGATCACCTCGGGCATCCGTTGCGAAGTAAGGTGACGGGGGAAGAGCACTAGATGCGGGCATCGGTCAGTCCGGCAGTCACGACGTAAAAAATCACACAACCTGTCGGAAAAAGAAAACCCACCAAATGTTACGTAGCCAATCTCGCCAGAGCTGGAGCTCTGCACCCCGGGCACCTGTTGCAGCTCAAGCGGCGGGTCGTTTCGGAAGAGCACCTGCGGTGCGTTCTGAATGGCCCGACGGCGGGCGTCGACGAATTCTTGGATGAAGACCTTGCCAAAAATCCGATCCGTCTCTTCCCGGAAAATAGTGCTGAAAATGACCGTAACCCGGTCGTGGCTGGCCTTGATGAAGATACCCTCCTCCTCACGGTAGTGGATCGCCATGACCTCCCCGCCTTCCCGCACGCCCTGCGGTGCTTCCTCCGAGATGTACTTCGACGCCGCCTCTTTCAGCTTGTAATACTCCTCGTAAGCGGCCTCGAAAGGTGCCGCCGTCGCATTGCGCTTCAGCAGCGCCATCTTGTTGACCAGCGCGTCTCGCTCATCTTTTGAACCACGGCAATATTAGTTGAAAAGTCGATAACCCTAAAAGCATTCGTGTTACAGAGCAGGCAAACCTTTCTCGGCGGGCAGGTTTTCTAGGTCGATCAGCACGGAGAAGTCGTAGCCTGCCTCGGGCGATACGATGTAGGGGCCATACTCCCGCTGGAGCACTTGCTCGGCGCCGTACCGCACCAGCTCTTTGAAGCAGCGGATCTGAACGGAGAGGAGGATTTTTGTCTTCGTCTCGGGAGTGGAGATGTGGTAAAGGACGCCGTCAAAGTCGGAAACTGTCTGGTCGATGTGGACGGGAGGGGCCCTGACTTTGCTCGTTAGCTGCCTGGGCAGGCTCATCGACAGGGTGGATATGGGGTATGGGTGATTAGGGGGGATTCTCACCCGGAAAACCTCTCCGTCAACACCGACTGAATAAGAGCATTTTGGTAGTCCAGGAGAAGCATCTTGTCTGTCTCAATGGCGAGCTTCTGTCCTGTCGTCGATTCGTCGATGCCCGTTGCTGTGTCTCGGGGTGATGATGACGATGGCTGGTGGCCGTCTTGGTGGGGCTTGTATGGTTGCTTACCTAAGGCGCCCCGAATCACATGACCTAATATCTGCCCCACAGCAACCCCTGAGCTTGGCCACGGTCTTCAATATCAGTTTATTTACCCGCAACCACGAAGCGTAAGGTAGAAAAGGCCCGTGCGAGGTACCTTATACCTTATTTACTCTTAGAATCGAACGTCACGCCGCGATATGCCTCCCAGTATTACGTCTACTTCGTAACGGTGAGAGCTTCAACGGGGCATTTCGCCTTCGCCAGAGCCAGCGTCAGATGCAAGGCAGTCAGCATAATGTTCTAAGAGTAACACAGGTCCCTAGCACTGTTACACCAATGTCCGAAATCTCCGGCTATAATCGGCGCCCACGGGCACAGCTTTCAAGTTTCAACGATGTAGGTCCAGCGTAGGTAGCCTCAGGGCACGCGGCGATCGTCAGGAACGCAACGATATCTGTAGGTCAGGTCGGGATGGGATGCGAGGACATCACGTTTGGATACCAACCCACCGTTTGCATACGTACTTGGAAGCTAGAGCTTAGTCCCGGTCAACGGGGGTGTCCCAGTGATAACGTAAGCGACGTATTCCTTATCGATAAGAAAAAGTTTCCCGCCTCAACGGCAACAGGACCTCAAATGGGAGAAATTAGAAGGACGAGTCTTGAACCGCACATGCGCTTCGGAAGACAATTGGCGTCCCGTTTTGCGCTTCAGGCTCTAGCAAAATGGTCAAATCATATTTGTAGGTCACATCTCATTGAAACGAACCCTTGTTCCATGTATGCTGATGTGATTTTTTTCAATTCTTTTTGTACAGAAAGTTCGAGCATCAAAAGTCCTTTGGAGTCGTCGCATCCAGCACATCGAACATCGTATGGACTTCTAGACAGGGACCCAGTACGGGAGCTGGACAGGCAGTTGTCGCGGCAAACGAAGAAGTTCTATGCTGGGACATCAAGAAAGGCGAGCTTCTGAGTCGCTGGAGGGACGAGAAGGCTACTTTGCCCGTCACCAGCATAGCCCAGAGTCAAGTTGACAAAGACGTCTTTGCGGTCGGCTACGAAGATGGCAGCATACGGCTATGGGACAGCAAGATTGCGACGGTGATCGTCAACTTCAACGGCCACAAGTCGGCAATCACACAGTTGGCATTCGACAAGTCCGGCGTCCGACTCGCGAGTGGCTCCAAAGACACCGACATCATCATCTGGGACCTCGTGGCCGAAGTGGGCCAGTACAAGCTGCGAGGCCACAAGGACCAAGTTACCGGGCTGCGATTTGTCGAACCCGAATCCAAACCAGAGGAAGTTGAAGACGGCGCGCAGGTCATGGTCCTGGATGAAGAAGACAGCTCGGAGGGCTACCTTCTTTCGACCGGCAAGGACTCGCTGATCAAACTTTGGGATCTCTCGTCCAGGCACTGTATCGAGACGCACATTGCGCAAAACAACGGGGAATGCTGGGCGCTGGGCCTTTCGCCCGACTACAACGGCTGCATTACCGCCGGAAACGACGGGGAGCTCAAGGTATGGTACATCGATACGGATGGCTTGGCGGCGATGAAAGGCCGAGTGGACGCTCCCCAGTCCAACAAGTTTCTACTGGATCGGGGAACTCTGTTCCGACAGAGCAAGGACAAGGCCAGCGAGGTGGTTTTCCATCCCCGGCGTGACTACTTTGCTGTCCATGGCACGGAGAAATCCGTCGAGATTTGGCGCATTCGATCAGAAGCCGAGGTCAAGAAGGGCATTGCACGCAAGAGGAGGAGGAGGAGGGAGAGAGAGAAAGAAAAGGAAAAGGGCGGCGACGGTGCTGATGCCGCGGATGCGCCGGACGCAGCAGTCGACCTGGCCAACGCCGAGGTTGGCGATTTCTTCGTCCAGTATGTGATTGTCAGGACGGGAGGCAAGGCCCGCTCTGTCGATTGGGCAATCGGCGGTGGCCAAAAGGATATTCAGCTCGTCGTCGGCACGACCAACAATCAGCTGGAGTACTACACAATACCGACGAAAGAACATGGGTCCAAGTCGAAGAAGGATGACGTGCCCGACTACACACGGTCCCTCGCAGTGGAGCTGCCAGGCCATAGGACCGATGTTCGGTCCGTGTCCCTCAGCTCGGACGATAAGATGCTGGCCACGGCAGCGAACGGGAGTCTCAAGATTTGGAACATCAAGACGCAGACGTGCATCAGGACATTCGAGTGCGGCTACGCGCTGTGCTGCGCATTCCTCCCAGGCGACAAGGTGGTGGTGGTGGGCACGAAAGGGGGCGAGCTCGAGTTGTTCGACGTCGCGTCGGCAAGTCTCCTCGACAGTGTCTCGGCCCACGAAGGTGCTGTCTGGTCGCTTCAGGTACACCCCGACGGGAAGTCGATGGTCTCGGGCAGCGCCGACAAGACGGCCAAGTTCTGGACGTTCCGGATCGTCCAGGAGGAGATTCTCGGGACCACCCGCACGACACCACGGCTCAAGCTGGCGCAGTCGAGGATATTAAAGGTCGCAGATGACGTTCTGAGTGTTCGCTTCTCTCCGGACGCGAAGCTTCTGGCCGTGGCGCTACTGGACAGCACGGTCAAGGTCTTCTTCACCGACAGTTTGAAACTCTACCTCAACCTATACGGCCACAAGCTTCCGGTGCTGAGCATGGACATATCCTACGACAGCAAGCTCATCGTGACGAGCTCGGCGGACAAGAATATCAGGATATGGGGCTTGGACTTTGGCGACTGCCACAAGGCACTCTTCGGACATCAGGACAGTATCCTCCAAGTGGCTTTCGTCCCCCACAACTCGGACGGGAACGGCCATCACTTTTTCAGCAGCGGGAAGGACAGGGTGATCAAGTATTGGGACGGCGACAAGTTTGAACAGATCCAGAAGCTCCATGGGCACCACGGCGAGATCTGGGCCATGGCCGTCAGCCACAGCGGCACCATGCTGGTCAGCGCCGGTCACGACAAGAGCATCCGCGTCTGGCAGGAGACGGACGAGCAAATCTTCCTCGAGGAAGAGCGCGAGAAGGAACTGGAAGAGTTGTACGAGAAGACGTTGACGACGTCGCTCGAGCGGGACCCGGACGCCGCGGACGAAGACGGCGAGGTGGCGGCGGCCGGCAAGCAGACGGTGGAGACGCTCATGGCGGGCGAGCGCATCGCGGAAGCGCTGGAGCTGGGCATGGCGGACATCAACCTGGCGCGGGAGTGGGAGCAGGCCAAGCTGACGAACCCGCACGCGCCGGCGCCGGCGCGCAACCCCATCTTCGTGGCGCTGGGCAACATTAGCGCCGAGACGCACGTCATGTCGGTCCTGCAGCGCATCAAGGCGTCGGCGCTGCAGGACGCGCTGCTGGTGCTCCCGTTCGCGACGGTGCCGATGCTCTTCACCTTCCTGGACCGGTTCGCGGCGCGGTCCATGAACATTCCGTTGACGTGCCGGATCCTCTTCTTCATGCTCAAGACGCACCACCAGCAGATCGTGGCCAGCCGGACCATGCGGACCATGTTGGACGGGATCCGTGCGAACCTGCGGGCGGCGCTGAAGAAGCAGAAGGACGAAATGGGCTATAATGTCGCTGCGCTGAAGGTCATGGGGATGCAGATCCAAGCCAGGAGCGTGAAGGACTATGTAGACGACACATGGGATGAGGAGGCGGAGACTCGGGCTGTAAGGAAACGGGCGTTTGTTCACGTATCATAGTTAGATGGGTGTATGTAGCGAGAAAAGAATGCAGGTTCCAGACTCGCCTATTGCCAAGCTGGTTCTTCGATTTCTCCTGGCTCCCTCCATCCTGTGACTGCGGATGAGGTTGATGATGTCTGATATCCCCGGATCGATACTTTAGTGAGGGTCACGTGACCAGCTTACTCATCCACGTCATCCGAGCACAAAGCAAGGTACCTACCTACCTACCTCTCTTTCAGTTCACGGAACTCACCCAACTCCGACACTCCGACAACGCAAGAACCGCATCACCAACTCCTCTCTCCATCACAACGTCCGAAGATGTTGTTCTTCAGGTACGGGTCATTCTCTTAGCGCCTCGCATTTACACGATGACTCTGCAGGCTGTCCATCACCACACCGAGCCCAGTTTGTCTCCTCCCTCACACTAACTCCGAACTCTTTCACCAGCTTCTTCAAGACCCTCATCGACCACGAGGTCACAGTCGAGCTTAAGAACGACATTCAGATTCGCGGCACTCTCAAGAGTGTAGACCAGTATCTCAACATCAGGTTGGATGAAATATCTGTCGTCGAGGAGCTCAAGTACCCGCACATGGTCAGTTTACGCTGCTACGCCTGGTCTTCTTGCTTCGCCCTCATCCCTTTACCCTTTCGATATATTGCTTAGTCTATGTATCCACGCTAAACTGCCATTTCCCCCATCGTCCTGCTTCTTCTGTATGCATGTGTTCTTTCTTCTTTGCTGACCAGTGGTTCCACAACCATATAGAGCTCTGTAAAGAACGTCTTCATCCGTGGCTCCGTGGTTCGCTACGTTCATCTCCCCGCCGGTTCTGTTGACGTGCCGCTCCTTGAGGACGCCACCCGGAGAGGTAAGTGCTGTTTACGTCCCGCTGTCTTACAGTGGTACCTTGGGAGGTGCTGTCAGTGTGGAGGAAGAGTCCTTCTAGATCTGATGTTGGTCCTGATGCTGACTCCCACCCCCCCGTGATATTTACAGAGGCGGCAGCACAGCAAGCCAAGGCGAAATGAGGAAAATCCTTAACCGTTTAACTTAGTGCCCGAGATTTTTCTATTAGCTAGCCATTTGCACTCGCCGTTACATGCCTGAAGTCGCCTCTCTCCGTAACTTTCTCTATTCAGGAGCTGCAGGACTAAGACGGAAGAGAACCGCATGTTCTTCTTCTGCCTGCTTCATCGGGCTTTGTTGAGTAGGACGCGAACCGATGAGTAACGAGGGGTAACTAGGAGGATGTTTGGACTGTTTGGGTCCAGCCAAGAAGAAAAACCATTCGGTCTTGGTTGACCGGCCGAGACGGGACATTGATAGTGTACAACCAAGCCAGGGATATGACCTGGATCAGAACTAAACAACTACAGGGGCGGGGCATGAGAAATGGGCCGTGGGAAGGGGAGTAGCAATGTCGATGGCCCGCCCATTAACAAAGCTGTCTCTCGGGTGTAGATCGGGCCCTATGCATGTCTACTGTGTACTGTTATCAACATACGGCACGACGGTGGTTGGTTATGGAACAATCGAGATCAGGACACTCGAAACGACTTGCTAAGACTGGAATATATTCCTTTGAACGCCACGCGGGATGCCTTCCTTTCCACCCGAGTCTACAGACTGAAGCACGCCGCCTATACAGACACAGGGGAGACAAAAAAATACAGTGGCATCCAGTGCTAGCCGTGAAGACAGGGGAACAAAAAAAGAAACAGAGGACAAAGGAAAAAAAAGGAAGAAAAAAAGGGCCACCCGCTAGTAGTAGTCATCCCCAACTTGTTATCACCATCCATTACCTGTACCTCTCCCGCCTCATCCATCGAGCGAGACACTTCCCTGAAATCCCACCTCAAAGCATGATGGCCAACTCCGGCCTGTCCAGCTTCTCCTCCTCCAGGTTGGGATAGTACGGCACCATGGCGTCGGCGCAGTGGACGTACGCGTCGTTGTAGAGCCGCCAGTACGGCTGCCGCACCTTGCGCGCAGGGTGGAAGAGACCCGCCCAGACGTAGTTCATCACGATGCCGGGACCCGCAGCCACGCGGATGGCCTCGATGGCCTCGATGATGCGGTCGATGACGTGCGGGCTGGTTTCGAAGAGGTTCGGGTAAAGGAGGTTGAGGAGATGGACCATGGCGTCCTCGCAGCCGAGGCCGACGACGCCCAGGGCGATGTGCTTGACGACCGACGCGGCCGTCTGCCTGTGGACCTGGTCGCGGTCGATGAGGGCATCCTCGAGCAGCGGCGTGACGGCGTAGACGTAGTCCTTGGCCATCTCGCCGATGTACTCGAAGAGGAAGGAGAGCGACTTGAGCACGCCGTTCTGCACGTTCAGTTCGGGGACGCGGTACTCGTTCATCAGGGCGGGGAGGACCGTGAACGGCGCGCACGTCTCGGCGACGATGCCGATGGCCACGGCCGTGTTGACGCGAGACTGGCGTTCCTGCACCCGCAGGTTGTTGAGGAGGGTGGCCAGCACATCCTGCGGGCCGATGGCCTTGGCGATGAAGCCGAACGTGTTGTTGGCCGCCCGACGGATGCCCTTTTTGTGCGCCTTCAACATGTCGAGCAGCTCGAAGCAGATGCGCATCCATTCTCGCGCGTTGACGCTCTCCGGGCCGCGGTCCGCAATCCGGCCCACGAGGTCAATGGTGTTCTCCTGCACCTTCTCGTGTCGGTTTCGGAGGATGGGCGTCAGTCTCGGGAGCAGATCCTTGATGGGCGGCTGCATCTGTGAGATGCCAACGACGGTAACGATGGACCGCAGAGCACCGAGGATGGAACCCAAGACTTCGGGATACTCCTCGCCTAGGTACTCGTACAGCACGACGCCGAGCTTACCCATGAGGGCGTCCTCCCCGCATTGCTTCATGACCATGGCGATCCGCGAGATCAGGTCGGCCGCCTGCTGCCGGACCGTGGCCGACTTGTTGTTGAGACGCCAGAGGATGGTGCTGACAATCTGGGGGAGGTACGGCTTGCAACGAGTGCCCAGCGCGTTCACGACAGACCCGAACCCGTTGAGCATGATGATGTCTTCGACGCTCTGCTCCTGGAAGGCATGCAAGATGCCGTCGATGAGCCGTTCCTCCAGACGTTCGCCAATGTCGGCAGCGCCCAGGCTGGCGACGATCTTCTCTACCGTCTCCACGGTCATCTTCCGGTACGCTTCGCTTTCATCCTTCAGGTTGACGACGATCCGCTCAAGGATCTCGCTGACGCCGACCTTCTGGCCGATGTCGACGGTGGTCTCGACCACTTGTCTATAGTTGCGCTTGTCCAGGGCCATCCGCCTTACCCAGAAGTTCTTGAAGAAATCGTCCAGCACGTGCTCCTTCAGATAGCCGGCGGTGACACCATCGGTGGCGGCACACTGAGACACCACCTTGAGGACGACCTTCTTCATCTCCTCGTCGGGCGAGGAAAACTCCCGCAGGAGGATCTCCATGATCTGGCTCGTGTAATAGTTGGCATACTCCTCGTCCATCAGCGGAATGATGTAGCCGACGGCCTTGAGGAAGCCAGCGAGACCCTTGCCGCGCTGCTTTCGAGCACCGGTCCACAGGGGGTTGAGAATGTCGTCGAAGCTCTCGATACCGTACGGGTTGGACGCCTCGGCCAAGGCGGCGATGGCCAAGCTGGTGACCGTTCGAACCTTGGTCTGCTCGTCGTTGAGGTTGGGCGCAATACAATCAACGAGGCCCTTCAGATGAGGCAAAACGGCGCACCCCATGAGGATGGGGATCTGCTGCAGGATCTTCACGCCGGTGTGACGTGCTTGCCACGACTTCTTGCTGCGGCAGACGGCCCTCAGGAAGGGCAGCAGAGCCGGGATACCCAGCGCCGAGGCGACGACGGCAAAGGCCCGGGCGGTGGTGTTTCGGACGTATTCGTCGACGTGGTCAATGTCAGGTCGCATGGTGCTGATCATGGTGGCCAGACCAGCGGCCTTGCTGAGGTTGGAGATGATCTCGCGGCCCTCGACACGGGCATAATAATCCTGGTCGATGAGCAGGGGCTCGATGACGACGAGAATCTTGTGGACGTACGGACGGACGAGGTCGTCCAGCTTGTAGAGAATACGGTCAATGACCTTGACGAGCAAGTGGCGCTCTTGGTCTTCGAGGGTCTTCTCCATGAGCAGGGGGAGGATCTGGTCGAAGAGCGGACCGGCACCGAACTGTCGGGCATTGTCGGTGAGCTGTCGCAGCGCCGTCTTGCGCATGGGCGGAGTACCGTTCTTGACTTTCAGGAGCAGCCTCATAATCTTCCTCTCCTTCAACTCGTCCACACTGAGATTGTTCTCGTCGGCGCCGTCGGTGAGTTTACCGAAATAAGCCATGTCCTCGGGTTTGAAGAACTGCAGGTCGCCAATGCCGGGAATCTCGTTCCGAACGGGCTTACCGCTCAGCCTCACGGCGTCGGGGTCCTGCATCATAAAGCCGGTCTGTGGCGCGGGGGTGGCCATGAGCTTATGGGCAGGGGCCCGGAGCGGGGCGTAGCCGGGGGGTGGCTCGAGGACCTTGTAGCCCTGGTCCTCGCCAGGCAGCATGGCGTCCAGCTCCTCGTCGCTGAGGGGCATGTTCCGGGCCGACATACCGGGCCCGAAGCCGGTGGGAACGACAGCACCACCCGGGGCGGCCTGCGAAGGGTGCGCCGGAGTAGCGAGGCCTTGGCTGACCATGGGCGTCGCCGAAGGAGCCTGGTCCCACCGCGAACGCTTCTTGGGGGCCTCGAGACCGGGCGGGGCGGGCGTTTGGTCCCACCGAGATCGCTTGGGCTTCGCCGACTCCCCGGACTCGGTTGCGGTGGTTGCGGTCTCTTCCTCGGCAGGCGTGGACGAGACATCCCATCTCTTCTTACGCTTGCGGCCGGCCGTTGCCACTTCGGTGGATCCGGCGTCGCCATTCTCCTTCTCCTTATGACCGTCAGCCAGGGTTGCCTTGGCGACATTGCCATCCTCTTCCTCGTCCCTGCCTTCGAGCTTGGCCTGAATGGCACGGCGAACGCGCTCTTCCTCCCTCTCGAGCTCCCTCGCCTCCATGACCTCGCGATAGGTAACGCCTTCCTCGGCAGCAGCAGCAGCACCAGGCTTGCCGTTGGAGGCGGCAAAGGGGTCGGCGCGCGTAGGGGTGAGGGCCCGGTCGAGCCTACGCTTCTGGTAATCGGTTTCGCGGTCGGCGATTCGGTTGCTCCGCTCGCCGCGACCGGCAAGGACGTCATCTTCCTCGACGCCATCACCACGAGCGAATTCGTCGATCAGCTCTCTGGATGCCGTGTACTGACCGACGAGACGCCGCGTGTTGTCGGGCCCGTCTTCCATGTCCTCATCTTCGTTGTTGCCCGCAGGGATGGACGTGTTGTAGCCGGCAAACTTGTCCGCCTCGTTTCGGTCGTACAGGTCGGTATCAAACGAATCGGTCAGCTTCTGCTTGGTGCCCGCATCGTTGCGTTGGTTGGAAGGATCGAAAGTCCGAGAGCCCTTTTTGGCAGTGGCGGCCGCGTTGCGCTCCGCCTGAAGCTTGCGGATGGTCTCGAAGTCTGCGTCAGACATCTTGAATCACCGGTATTCTGGTCTCATGTCCCCGGAGGATTGAAGAGTGGCCGTACGACGTCGCAGGTGCGCATCAGTATGATTCAATTAGATCTTTTGATAGAAGGGAGATGTGGGGGTCGGAAGAAAAAAACGGTGATGCGTTTGGATAGATGTTGCGGTTGTTGTCTCGACTTGGTAAAAGGTTCAAGTTTGCACTTGGGCGACGCGAAGACCCTTCTTTGATTTGCTAATGCCTCAAGCCCAAACCACTTTGATTACCTCAGCGGGTCCCAGACCGGTATTGGACGAAGAATTCCGGAGTGATTACCTAAGCTAAGGTACCTTTCGCTGCTCCTCGTACTCTAAATTGAACCCGAGAATGGACAAAGTATCGTGAACCAGTTGTTGGAGGGTCTTTGAGTATTACAACAGGACTTCTATTTCTATTCTAGATGCCAAGCATCTCACTTCGATTTAGCTTGTGACCGCGTCCTTCGGCGTTTAGGGGATTGTTCTACGACGTCCTCAGCCACACCTACCGTCACCTCGACTTTGATATCTGTTTGCGTTGCCCTTCGCCTCCTTTTCGTTCTGTTACTTACGACCTCTGGAACTCTCAGTCCCTCCTCTTCTTCCTTTTTCACCATGACAACCTCACCCTCCTGCTTCGTAATCTCTTCCGTCTTGGCACCATTGCCACGTTCCGAGAACGTCTTCAAGTCCGCCGTAAACAAGACCGAATGCGCCCAGCCGGCATAGGCTCCCCAAAGCTCCCTAAAATGATCGCCCACCGCATCGTACATGGCCTTATTCAACGTTTTGGCCTTGGCCTTGCCGAACTTGTAATCCCGCTGCGCAATTTGCCAGACGTGCGTGTCGACGGGCACTGCCTCGCCCCATCCCAGCCCCATGAGACACACGCAGTCTGCCACCTTGGGGCCCACCCCAGTGAGCTCCAGCAGCTTCTCATGGGCCTCCTTGTACGTCGCAGAGGGTAGGCCGTCGGCCTCGGGCGCTCGCCGGAAGTTGGGATTGTCCGGGTTCGTCAGGCTGTCCAGCCATCCCTTGGGCCTTTCGTGGGCGACGATCCGGGCCGTCTGGACGATGTATTTGGCCCGGTACCCGAACCCCAGCTCGCGAAGGTGCGCCTCCACCTCCTTGGCGCAGAGTGCTTCCGGCGTGGGAAAGTCGTGGAACGCCTCGCCGCCGACATGGCCGATGAGTGGGCCGTAGTGTTGACAAAGTTTGAGGACCTAAAACGACCATGTTGATCAGAGTGGGGTGCAAAAGAGACCTCTTATCTTGGGGGATTAGACTTACCATCTGAGAGATTCTAGAGATGTTATTATTGCTACTGCAAATAAACGCTATGAGAGTTTCCCAGGCATCCTGGCTCAGAATTCGGACCCCTTCAAACTTGGGTGCCCGTTTCCGAAAATTGGGATCCGCCGCCGACCACTGCTCATACAGTGACCCTAAGTCGAGTTTCAGACTCAAGTAGTGCCTGAGTAGGTCTTCCGTGCCGTCTTGTAAGACATTTGCGTCGGAGACAGGACTCTTCGTCGACAGAGGCGGAGTAAGAAACTCATTCCTGGTGGCGGGCCATGTAACCCGGTAATGGAGGTGAGTCGAATCCTGCTTAAGAGAGACGACGCGCCCATGTAGCACACAAGACCTAGTGAGTCCATGTTAGCTTCCTGGGAAAAGTCCTCGAGTGGACATATAACGTATAATAAAATCAAAGGGTTCGAACCATTCGTCATTGAGTTTGCGCCAGCGAAAGGATTGTCCACATCGAAGCGTCGTGTCGATGCAGAGTTCCGTCAGGTTTACTGGTAACCGGCTCCATGCCGACACTTTCGCAGCAGCCATGATTTACGCCATATACAGAGAGATGCGTATATTATACGTCTGCGGTAAGATGAGTCCACAGTATCCCGTCTGTTGATGACAAGCCAATGTCACCGCTTGGACATGTCCTGTTCACGACTTGGAATGTCAGTTCAGTTCAGTTCAGGGGGGCATCGTCATTTTAAGATCACGTGAGCATTTTCCCAACTAAGTACCTAGGTACAGGAAATCGGTTCGACGACGACTGTCTGCACCGGTACGAGTTCATGGTCATCCAGAATCGCAAGAACAGCCTTGGGAAGCATATAATTATGAAAGACCTCCATCAAACGTATGCCTCAGCATTTATGCAGCAAATGGTATCATAACGTGGCTTTGGTACAGAGAACTCAACAGCGCAGAACCCCCCCATCTGAGCTAGATGTCCAATCATTCCACCCCTTTCTCCCGTCTTATTTGGTCTTCCTCAAGTCAGCCACTTTCCCCTTCCCTTGCCCTGCCACCGGCAACAGGTCACTCTGCACAACGAGCTGCCACAGGCACCAGAGGTAGCACAGAACAAACCCAGCACAGCCGATACCCACGTTGACCACGACCCAGAGGTCCGGCTTGTCGGCCGGCGGCATGATGAAAGCCTCCACGACATGCCACGCGGCCATGGCCGCATAAAAAACGCCATGGAGTACGGCTGTTCCCCATTTCAGCCAGGGAGACTGGCCGTCCGGGAAGTAGGCGCTCAACGACGTCGGTGGAAGGCCAAGGAGATAGGCCCAAAGCAGCGTAATGACCGCGTACGGCACGCCAAGGTCGACGCGCTGCAGCAACGGGAACATGGTCCACGCACCTAACAGGTTCGCGAAGCCGACCCAGGCGCGGAAGTCGCTGTCCCTCGACAGGCCTCGCTTGCCCGTGAGCATGAGCGTCATGGGCATCAGGGGAAGCAGAACGCTCTTCTCGTGGACCTGGTAGCTGAAGAGGAAGAACCCCCATGCGGTGGCCGCTAGCGCGGCCGGCAGGAGCTGCTTCCGAGGTCGGAGGAGCAGAATCAGATTCGGCGGGATGATGGACGCGAGAGTGAAGACGAGAGCTGCCTTCTGGAGAAGATCGGAAGGATATTTGCGCAGTTTGATGACGACGTTAAGGGCGCACCAAAAGTTTGCGACCTTGTCCTCGAATAGCCCCCGGGCAAAGGGGAAAATCCTATGCACCATCTGCAGCAACTGCTCAATGACTGGATAGTAGCTGGCCTCGGGATCGAGGTAGTGGGCCAGCTGGGGGAAGAGCGGAAGAGAAGGAGGCGGGCCGTCGATGCCTGGGTGAGGGCCGATTCCTCGGCGCACATCGTAGAGTGTGCCTAAAACAATAGGCAGGACAAGAATGGCGAATGCAGCGATCGTGACTAGCGCTATGCCAATAAATCGGGACGGGTTGAGCCTGGGCGAGATGCAGATGCCCAGCAGGAACGAAAATATAGCAAAGGCGTAGTAGAGCGCCATCTGCTTGAACCCCAGCGCAGCGACGAAGAAGACAGCGGACCACATGTACCGCCCGGCAAGTATGTTGGACAGGGTGGCGATGACGAATCCGAGCATGACCGTGTTATACTGGAAGTGCACATGGTCAATGAGTATGGTCGCAGGCTGCATCAGAATGGCAACCAACGCCAGTGATGCAGACCAGGTCGATGCGCCACAGGCCCTGCTGAATCTCCTCACGAAGATCACGGTGGCAGGGATGTAGATGAGGTATTCTGACACCATGGCGGTAGCTCGCATGAAAATCTTTAGCGTCGGGTCTTCCAGGCCTCGTGAGGTGTACAGGGCGAACCAGTCCGGGTTGACGAGCGCGCCGATCCGACCACAGAGCCAGCTATGGTACGCGGTCAGTGGAGGGTAGTCCAAACCCCACCACTCCAGGTCGTGGAAGTACCACTGAGAGATGGGGAGCTTCGTCGTAATCTCCATCCAGTGCCTTTGGGCTTCGTAGTCGCCGAACATTGGGGGCTTTTGGTGTCCTTCGAGACCGGCAAGTGTCAGCCCAGCCCAGCCCATGGTGAACCGAGTGTTTTTCTCTTTCTCCCTTTCTCTTCTCTTCCTTGTCGCACTCACCTGAATATCCCCAGAGGCCAGCAGCCCAGCGAAACAGTCCCACGGCCATCAGGATGAATGGTAGAACGTTCCATTGCGAGGTCGATCCCCGTGCCGGCCATAGCAGTGAAGCAAGCGGGAACAGAGGCGTCTTTATAACAGTTTCGCTAGGGGAAAGAGTGTTGTCGGTGATGCTGGTTCGTAGCTGGGACGCACCGGCCGGCTTCTTTGCCCTGTTGCGGGGCTTGTGAGGTGAAGGACCGGCCATTGTTCCCGAAGTAAACGAGTGAAACTCAGGCTGGCTGCATGGAGATTGCAGTATGCCTGCGAAGTGGCTGGCTGGCCGAGATTCCGGCTCAAATTGGTGGGCAAGATGCTGGGGATTTGGTCAATTATTGCATGTTTACGACGTGGTGTCAAGGCTAAGGTACAATACAAGATCCGAAGCTTGCCTTTGGTTACACGGCAAGTACCAAGTACCCCGGATGCTTGACCTCGATTAGTCAGCAATATACGGTGTTGCCTTAGCCGCGAACACGTCCCAGGTTGAGCTTCTGACTGTACCTTAGCTGTATAAGGTAAGGTAAGGTAAGCTAAGTATACTGTATGTACACGGTACCTCGCCATAGAAAGTGAACACTCTGGACAGGATGAGATCGATAAATTTGCCGACGGTGCGACATCATCGCTCCTTATCTTATCTTGGCATCAAGGTACCTTAGGTACCGGGCTACAACGTCCATACCCAGGACTGCGACCTCAATCCCATCCATATTCTTCTCCCAAGACCTCGTCTTCCTTCATGCCATTGTTTTCTGCGCCTTGGTGAAGAGGCAAACCACTCCACCATGCCTTTCCCCTTTGTCCTTCCAACCACTTCATCCTTTTCCTTTTCTGCCTCCTTTAGATGCGACTCCCACCCCTCGCTGCCCCTCACTGCCAGCACATATCGCGGGGTAGTCCGTGATGCCCTCAAGAAGCACAAACGCCTGCCATCCTCGGCCCAGTCCCCTCATCTCTCTTCCGTCGTCTCTTCCTTGACCAGCTACCTTCCCTACCTGCTGGCCATTGACGCCGGCGTCCACCAACGGGGACCCCTGTCGTCTGAAATCAGGGTCACCCTCCAGGACACACCAGCCATCGAATGGCGTCCTACGCTTTCTGACACCGCAGTCCCTGGTCGCGAACCGCCCCGGGTAAAAGTCCGTCATCTGGACCATGAGATCGCCTTCGCCCTGTCTACCCTGGCCGAGGCCTATACCTTAGTCGGCCGATCCGCCCTCCATCCGCTCTACGTGACATCCGCCGCCGTCCCCACCTCCGAAGAGCGAACCCTCGCTATCCAGACGGCGACTAGACACCTCCTTGACGCCGCCTCCATCTACGAATACCTAGCCACCCGCGCCGACACCAACACCTCTGTTCCCTGCGCCGATATCGCCCCGACCACCCTGCGCGGTCTCGCCGCCCTCGCCCATGCCGAGGCAACCCTCCTCGCCGTCCTCAAAGACGACCCCTATCCAGCCATCGTCTCCCAGTCCCGCAACGAGACCGACCGGGAATGGATGTACAAGTCCCCCGACATCCCCAAGGTCCGCGCCCACCTGTTCGCCCGCCTCTGTCTCGCCGCCGCCGAGCACGCCGCCAAGGCCTCCTCGCTCTGCCAGACCCGCGTCCCCACAACGGGAGACGGTGGTGGTGGCCCCGGAGCGGCTGCCGCCGGAAAGGTAAACGACGCGTTACTGCGTTACCTCGAGGATACGCGGCGGACGTGTCGCGCCCGCGCCTGCCGCTTCTTCGGCATCGACGCCGAACTGGGCGGCCAGACCGGCACGGCGCTCGCCTGGCTTCGTGCCGGGTTGCAGGAGCTGGGCGTCGAGTCTCGCGAGGCCGCCGCCCCTCGCAAGGGTGGTCTAAGCGCCGGGTTGAGTCGCTTCAAGAAGGACTGGGCTGAGAAGCGCGAGGACAAGCGGGTCGAACGGGAGGCTGCGTGGGGCGCCGACGGCGGAAGGCTGGAAGAGACGCGGGTCATTGAGCATCTCGAGGCCCAATGGACCAAGGTCAACGACATGGTAAGTTTTAGCCGCCGTAAAACCGAGCAGTCATGAGAACTCCCAGGTTCTTCCCCTCTCCAGAATTTGCTCACCAACAATCCCCAGATCGCTTCACAACCCATCCCTCCAACGGGCCCGTTGATTGCCCAGATGCCCTCGGGTCGCGATATACACGTCGTCAAACCATACCAAGTCCCCCAGCTGGATCGGACTGTATTAGAGGCGACGCGGGCGCCGCCGGATAGGACCGATGACGGTGTCGGCGTAGGGGACGGTTTGAGTTCGGACGAAGAGGCCGAAGTTGGGGATAGGGCTAAGCAGGTGCCTGTCGGTGCATACCCCGGTTCAAGGCCGGATCATGGCAGCAGGAGCTCGTATTACTGAATAGGACCACCTCTCGGACCTGCAAGATCCATCTATGCGGTACGCTTGCAGACAACGTCCCTTTTAGGGTCTGGTGAAGCCCCTATTCCAGCCAACAGATACGACATATAGATACCCCATCACGACGAATGCACAGCAGCTCAGCGACAAATTCCTTTATCAATTCTGCTTTCACCTGCCTGATGGCCCATCGCACCTGGCCCTAATTACGACCGTCATCGTAGGTAAAATAAAATACGCACAACATGGGGGTATAACGTCGAACAGCTGGTACTTACATGCCATGAATGCAAATCAACCCTCTCCATCTTCTCTTCACCCTTCCCCTTCCCACCTGCTTCCCTTGCCTCACTCTTACGAGTGGGCCCCCTTGGTCCAGTCCCTACGCAACTCCCCTTTTGCGCACAATGTCCGTTAGAAATAGAAGAGAAAAGAGAAGAAAACAAAAGAGCGTGCGCGCTTCCTCGAGGAAACGAGACATCAGACTCGAACGCCATTCGTCTTTCATGACGAGCGAGAGACGAAAGTTTTCCTTTCAGCCTCGGGCCTTGGGGAAGACAAGAAATTAAGGGGAAATATCAGACATTAGGACGACCGGCCATGGGCTCGACTGTTCTCTCCTTGCTCCAGAAACCAACTCCCGGCCCCTTAGTTCCAACAAACGCCATGCTGGATGTGCAATACAAGAAGATCAATCAAGGGCCGGGTGAAAAGGCAAGCGCGAGAAATAAAGACGAAAATAAAATCCGAGAAAAAAAATCGACGGTAATGGGAAGAAAAGAAAATGCTAAGCTTGGCTTGCTAAATGGCGCTTAAGCGTTTGTAGAAAAGAAAAACGTGCAGGTATCCCTCGTTTCTGTTTATGGTCCAAAGCACATGTCTCATGATGACCGGAGGCAAAGGCCAGAGAGTCGCAGAGAGTTCCCCCCGTTCAAGGCCGCCAAGCGGGCTTGTTGCTGATGGCCCTCCTAGAGGCATCAGACGTGGAGGAACTGCGCATGGCACTCCGAGCACCCGCAATGGCCTGGGGAGACGCTCGCCCCGTGGTGGCGTTGGAGGCGGTGGTAGACCTCATTTGCGGAAGCATACTGCTCCGCCTTCCCTGAGCTTGAGCCATGGAGCTCGCGGGCCGGGCCGGCCCGGCTTGCTGGCTGTTCTCCAAGGCGTCCCTGGGCCGGGGAGGCTGGAACGACGCTCGCCGAGTGCTCGTGGTGCTCGTGGCTGACCTGGCAAACGAGAGGCGAGGCTTCGCCAGAGTCTGCTGCTGCTGCTGCTGCTGCGCTTGGGGACCCGGCGAGGTGGTGCGGCCGCGGATGGCGAGCCGAGACAGACTTGCCCTTGTAGGCGTGTCTTCCGGCATGGGCGAAGCCGAGGTGGAGCGGTTGAGAGGGCTGCGAGCCGAGGGGATGCGGGAGCCGGTGGCGGCTCCTCCTCCACCGGAAGTCGGCGTCAGCGACGAGGCGGACCGGCCCAGCGGTGTCCTCTTGGCGTAAGGACTGGGCGTCGTGAGAGTGAGGGGCTTGAAGTTGTGGCCGATGCCAGCGTCGGCCGTGTTCGTCGAGCCGTTCCACTTCGGGCGGCTCGGTAGGGTACTGACAGGGCGAGGCACCTTGCTGCCACTGGAAGGGGTAGGCAGGTTGGATGGGCCGGCACTCGATAGCCGGGATGCCAAAGGCCTGCGAGTTTGAGAATTCGGCGTAGGAACGTTCGATTGTCTCCGGTTCGAAGGCTGAGGCAGGTTGCTGTTCGTACTCCCGGAACGGACTTTGGTCCTGGGTGTCGGGGTGACCGGACCGAGACCAAGGCTGGACATGATGACGGAGGATGGCGGCGAACTCCCAGGGGTGTCATGGGTGCTGCCGATGGTCGAACGGTCGTTGGAGAGCATACTCGAGACGGAATCTCGCAGTTGCTGGCCGTGGTTGTCCCATTGGATCTCTTCGAGTGCAACATCCATCTCTTTGATCTGGACCTTGAGCGATTCCCATTTAGATTGCAGCTCCGCGTTGAGACGTATGATCTCGCCATTCACGGTGAGACGCTCCTGGACCCCCTTGTCGACGATGGTGAGGACGCGTTCGATGGCCGGGCCGTAATGCGTTTTCTTGGCGTCGTAGCTCTCGACTTTCTTGGCCATGACCGGAGGACTAGTCAGATGGATGCCGGAATCCACCGACTCCTTCAGCTTGAGGAGCGATCTTTCTACCGACTCGATCATCTTCTGCGCCTGTCGACCGGCTCCTCGGAAAACAAGAACCCAGCGGTCTTCACCCAGCTCCTTCCGCAACGACTCGGCGTCCTTCTCGAGCTTCTTGTACGTTCCGTCCAGGGCAGCCCTTCGCATCTCCAGCTCGTCGCAGGCGGTGGGGAACGACAGTCTCGCCCTCGCTTCGAAAACGGAGAGTCGCATCGGCAAGAAGTCGAGGGACGCCCTGAGCGGTTGCATGCGAGCGAACAAGGCCAGGAGGCTGGAGTCGTCCTGGGACAGGGTCGGGGTGTTGGGAGAACTCGGGGTCACGGGGAACACCGGGAGACTCGATCGGGTCCGCGGGGCGAGCTTGGCTACGGACGGGGGAGGGGTCTCTTCGACTATGGTTTCGAGGTCTCCGATGTCGACCCCGTCACCTGTCGTAGTAGCCATCAGAGATTTATGGCGGCGTTCCTCCATTTCAAAAACCAGTCTGCACAGCTCGTCCATCTCGCCTTGTATGTCTCCGAGGACCATGTTCCAGAGCTCTTCCCATTCCATGGCGATCTCGACCTGCTCTTTGACGTTGCCGAGGGCTGACTGGATATTGGCCCACTCGCTAATGATCGACTCCATCTGCGCAACGGCCCGCCGAAGGTCGTCGGCGGGAACGCTGGCGATGTCGTCCCGATTCTGCAGCTCTTCGATGGCACTGACGTAGGCATTGATTAGCTCCTCGAACCTCGCAGCGGCATTCTCCACCTCGGCCAGGCCCTCACGGCCGCCTGCTGCCGCCCACTCGACATCGTCTTCACTATCCAAGCCGGCGATGACCTCGGAGGCCTTGGAGATCCAGCTCCGAATCTGCTCGGCGGCATTGATGAGGGCCTTGGAGGCGACATTGGCGGTGGGGATGGCGGAGACCTTGCTGGACAGCGATCCAGCATCGGGAAGTTGCAGCGACGTTAATTGTGCGAGCTGGTTGGCGAATGAGGCACGCGAGAGGGTGTAGATCGAGCCAGGTCGTTGGCGATTCGGCGTGAAGTACGACGCGATATCGGGGGTAAACTCCGCAGGGGTGGTGGTTGGGGGAGTATCCTTGGGGAGGGGTGGCGGAGGAGGGTTGCTAGTGTCGTCGTCGTAGTTGTATTCGTCGTCGTCGTATTCGTCGGGCAACGGGGGGTTCACGCATCGCTCGACGTGCTCTTGCCGCGTTTCGAGTTGTACCTTGGTGCCATTTCCATTGGTATGGTCGGGCAGCCTGTATTTTTGGGTATCCATGTCCAAGTCCAAGGGTTCAGACGTCGTTATTTCCGGTAGCAGAGGTGCCGTAGTACTGCCGGGGACGGGGGTCGAGGCGTCGGGCGCCACGATCTCGTCCGTCACGGCAGGCGTTGGCGCTGGGGCGGAGGCGGGAGTGAGAGAAGTGAGAGTGGAAGTCGCGGTGGTCTTGGTCTTGGGGGTGATGTGGTTTGTCGCTTCGGATGTTGCAGCAGTAGCGGCGGGACCCTTCCAAGGGCGACCGCGCCGTTCGATGATGGAAGAGAGGGAGCCGGCCTGGTGTCGCTTGTCAAGTTGGCGAATCTGATCTTGGGGTAGACGGCCGACGCGATCTTGATGGGCGGCTACTGGGGACGGATCTCGGGATTTACTGGAGCCAAACCCGAGGGCCTTCAGGCGTGCAGCCAATCCGGGCGATGGCCTGCGTGGCTGAATGGAGGTTGAGGTGGGAGTACTCGATTGAGAAGTCGCTGCTGTTTGGGTCGAGGGAGAGGCGGTGGCAGAGCTCGGAGTTGCGGGATTGGAAACAGGCGATCTGGGGGCAATGGAAGGGCTGACGGCGGTGGTCAAGTTCGAGTTGCGCCCCGCGATGGGTGGACAGGGGTCGGTAGTTTTGTCACGCTTAGACGTGTCCTTGTCAAAATCCAGGCGTGGTTGGAAAAGCTCGCTTGAGACGTCGGATAAAGTCAGCCCAGTGGTTACTGGTAGTGGTTCAATCCTGGGCAGTTGATGGTCGATTTCAGCTGCCGGAGGAAGAATAGTGATGGCACTCCGGTTAGTGCAATCTGTCGGTAGCGATTGGGCAATGATGGCAGTGGTTTGGTCGTGGTTGTTGTTTTGTTGATCGTTGGTTTTGTTTTTGTTGCTGTTGCTGTTGCTGTTGCTGTTCTTGTTCTTGCCTGCTTCTACTTGTTGTGGTTGATCAGTGGGCATGTGGAGTGTTGTAGGGGTAGTTTTCTGGGCGGTCTCGGTGGTCAAAAGAGGCCTGTCGGTGGGGGCAATAGCGCCCTCGGGCCAGCTGTCAACGGAGGGCCAGCGGGGCACGCTCGCTGTACCTTCCCCTGAAGCACAGGCTTCAGCGATTACTGGGGCCTTCCCCGGTGGGCTAGGGCTTGTCCTAGGAGGCTTGCCAATTCTCCCTTGTTCTGCTTCCTCAGACACTGCGCTCATTTAAACTAGAGCGATCCGCATCTGACTGTGACCCTTTTGTCCAGTATGGGCCTTTTTTTTTTTTTTTTTTTAATAAATAAAAAAAAAGATGCAGAAAAGTGCCAAGTAAAGTAAGTATCCGTGTCCTGGTGGGAAACTCGTATTGTGCCAGCGGTGAGTGGACCGAAATGGTGGCGGATGAGTCTGAAAAGGAGGCCAACTGCTATGGCCCTGTGGCTCGTAGGACTGGCTGCGACTTTCAAACGTGGATAACAGTGGAAAGCTAAACGACTGGCTGGAGGATGCAGTCGTTATTGGGTCGATGTGGTCGTATGCATCCTGCTGCGTTCGTCTTGAAGAAGAGGAATGCAGGATGACGGCAATCCTCGGGTGATCGGCCTCCGTCCAGTGTCTGTGCAGATGACTGAAAGAGAGGACTGAGATGAATATGAGTGAGAGGCCGAGATGGTAGCGAGTAAGGTATCCGTAATTCCGTATAAATAACGTCTTCAACTCGGGGGTTGGCGTCGGCTTTGGATGTTGAAGCTTAGATGATTTGATAAAGGCCTTTTCTTATGGTTTCCTTGGACGTAAAATGGTTATGCGAAGAGGAAGAGGGGCATAATTGGTAAGGAGTTATGACCGAGAAGGATAGAAAGAAGGGAAGGAAGACGAATTAGAAAAGACAGGAGAATAGTGACCGGGCAATTTGTCTTGAGTGGCTAGGAGGGTCTTTACGTTAGATGGCTCTGGGTTGCTTGAAAGTCGGACGACCTTGCGTATCGTACGTATTGTTGAAGTAATAAAAACGAAGGGATGTCTCTAGACTTTGTGTTCTTTGCGTGGAGCCGGATTGGTGCACAGTTTCCCGTAGTGCTGTCTCGGGCAAGAAAACGAAGGAGCCGGGACAGACAGACAGCACTGATTTCTAAGACGGAGGCAAAACAGAAAGAAGTGGGAGGGAGTTGGGGGGCGGGGGATAAAAAAATAAAATAAACAGAAAGAAGGAAAAATAATTTCTTGCGAGGGCCTTCGTTGTGAAGGCGAATTGTGCTTCATAGACTGACCTCCTAGCAAAATTGCCTCCTTGCTTGCCCTTCCGCCCAGCCATGTCAGAACCACCCTCTCTCTGTTCGAACGAAGTACGTTGTGCACAGAGAAGCGGTCCCATCAAGCCGGGCAATCCGCGGACCCGGAGATTGGTACGACCGGTGGGCTTTAATCTCCCGCTTGTCGTCTCCACGGGAAGAAATGGTCGGGTCAGCTGCGAGCTTGTGCATGAACACAAATCAATAATTTAAGCCTGATGGCTTGGGTGCTGCATGCTGCACGAAGAACGAAAGCACTCAGTACGTTAGGTTACCTAGAGCTAGAGGTTAGGGCTGGCAGTACCCGTCTCTCGCAACATCAGATTACGATCCTCTATGCGAACACAGTTGAGTTCTTCAGCGAGGTCTGTCCGTCACGTCAACCAGGTTCTCTCCCATGAATATGCTGGGATTAGCGTTGCAGTGGCTTCCAGACTCGGCAGTTGACTGGGGCCTCACACTGGCACTCTCTGCAGGACCCTGGGCGCGTTCCCCCTTCGGGCAAAGCATGATCACAACGATCAAAGGTACGAAGTACGGGGGATGTCAAGGTGAATTCACCTATCAAGATTGGTGGCGTCCTGGATTGATGCGGACGGATGCATAAATCGTGCCCAGTGTCCATACAAGGGCACGAAATATCGGGCAGCCTTGAGGCGGCTAATAAATGAACATGCTCCCCGATTCATCGGTTCTTTCTTTCCGTGTCGTGTCCATCAGGCACAAAGCAATCAATTTGCGACTCGCCGTCTCTATACAGTACTGTATATCACGAGGGAATTGCGGATACTCTGAAAATTATACCTACAACGGTATGTATTAATTACAAACTTAGACATTGTTGCCTGCACTCCTCATCAATCCGCCGCATAGCCAATCGTCGCGTATCTTACTGTATTTCCAAGCCCGACGCGTCCGTTGCCGAATGATAACGCGCTAAACGTTTAGAGTGCAGCGGGTTCAGGTACGGTAAGGTACCTAAGGAAGGTAAGTAGGTACCTGAAAAAGCGGGAGGGATGCTGGTCCAATCAATCCAATCAACGTTAGGCAATATACAAACGACTTCCGGACCGTCCCTCCTCCGAACAGTGGGAGACGCATTGATGGTTGAACCCATTCATTCCATTCCATTCTCGTCACTTGATTCTCAACTCCACACGCCAATGCTGCAAGCCTAAGGTGAGGTAAACTCCTCGCTCATCTCCCTCGCTGCAAGGTACTTCGTACAAGTTCTGTGGTCTTCCAAAGCTTCCACAGCAACCTGTCCGTGTCACAGAATTGCCGACAAGCGAACTAAACCAAGGTACCTTTACCTTAATTAGGTAAGTTAGGTCCGGAACATTACTCCATAAGACTGACTACAGACCCGGCGTGCCACACCGGTCCACACCCAGCTTCCTTTCCAAGTCGCTTAAGCCCCTGGATTCAGCATCGACCAATCTAGCGCGTGTTGAATTCATTGAGCTCTTACGATACAAAAACATACTTGTCTACCTAATCAAATTGCGGATTTCCTTTCAGAGCTACTTTCGCACTCAGTACAACACGCACTATCGCTCCCTTCGCAAACTGTTGTTCCTACCTTATTCCATACATTAGTTTCGTTCCATATCGTCTCCCTCCAGGAAAAAAGCCCGTTCTCGAGCCGCAAAACCAGCTATACGGATACTTATAGAACCCGATACGTTCATTCATTCTGTTATTCGTTCCTTCGCCCAGCCAGTAACGCTCGCATCGTTGCTTTCTTTCTTTGCCTCAACTCAATTGCGGCGCAGGTTTACGTCCCGTCCTACGAGAGATCCAGTTCATTGGAAATAATCATTTTCTTGTCCTCATACATACTCGGTCGGCTTGCTTCTTTTTGCGCTTGCCTCTTTTAATAGAATCCCAACCAAATCGCCGTTCGTCTGGATCACTCGGCTTATACCACCTGCCTACCGATTCCTGCCGCTCTCGTCCCTGCCGTCACCCCGTCTACCACTCTGAAACATCAACATTCCGAACCAACCAAACCATTCCAGATCCTCGAATCTCACGTTGCTCGGGGACACCCTCCCAGCCTACGTACTAGTCGGCTTGGAAGCAACTCTCCTTCAAGAACCGACAAAACCCCTCGCTTCCCAGCCATAGGTCTCGACGTAACATTCATTGTGTACCACGTATCACAGGTCCTACCACCATCATTTCATGGAAATGAGTTCCGCCGAACCTCCTTCGGTGCGCTGCGAGTCGCCCTCGCCTGAGATCACTCCTACCCCCGCCATCGGGGCTTGTCCGAATCTCTCACGCTGCGTATCCACCGCTTCCGACCTCTCCCATGGCTCCGGTTCAGAGTTCGCCACGCGGGATTCCCTCGGCAGCGACGCTTTCTCTCGACAATCCTCCGCGAGCTATGGCCGTCGCTCCGACGTCAGCTTTGCCTCCTCCCGCCAGTCTACACATAGCGATGGCAGCCGGCCCAGTCGTCGCCGCGGGTACATGCGTCCGCAGGGTACCGCTTTCGCTGCCAGTGCGCAGTCGCGCGAGAGCGTCCTGAGCCTGGGCAGCATTGCCCATCTACAGTACTACTTTGCCAGGACAGGCTTGCTCGACGGAAAAGGTGCGCAGCTGCAGCGCAAGAATAAGCAGAACCGAGCGACCTTGGACCTCTCGGCTCTGGACACCTCGACGTCGTCGTCGTCGTCGTCGTCGTTGTTGTTGTCGTTGTCGTCGTCATCGCTATCGCCTCGTGTGGCTGGCTCTGATGTCGATTCGTCGTACGCTTCCATGGGGAGCAGTCCCGAACTCGCCGCCTCTGGGTTCGGATCTGGTCCCTTGGTCGAATCGCCAATTGAAGAGCCCTACTACTCCGACGAATTCGATGAACCCGACCCTGACATGCCACCTCCCACCACCAGCACCTATATCCATCGAGAAAAACCGGTGCCTCCACCGCCGACCGTCGAAGAGCTCAAGTCGGACCTCACAGGCTCCCTAGAGAAAGCCGCCGAGGCGCTCAAAGATGCCCGAGATCGCAAGGACGGCCCGCGGGACGTAGGAGAAGGGACAAGCCAGCCGGCGCCAGCGACGGAAAGCCCACGATCCCATCATGCGCGGCAAAAATCCAAGGCAATGGGGTGGTACGAGCTTCAAGGCATGCACATCCTCGACGTGACGACCCTCGCCATCCGGGCCGCCAAGATGTACTACACCGCCCACGAGCAACCGGAGCGACTCGACTCCATCAAGTCCGAACGCCAGATCCGCGCCGAACTCTTTTCCGTCATGGAGACGCTAAAACAAATGGCCACCCGTCGTTGGGCCGGCGGCATCCGCGACGACGAGCTCGCCAACCTCGAGACCTGGATCCGGAGTCTCTTCGACATGCTCAAGCAAGAGGACGAGATGGAAGAAGCGGAGCGGGCGGAGCGCGCCGGTTGGATGTGGTTGAAAGGCGACTGGACCGGCAGGGAAACCGAGCGAGAGCTCGCTTTCCTCGCGTCCCTCGCCGTCGATCTGGGCCTCCCACCCCTGCCGGAGTACACACCAGCCGCTGGTCTGGCGGCTGGAGATCTCCCGACGCCGTTCCTGAAAAGCATGCAGAACGGTCTCCGGCTCGTGAAGCTGCACAACGCGGCAGTGAAAAAATCGAAGCGACGGTTCGGCAGTATCACCCCTTTCCACGAGGACACCGAGAAGCCGTACCGCTGCGCGGATAACCTGCGCTACTGGGTCAAAGCTGCGGAACTCCGGTGGGAAGTGTTGCTCAAGGTGGACGCTCTCGGCGTGGTGTGCAACACCGGGCCTCAAGTGTGGACGGACTTTGAGGCTGCGATTTGGAAGTGGTGTCGGAAGGCCCGGGAGGAGATTGCCGCCGAATTGGATGTCTGACGGGCGGGGAAATTGGATGCTGAAACAGAACGCTTGTGAAGTCATGATGATTGATGACGTTGTCCCGCAATACCCCGGAGTCTCGGTTTTATTGCTTTTTCCTGGTCTTGTTTGCTTGTTCGCTGGCCCCCATTCAAACTGGATATCCAGTCATCTTCTGCGCGATTCTATGCTCTTGCTACCTTACTTTCTTGGACATGTTCACGCTGGATGATGCCACTCTACGCTATGAATAGTTTAGAACCTTACTTAGTCTTGCTTGCTGGCTCCGCTAGCTCCATCAGTCCTAGACACTATGTCGTCTGGCGGTCAGAGAACGTAGTCACTCATCGCAGCATTGCTGCCCTTAATACACCACGCTTATGGTCAACTTGCCAATTTCGAGTCGGATAAGAGGCGCTGGGTGCTGGGTGCTGGGTGCTGGGACCGACTTTGGAGAGACAAGATCCTCTGTTTGTACATGGCCATTGACCAAGGGTTTGCTGTATCTTCGCTTTTGACAGGACATGTGCCCACGTTCTCTGGTTTCTTCCCATCGCTGGATCGGATCGAATCATGGGAATACCAGGGACCTTGAAAGAGTGATTTTGTCAAAAGGAACTAGTCTGCGAAAGAGGACGATCTTCTAACGCTCAATCCATCAACTGAGTTGATATACACCTTGATTCCGATGTTAATGCCTTTAGGACTCATGGAAATAGCAAGCATTGTAGCAGTGATGCTGTTGCCTGGATAGTTCTTAAGCAACCAAAAACAAGTCTTGCAGAACAGCTAGGTGGCAAGCAAGATGCCATATCAGTCACCAGAAAACAGAAGCCCAGTACGAGTGTAAAAGAAATCGTATTGAAATTTCGCACTGAAGCGCTTGGTTTACATGTTCAGCACGTCTTCTACGTTAACTAGCAATAGCGGATGATATCAGACGAAGACAAGGGAACTTGCAACTCCCAGAGTCGGAATTACAAAACTCCGAATGCCGAAGCAACAGGTATTCTCACGTGCAAGTTCCCTTGTCAACACCCGCCACAATGAGCCACCATCGAATCCAAAGGTGTCTGACGCCACCCTCACCTACCACCCTAGCCTATGTGGGCCATGCTTTCAGCGATCCACGCAACAGGAGGTACGTACTCTACTAGATGCCTGCCAGCTCCAGTGGGCTTCCTAAATAATCGTCAGTCGACAAGCTCAACACACCCGAAGCCTTGCACTGTTATCGCGACCAGGCCCATCTATCAACGTCTATCTGCCCTTACATTTCAGAATCGACACTCGGAGATACTGCTTCTGACACCCTGACTTAGCGCTGTCGATTCTCCCAGCGAAACGTCCAACGAAGAACCCCAGCCGCCCAGGATGTCGCCGGAGGAGGAGCGAAGACAGGCCCTCGACGCCTACCGGGCCGAGCTCATCAAGTCCAGAGAACTCGAGGCTAAGCTGAAGACCACGCGTTTGGAGATTCGGGAACTGCAAAAGGAGTATGATCGGACCGAAGATGCCATCAAAGCTCTGCAGAGCGTGGGTCAAATAATCGGCGAGGTTCTAAAACAGCTCCCCGACGAGCGATGTGAGTTCTCCTCGTTCCACGCACTCACTGATTGTCTCTGCCGCGCGCATGGTTGGCTAACTAACGGGGTGGCCTTTTGCCTTTTTGCGTCTACAGTCATCGTCAAGGCCTCATCTGGCCCCCGCTACGTTGTCGGATGCCGATCGAAGCTCGACAAGTCCAAGCTGAAGCAGGGCACTCGTGTTGCGTTGGATATGACCACTCTCACCATCATGCGCATGCTTCCCCGCGAGGTCGACCCGCTTGTATACAACATGTCTTTGGAGGACCCTGGCCAAGTCAGCTTCGCTGGTATCGGCGGTCTCAATGACCAGATCCGCGAGCTGCGCGAGGTCATTGAGTTGCCCTTGAAGAACCCAGAGCTTTTCTTACGTGTGGGCATCAAACCCCCCAAGGGAGTTCTTGTGAGTTTCAACTCTCCGGTCTAGCCTAAGCGTAATCGCATACTTACGAAACACAGCTCTACGGACCTCCCGGAACTGGCAAGACGCTGTTGGCTCGGGCAGTCGCTAGCAGCCTGGAGACAAACTTCTTGAAGGGTACGTTTTTTTTCTTTGTCTCCCGTCTCGTGGCTTCATTCCGCAGAGAAGCAGAGAAAACAACTTGTCGGAAACTAATAAACTGGCAGTTGTGTCATCCGCCATCGTCGACAAGTACATTGGAGAGTCGGCACGGTTGATTCGAGAGATGTTTGGCTTTGCCAAGGAGCACGAACCATGCATCATCTTCATGGATGAGATCGACGCCATCGGCGGACGAAGGTTTTCCGAAGGAACCAGCGCGGATCGAGAAATTCAAAGAACTCTTATGGAGCTGCTAAACCAGCTCGACGGTTTCGACTACCTCGGCAAGACCAAGATCATCATGGCCACCAACCGCCCAGATACCCTAGATCCCGCCCTACTTCGTGCCGGTCGTCTGGACCGCAAGATTGAGATTCCTCTTCCCAACGAGGTGGGCCGGTTGGAGATCCTCAAGATCCACGCTGCCGGTGTCGTCACTGAGGGAGAGATTGATTTTGAGAGCGTGGTCAAGATGAGCGACGGTCTCAACGGCGCCGATTTGCGGAACGTGGTCACTGAGGCGTAAGTTTGCTCTGTGTTTTATTTTTAACCCCCCCCCCCCCCCCCAGTACTTAACTGATCTTTTATAGTGGTCTTTTTGCCATCAAGGACTACCGCGACGCCATCAGCCAAGATGACTTCAATAAGGCGGTGCGCAAGGTAGCGGAGGCGAAGAAGCTCGAAGGCAAACTCGAGTATCAGAAACTGTAGAGAGATGACGAGGAATGCAACACATTAACATAATGCTGGTTGAATTGCAAACCGGAAGCTCGCGGCTGGGATGGCCTTCACAAGGGGCGAGGCCAAAGATTCTGGGTGTGACCAGTGGATGAAACATAAAGCCGTGTGAAACTGTACATTACCCCGATCTGTGCCCGAAGAATGGAGTTGGTCGAGAACATGATCAGGAGCGGTATTCGATTGCATGATACGGTCCTCGTACCTTTGCAAGCGTGACTGCATTGCTCTTTAGGGTAGATTAGTTGGGCCGTCCGAACTTGCACGTGCAAAGGGCCACGACTGAGCAACAGATGCATCAAGTCAAGACAGGAAGTACCACTCATGGGAGGCGATAATTCTAGGTAGCGGTACCTAGCGCAGAAGCGGTAAATAGATCGGACTCGGAGACAGCGCATTACTTGATAGAATACAGCTTGAGACACCGCCCACGTGCCGAATCCAGCTATGAGGAACTTAGGTATCACTCAAAATAGGGCCCATCCGCGCCCAAGGGGTGAAAGATATGAACGGCGGCTGTTCCATTTCGGATCTGAGGACATCCAGGGCTGACAAGGAGAAGTTTATGGTAGGCCCGAATCGCTAGGGGTGCCGGCATGCTGACATGCTTACTGTCCGTCAATGGTTGCTCTGACGCTATGCAATTGGCGTCAAGGAAACAAGCACTGACGCTACGTGATAGGCAGGACAAAAGGCAATCCATTCAGCCGCAACCGCAGAAATGTTTCCTGCTTACGGAGTGCGGCTCTCGCCGTCCCATCAGCACAGGCTACTGGGTAGTATGCCGCGATTGCTGACCGGTTTGTTTCTTTGGTGCTTCATCCTCGGCTTGCGTGAAAACGGTCCAAAGACGATTGCCTGATGCGGAAAAGCACCTGCGAATGGCGTAGTCTAAGCCTCCAAGTGGCCTCAAGTAAAAGCAAGCAGGGAACGAGATGCTATTCTTGGAGTTCTTCCCGAGCTAGAGATAACCGGGCAGGGGGGAGACCCCTTTTTTCTGTGGCTGTGACATGGACAACAACGTCGACACGACGATCATGCCAAGTCTAGTAGCACTGTGGCGTTGGAAAGAAGCGCGACGGTGTGACCCCACTCGGTTGCGCATCAGCACTTCGGCCACTACTGTAAGGTAGGCAATCTGTGTGTGCAAAGTGCAGCATCGAAGGGCAAGGGTCACTAGTGTCCGTACTGAGAGCCGGGTTCCCTGGGCATCGAAGATGCGTGCAGCGCTTGATGGGTTGTTCAGTTCAGTTCAGTCGACCAAATCAGCCCCCACTGCTCTGCTCGTAATCTGTATAAGGTATAGGTAGCACCTTTAAGCTAAGCCCTCTGGCAAGTCGGGGGGTGGGTTTGTATTTTTTTCTTCTTTTTCGCGTTGTTTCCTTCGCTTTTCTTCGTTGTTGTTGTTGTAGTAGAAAGACAAACGATCAACGGCCACAAGCTACCTTAGCTTCGTAGGCAAGCGGGGTCTATAAGGTAATCGATAAATCCATGCTGGTTGCCTCTCTTATCTGGCTTTGAGCACGGGGTTTTGCGGTGACTCTGCTCGGGTGGGGGCACGGCCTTGTTGACCAGGGAAAAGGGGGTTCAAAAGTACGCTAAGGGGGGCGAATGCGTAAATACGAAGTTGGAGCAATTGGGACGATGCGACCCCAGACAGGAACAGGTGTGTGTACGGAGAATGTCCCTAAATCGTAGTCCAGGGCACACCCTCCCACACAGAGGATGTATGAAGAAGGAAACAAGCAAATGTCAGAAAATTGACCTGTATTTGGTGTTTTCCTTGTTTCTTTCCTAGAGATCGTTGAGATCCGGTGCCTGGCCCTGTTGCTTGTGTTGGAGGTATGTACGGAGTAAAGAAGCTTGACGAGTGATCGGAGTCCATTGATTGGCAAGGGACACACTTGGGTTGAGGTGCAGCATTCGCCGGCCTCAGGGGCTAGGGCCAGGGACTGGTGCCAGTGCCTGTTGTTCCTTCAGACCAGTACCGGTAGGTATTACCCGTGGCACCGGCCGCTGGGAAGCCGCTGGTTGCCTGTGAGTACCTTACATATGAGATCAGAGGGGGGAGTGTCAGATCGTTAATTACCTCGAGATTCAAATCGTGACGTGGGCTTGATGTTGGTTGACCTTTAAGCTGCGACTACCTGGCCCAACTAAGGCCCCTGGAAGTGCAGCGCACCTTACCTTAGTTACCTAAGGATACTATGCGTAATTACTTTCGAGTAAGGTAGCTTCTTGACCTGATACCAGATAAGGCACCAGACAGGAATCTTTGCTGGACGCATCAAAGCTGAGCCCAGTCTTTACGTTGTCAGTTCCCCTCGTTTGTAAGGGGCATGATGTCAAAACAAAACAACAAACTCCCAAACAACTAAAGTTACTATTGGATTTGGCACTATGGGTGGGACAAAAAAGAAAGAAAGAAAGAAACCCGCCAGGAAAGCTAACAAGTCCGTTTAGATTGGTTTCTTCTGGTTGAACCCCCCTCGAAACCCACCACATATGTCCAGTTACGTACTCTCCTCGATCATCTTGACCGCAATCCGTCGTAAATGCGACATGAAGGCTTCACCGCTTCCTGAACTTCGCACTTTTAGCACGTTGGGGGCGGAATAAGTGTACCTACATAGAAAGAAACATTAAGAGATCAGGTCCATGAATGTATCTGGACTTCTACGCCGTATTTCTGACCGAAGACCTGTGCGGGTAGTGCTTGGCCCGTGTTGACCAAGAATCCGACGGATCACAGGTTCACTTTGACCTCAGAGCAGGCATGCAATGTAGATACATACGAATACTCCGTGGAGCGTTTTTCGAGGTTTGGGCTCCATCAGGTACCGTATCCAAACGGTCGGGGTGATTCGTAGCACCGAGAAAAATGCCGGCTTGACAGTTGACGGTTCGTTGAGGCGATGTTCTTCTGTCATGTTCTTTTCCCCCTTACTGTTTCCGTTACCCGCCAAGTTAACCCCCCATTTAACACGAGGTGCGGAGAATTAGAGGTACGCACTGCGAATGCAACCTTGTGTCCGCTGCAATACTTCGTACCTCGTACGTACTTCGTAGCTTGCAGCACCCGTGCTCTCCGCTTTGAACCCCCCGTGGTCGGGTCTGCAATGCGCCCCTCCTTCTCCCCACTACCCGAACCTACCTGCGCTTGCCTTTCGATTGCTTCGCCAGTCTAGCCCCATGCTTGCCCATCTGAGACGGTAGTCCTTGGACATGCCCATAAAAGCTGTCCAAGCTCCCGCGTTTTCCTTCTTCCTAAGCCTCCATCCCCTTACTATCCCGTTACTTTTTCTCCTTCCCTTCTACATACCTCTCGTCGTCGTCCTGTTCTACTCCTCGATACCCCCTTCCACTGCGAACGACAGCCATCGTCTTACTCTATTCGCACTCTCTCGGTATCATTCGTTCACACCACTATTATTGCCGCCATTACCTTCGTTCGACGACATCCATCGATCTCGAGTCTCTCGCCTTTTCCATCTTCGTACGCAACTCGAAATAATAAGTCAAGATGTGGTATGTATGGGCTTTCCCCTTGTGTTCCTTGCTACACCTTAATGTGTGAAAAGGGGGCATTGCTATCCTTCTATAACACATTCACCCTGTCCCTTTCTCAAGGCTCCTCTACCGGTGCCCCAATTACAGCTTCGGAGCCTCCCTCTGAGGTTCGAGAGGAGTGCGAGAGTCAATAAAAAGGGGAGAGGGGGAGTCGCCCTACCCTCAGTCATGCATGGCACCACACCCGCAGTTGTGTTCGACTCGCACTGCCCAGCTTGCTGCTCACCGCATACCCCTCACTTCGCACTCGCTCGGTTCTCGGAATTTCCCTGCAAACCATCTGTGGCTAATAATCGTTTTTTTCTACAGCGGTATTTTCGGATACGTGAACTACCTGGTGGAGAAGGACCGCAAATTCATCCTCGATACTCTGATTAATGGTGGGTAAAACTGTCCGCCATCGGCTCCCTCCTAATATTCCTAGCGTTGAAAATGCGCTGGATTCCCCTGAATCCGGTTCTTTCATTGCTTTGTCCCTCCTTGAAGCCCCACTAGCTTCGTACCCATAATCATTGTCCCCTCAGCAACTTGCCAATAGCCCGACTGCGCCGCCTCCCCCCGGTGCTGACACTGACGTCTCTGCCCACTCGTCTAGGTCTCTCACGCCTCGAATACAGAGGATACGACTCAGCCGGCCTAGCGATAGATGGTGACAAGAAAAATGAGGTTCTTGCGTACAAGGAGGTCGGCAAGGTCGCCAAACTGAAGCAGCTCATCGAGGAGGCCAAGCCCGACCTTACCTGCGTGTTCGACTCTCACGCCGGTATTGCCCACACCCGCTGGGCTACTCACGGTCCTCCCTCGCGCGTCAACTGCCACCCTCACAGGTACGCTCAATTGCAAAATCACAACAGGCCAACCTCTGAGCTAGTCGTGTCAATTTCCCCGTCTTTCCCCACGGGAATGCGCCCTTGTGCGAAAGACAACGAGAAGGAGGAATGACTCGTGTGGACATTATCGGGTTGCCTTGTTTATTTTATGTTTTTCTGCCGTGCTTCGGGGCTGTAAAAAGCTGCTAACTAAGAGGCTTTCTCTAGGTCTGACGTCAACTGGGAGTTCACCGTCGTCCACAATGGCATTATCACAAACTACAAGGAGCTCAGGACGCTCCTCACATCGAAGGGGTTCAGGTTCGAGACGGACACAGACACGGAGTGCATTGCGAAGCTCACCAAGTATATCCACGATCAGCATCCTACCATTGGCTTCACCGACCTGACCAAGGCGGTGATTCAAGAGCTCGAGGGCGCCTACGGTTTGCTCATCAAATCCGTCCACTATCCTCATGAGGTCGTCGCCGCTCGTAAGGGTTCGCCCCTTGTCATTGGCGTCAAAACTCAGCGTCGCATGAAGGTCGACTTTGTCGACGTGGAATACTCGGATGAGAACGCCGCCCTTCCCGCCGAGGCTGCCTCCCAAAATGTCGCCCTCAAGAAGCAGGACGGTCTGCTCAGCCCTAGCTCTCTCCTTGCCGCTCCCGACAAGTCCCTCCTCCACCGCTCTCAGTCCCGCGCTTTCATGACCGATGATGGCATGCCCATGCCGACCGAGTTCTTCCTTTCGTCCGACCCTTCTGCTATTGTCGAGCACACCAAGAAGGTCCTGTACCTCGAGGACGACGACATTGCCCACATCCACGAGGGTTCCCTCAACATCCACCGCCTCAAGAAGGCGGACGGCAGCTCCAATGTCCGCACCATCCAGACTCTGGAGCTCGAGCTCCAGGAGATCATGAAGGGCAAGTTCGACCACTTCATGCAGAAGGAGATCTTCGAGCAGCCCGAGTCTGTCGTCAACACCATGCGTGGTCGTCTCGACGTCGAAAACAAGGCCGTCACCCTCGGCGGTCTCCGCTCATACATCTCGACGATCCGCAGATGCCGACGGATAATCTTCATCGCCTGTGGTACTAGTTATCACTCGTGCATGGCGGTGCGTGGCGTATTCGAGGAGCTTGTTGAGATCCCCATCGCCGTTGAACTCGCTTCCGACTTCCTTGACCGTGAGGCTCCTGTTTTCCGTGATGATACCTGCGTCTTCGTCTCTCAGTCTGGCGAGACGGCCGACTCGCTCATGGCCCTCAAGTACTGCCTGGAGCGCGGGGCGCTGACCGTTGGTATTGTCAACGTCGTCGGCTCCTCCATCTCCCTGCTCACCCACTGCGGTGTCCACATCAACGCCGGCCCAGAGATCGGCGTCGCCTCCACCAAGGCGTACACCTCCCAGTTCATCGCCATGGTCATGTTTGCCCTGTCGCTCAGCGAAGACCGCGCATCCAAGCAGAAGCGTAGGGAGGAGATCATCGATGGCCTGTCTAGGATCAGCGACCAAATCCGTGACATCCTCACCCAGGACCAGGCCATCAAGGAGCTCTGCTCCAACACCTTCAAGAACCAGAAGTCTCTCCTGCTGCTCGGCCGTGGTAGCCAGTTCTCCACTGCCCTGGAGGGTGCGCTCAAGATCAAGGAAATCTCATACCTCCACTGCGAGGCTGTCATGTCGGGCGAGCTGAAGCACGGCGTGCTGGCTTTGGTCGATGAGGACCTTCCCATCATCATGATCTTGACACGCGACAACATCTTCAAGAAGTCTCTCAACGCTTATCAGCAAGGTATGTGTTTTTGTTTTGGCTGGGCTCTTTTCATCTTCCTGGCTTCTTGCCCGCCGTTACCTCTCGACCGTTTGAGTTGGTTTACTGACTTTTGTCTTTTTTTTTTTTTTGCAGTCATTGCCCGCGGCGGCAAGCCCATTGTTATCTGCAACCCCGACGACCCCGAATTCGAGGCCAGCCAAGCCCAGAAGATCGAGATCCCCAAGACGGTCGACGTCCTTCAGGGTATCCTCAACGTCATTCCCCTGCAGCTCATCGCCTACTGGCTCGCCGTCATGGAAGGGCTCAACGTCGACTTCCCGCGCAACTTGGCCAAGTCGGTGACTGTCGAGTAAATATGGGAAAGAACTACTCCTATCTGTATTCCATAATATTCGCACCAGGAGTCGAAACGAAGGGTGTTTTTATAACGCCTCCCCTTGGCGGATCAAACAAGGAGTTGGGATGCCTTATATGGGACGAGGAACTAGGCAGGCCGGTCCTTGGGTTTTTGTTAATTGTTTTGCTTTGGTCAGATACCTCATTATGTGTTCTGCTTTTCATCATGGGAGAGAGAAAAAGACGGGGGATCGGATATATAGTGGGGGATCGCTCATGTCATCATGTATTACTGGGAAGGAAGACGGTAACGGCTGGATTCGTGGTGGGAGCGTAAATGATAGCGAAAAAAATGATCCATCACCTGATTACTCCCGGGTTCTAATCTCGTCCTTTCGACTCGTAGTTTGGGTCTCGGGTCCTTTTTGACTTGATGAGAACCAAATGTTATTTATGGGGTCTCTGACTTGAGTTGGTCTTGCATTTACTTGATCAATCGGAATTCTGTCATCAGTGAAGCGCTTCTGGTGATGCTCAAAAGTCATCATTGTGTCATGGGCAGTTTGGTTTGTGAGGGAGTCTCATATATTCCCATTTAATGTTACAAGCCCACGGCTCCCTTTTCACGACCATCTACCCTGTAGCCATCTTCTTAGCCGGGGTACGCTTCCTTGGGCCCTGGCAATATGTGTACGTTTGTCACATTATCGAAGCTTCAACTGATGCCACTTGCCTCTGGTCGCTCTCTTCTCCAAAGAACCTTCCGTCCCTCCCCCTTTCTTTCCCCCACAGGACCACCGGGACCACCCCTCCCTTAAGCCGTCTGCGTTCCGTAGCCGCGGATCCTCTCAGCGAAAGCCCAGCTCTGGTTCTCCAGCTTCTCATTCTCCTTGAGGTCGACGCCGTCCTTGGTGACAACGGCGATGCTGTACGAGTCTAGGGAGCGGGCGTCGCGGTAGAAGAGGACCTTCATGCACTGCTTGACGACGTCGACGGCCTGTTCGCGGGTGAGGCGGGCGGCGGCCTCCTCGTCGGGGGCGAAGCGGCGCATGATGGGCTGGGCGAGCATGCTGCCGAAGCCGGTGGCGAGGCTGGGGGCGGAGAAGGTGGTGCCGAGGAGGTCGGCGGCGGCGAGGAAGGGCTTGTCGTCGTCGTCGAGGCCGGCGACGAGGAGGTGGTTCCAGAGCGGGTCGAACTTGGAGCGGCGGGCGTAGAGGAGCTTGGCGAGGTACTTGTGCAGGTTGGCGGCGTTGAGGCGCGCCTTGGGGGGCCCGCCGGCGTCGGAGTCGAGGGAGGGCGCCGAGTAGGACTCGTCGATGGCGAGGGAGGTCAGGTGGCGGTCGAGGTACTGCATGTCGGAGACGTCGCCGCCGAAACCAATGACGGTGGAGTCGGCGAATGTGCGGAGGCGCTTCACGTCGGTGAAGCGGGCGAGGGAGCCGTAGGAAGCTGGGAAACAGCAGCACAGAACCGGGTTAGTGATTATTTGAACTTTGGGGGGTTATTTTGACGAGGCTAAAGGGGGGGGGGGGGAGACAAACCCAGGTTATCTGCGGCGATGACGACGCCTTCGCTGAACTTGATGGCGACGACGGAGGTACCAGTCACGATAGGAGATTGTGTTGCTTGGTTGGGGCCGTTGGGGTTCATGAAGGAGGCATCGTAAGCGCCGTAGACGTCATCTCTGGGCTGTTGGCGGAGGTCAGCATGAGGTTTACGAATAGGAGGACGGACGAGGCTGAAGGGGGGCATGGAGACAACATACGCGACCCCAAGCTTGCGGTCTGTGATCCATTTTTCCGTGTTGTTTGAAAAGAATGGTTTACGAAGAGCCAGCACTTTGCGGTAGGAGGAGATGTAACGGTGAGAAGAAGGATTGGCGAGTGTTGTGGGGAGTTAGTCGGGAGTCGGAAGCTGTGGTTGCAAGTTGGGTTGGAGTGCAAAGCTACCTATGGAGTTGAGGTTGGCTCGTGCAGCTCTGATATGATAGCTTCGTGTCTCGCTGGTGCCTCCGGGCTGTGGTGCAGAGTACGGAGTACGTAAGGTACCTTAGACTTCTGGCTGAATAAGCGGATACCCCACTCGGGGTCACCCAGCTGGGACACAGGCACGCACTGCTGCATTCGGTTCCAGGTTGATGACGCAGGGGGGGTGTCCAGGGGAACGAGAGGTAGGTAGTACCTAACGTGCTCACCAATCTCTACACGTTGAGCATGTACCTTGACGATGAAGCACGGGCAAAACAAACCGGGGTTGGGTAATACGGTCGCATGTCCTTGTGCATCCTTGACACCTGCATAAGGCAACCACACACCACCCTTTGGAAAACAGACGGTCTTCGAGAAAGGATTGAAGATTCGAGGTTCTGAGGATTCATCTCAATCCTGAAAAGCCAAAAGCTAGCATTCCGTCGCCTCAATTTCTCCCTGCTTCGAATTGTTTATTTCGAGATTCAGCTATGTTGACAGCTATCGGCCGGGTGGCGGCGGCACGCGTGCTGGCACGCAGCAACCTGAAGCTTCTGGTCCGAACAACCACGGCCACTACCGCCGCCCCTTTCACCTACCTGAAGCCGACACCGGCCCGAAGCTTCACGACAACACAATGGACGCGTGCTGCGGACGAGGCCGACGACTCGACCAAGTCCGGCGCCTCCAAGAAAGCTACAAAGTCAACAGCATCCCAGGCGGCAAAGAAGGCTGCGAAGCCGAAGTCGAAGCCGAAGCCGAAGCGGAAGCCCAAGAAGAAGGCGGCAAAGAAGAGGACCATGTCGCGGGAGAACCAGCTGAAGCTGGAGATTCGGCATCTCAAGGCTGCCACCCTCCAGGACGCGCCCAAGAAGCTGCCCCAGACGGCGTGGACGGTCTACACTTCCGAGGGCATCGCCCAGGGCATGGGCGCGGTCACCGAGCGCATGAAGCAGCTCAGCATCGAGTACAAGTCTCTCTCCTCATCCGAGCTTGAGGTACGATTTCCTGCTTCTCCCAATGTTTGGACGCGCTTTGTCTGATTATCCGTGCTAACTCTCTTCTTCTCTTCGCTTCTCCCTTCTTTCAGCGCCTCCAAGAAAAGGCCGACGAGAACAAGACCGCGAACCACGAAGCCTACAAGGCATGGTTGCAGCAACATGACCCCGAGACTATCTACGCCGCCAACGCGGCCCGCGCCAGGCTGGACCGCCTGCTCCCCGAAGGCCGCTACAAGAGCTACCGCACTCGCATCCGCGACCCGCGCCTGCCGAAGCGGCCCAGGTCTGCCTACACCCAGTTCTCCCAGGAGCGCTGGGCTACCGGAAACCTCACCGGCAGCCCCCCCGAGCTGGCGAAGGAGATTGCTGCCGAATACAAGGCGCTGCCCGCTTCGGAGAAACAGGTAAACTTTTTTTTTTTTCTCTCTCGTCTTTGTGTTCCTCTTCAGAAACGTGACCGGTGGGGGGAAAGATGTGCGAACGGTAGAGCTGACTCTGGACAGAAATATATTGACCTCGCGGAGGTTGATCGCGAGCGCTACGTGAGGGAAATGGAAATTGTGCTGAATAAGAAAGTCAAGAGCCGTTCTGCCACTCCTCCTTCCCCGTAAGGGCAGCGCGATTCTCCATCGGCACTCCATCGGCACATAATATCTTGTATTACCCCTGACTGGACTCAAAGTTCTTTTCCTGTACTAGCATTTGACGGGGCGGTGGTTAAGGTGGTGAAGTCGCGAAAGTTGGTTGTTGGTTTCTCGGCACTGTTTGATCGGAGAATACTCGTTAATTCTGTCACTCGGGATGGCCGTTTCCATGACGAGGCTGGGATGGTCGACTCCGTTCTATTGTGAAAGGGTGGGTTGCCGGCGAGGAAGCCTAGTATAACTGTATCGATACCAATTTTACCGGATTCATATTTGGCAAAATCGTCAGGGAATATGCTCTTGTTACTCCTCGGTTTCGTCCCAGTTTCCATCCTCGAGAGTCCGTCATGCCGAGAAAGTGAAGAAGTGTCCATAGTTCGTCTATGGGATATTCAAAAAGTCATCCACTCGTTCCCTCAATAGAAATAATCCAATCATGTCCCTTCCATAACCAATACGACCTCCCCGGCAGCGTCTATCCAGGATGCCCGTGCCGTCCTCGACTTCCTATAGCTGGAAGCGTACAGTAAAAAGTAAACGTGTCTGGCGACATGCCCAAAGCAGTAGACACGAACCCAGCGCCAGTCCTCGTCTCTACAGCACCACGTTCCCCATCCGGCAACCCCCTCGCCGCTCACGAACTTGGCCAGCGAGCACCACATCAGCTGGGGAAGGTCATCCGTCCACGCGGAACAGTCGATGAACCAGTACCCTCGCTCAAACGGCGATAGCTGCCGTCGCATCTCGACGGAAGCAAACCGCGACCCCTGTTCTTGAGACGATGGTTGTTGCGAGCACGTGTCGAGATCGGCCGCGAGCTTCTCCAAGTGAGGGGTGACAAAGTCGTCAGGTGTGACGACGTCGTTGGAGACACGGGGAGCCGGGGAGTGAAGCTCCGTCGCGTAAAGGTGGGGAGGGTTGAAGCGCTCGAGATACCTCCGACCCCGTTCGAGAGCGTCGTCCATGGTCAGGCCGAGGCTGCCCTCGCTGGAGCTCCGCAAGAGCCGCGGCGGGGGAGTCATGACATCCTCGCACGCCGCCGCCGTCCCTCTGTGCCGCTTTGGAGGGGCCGGCTCGGAATCCGCTCGGAACCGAAGGGGTGAAAGTGTCCGCTTTCGAGAGGTGACGAAAACGAAACCGGGGACATCATCCGCGACACCTTCGCCATCTTCGAACACGGTGTCTTCGATGACCGTCCCGTTGCCTGCCTCGTGGTCGTGCTCTTCGACGTGAGAAACCTCTAATGGGCGTGGGGGAGTGGCGGGTACAATGCTGCTATCGCTCCGTCCACTCGAGCGGGCACCTGGTCGTGAAAGAACCACGTCGTCGTCGTCTGGCGCCGTGGGAAGAGCGACATCTAGCTCACTTTGGCTGCTGCTGACTTGCGTACTGCAGGCCCGTTCTCGCCGGGAGGAACCCGCCCGAGACGACGACGACGACTGGGATTCGGCCTGGGTGCTCTGGAAATCGCCCAGGAAGTGTTCAATCAAGCGCCTGGGGGACGTAAACCCCGACAACCGGATGTCATTCATCGGGAGAGAGTCGGGAATGGTGCTTGGAGGCGCCAACCAAGAATCCTCCATCTGAGAGCTGCTGCTATCCTGTCTACTAGCCTGCGAGGGTTCCAGCGTTCCTTCTGGTGGCAGCGCAGCCATGCCCACGGTGACGCGCGGTGAGCCCGCGTTATCCAGGACACTGGCGAAGGACAGTTGTGGTGATTCGAGAGAGATGCTACCAGGAAAGCTGGCCTCGCAACCTTGAGCACCAACATCATTCGACGATCTTGGAGTCCGAGATGGCTCTTGGGCCTGCCAACTGCGGGAGATCACTGTTGTCCGCGCACTGGGAATGAAGGCCAGGTAGGCGGATGCTAGTGACCGGTACCGCGCATCGTCGGAAGACATTGCCGGCGCGGTGGCATGCGCCAGGATCTCGACGTTTGGGGTCATGATGACAGCTGTGTATTGTAAGAGACACCAATGTGGCTCATGATCAAAACGCCGGATAGAGAATAAGGTGGAGAGTGAAGAGGCATGTCGATAATCGGAGACTGTTACGGAAACGTTTTATGAGGCGAAGTTGATGGTAAGACGAGTTGAGTTCTAGGGAAAGGTAACTTGATGGAAAATACCAAGATGAAGTACTCCGCAGACGATGTCATGCGGGAGAACTACAATGTACCTTAGGCAGATGCGGCGGCACGGGCTCTCGAGGGTCCCAAGGTGGAGCGTGCCTGGATGCACCCGCCACACGACCCACCTGGGACTTACAATGTAAGGTACCTTACGTGCCGAGCCACAGGCCCTCAACGAACCACTGGATTGGTAAAGGAGCAGAGCAGTAGTGACAACAAGGTACATCGAATACAGCAGGTCAGCAGGTACAGCAGGTACAGCAGGCAAGGTACGTAAGGTAAGGTACCTTTTATTAGGTAGGTAATCATTTTCTGTACCCCAGACCATCACCGACTACAGCTGAAAGTTGGTTGCTCCTTTTCTTCTTATTTTTTCGCCTTTTTTTTCTTACACTTCCTCAATCACAGCCTTGCTCCCCCCCTTTTCAACTCTCCCCCATCTCTTCATCTACCCCCCCTGTCTCCCGCCACCTGCCGCCCATCATGTCCGAGAAACCCGTCACCACGGCGCAAAAAGCACGCGAGCTAGGCCGCGTCCTCGTGATCGGCGGCAACGGCTTCCTGGGCCACCACATCGTCAACCAGATCCTCGACGACCCTCTCTGGGCCGCCTCTCACCTCTCCGTAATCGACCTACGCTGCACCCGAAACCGCCGACCCGACACCGATAAAGTCGCCTACTACGAGGCCAACATTTCCGACGCCGAGAAGGTCCACTCCATCCTCGAACAAGTCAAGCCCGACGTTGTCATCCACACCGCCAGCCCGGCACCACAAGGCGACGACGACATCGCCAAGGACCTCTTCAAGCGCGTCAATGTCGACGGCACCGCCGCCGTCATAGCGGCCTGCCAGCAGGCCGGCGTCAAGGCCCTCGTCTACACCAGCTCGGCCAGCGTCGTCACCGACAACAGCAGCAACACCATCAACGCCGACGAGCGCTGGCCCCTCGTCCGCGGCGACATGCAGCCCGAGTACTACACCGAGACCAAGGCGGCGGCCGAGGAGCTCGTCCTGGCCGCCAACCGCAAGGACCCGCACCCGACCTTCCTCACCACCGCCATCCGGCCCGCCGGCATCTTCGGCGAGGGCGACGGCATGGTGACGCACCAGCTCATCAAGATCTACCGCCAGCGCCGCACCGGCTTCCAGATCGGCGACGGCGAGAACCTCTTCGACTTCACCTACGTCGGCAACGTCGCCCACGCCCACCTCCTCGCCGCGCGCCTCCTCCTCGTCACCCACCGCGCCGGCGCCTCCTCCATCCCGCTCGACTACGAGCGCGTCGACGGCGAGGCCTTCTTCGTCACCAACGACTCGCCCGTCTACTTCTGGGACTTTGCCCGCGCCGTCTGGCGCGCCGCCGGCTCCGACAAGGGCACCGGCCACGTCTGGGCCATGTCCAAGGAGCTCGGCCTCGTCCTCGGCTTCTGCAGCGAGGTCTTCTTCCACATCCTCGGCAAGCCCCCCACCTTCACCCGCCAGCGCTGCACCTATAGCTGCATGACCCGCTACTACAACATCTCCAAGGCCAAGCGCGTCCTCGGCTACCAGCCCATCGTCAGCCTCGATGACGGTATCAAGAGGGGCGTCAGGTGGTTCCTTGAACAGGAGGCCGCCGGTCTAGTTCCTGCAGCCAAATAGATGGGAAATGGGCTTGGTGTTGTGGGGTGTTGGGGGGTGTTGGGGCGCCGCATTAGCTGTTGGGTACTGTCCTTCTCACCCGGGGAAGAAGAAATCTTGTGCTCATACTACATCAGAATCAGAAGAAAAAGGTGGAGAGATGGGGACTGCGGATGTAAACAACGCTCGAGGAGGTGTCTGTCTACCTTCTTGTATAGTCGCGCCTGGAAGCACACGATATCTTCGTCTTTTCTTTTCTTCTCTTCTTTCTTTCTTCCTTTTCTTTCTTCTTTTGTTTTACCTTTCTCTTGTTTCTTTGTTCATACCTCTATATACTTTTATTCTACTGTTTATGAGCGGTTAGGCAAGGTCACAAGAATAAATTCATGGTATAATGATTAACCACAATAAACAATCAGACATCATACCCTAACAAGCAAAAATGTGCATGTTTTTTTCGCCTTCACCATGGGAGAGGGAACTGGTAGGTTTCCTGGCCAAACCAACTTGACTACGGCCATGCTTCACTGCAGGGACTCTCCTATTCCCTTTTGCATGTGTGTCTGTGTGCTTATTGAGTTCTTTTTGGTTCCCACTATGCTCCAGATGGTTTGGTGACCAGTTATTCTTCCCTTCCTCACGCCAACACTATCGCCCTAAGGGGCCCCCTGACCTAGCATCAAAGCACCAAGATATCCCGTGAAGCCAGGTGGTATCCTGACCAACCTCTCGCCAAACCATGCAAGGCACCTTATGGGTGTGTGTCTCCATGATGGAAACACCTTTTGAACCCCCTTCCTCCCTTATCTCCCCAGAAAAGACAAAGCTCACTCCAAGCACTCCAAAATACTCCCATACTGCCTCTGTCTGGGGCATTATGAGGCAAGAAACGAAGCAGAGAAAACAAGAAATGCGGGAGAAAGAAAGAGAAGAGCATGCTGTCTCCTATCCTATACTCCCTGCATCAGAAGAACCAATACTCGTCAAAACCTGTTTTCTTTTACCCCTTCTCCATGAAGGGTGGCGTCTAGGCCACAATGACCAAGCCTCTCTCCCCTTCTGCCCTTCTTCCCCCAACTCCCCTCGCACGTTTTGTGATGCGCATAACCCGACTATTTTCCGGAGGTATCAAGAAAAAACAAAGGTGTTTTGGTCTGGTACGAATTGGGGGTACCAGTCAGGATGCCCAGGAAGACACGAAAAAAAAAAGAAGAAAAAAGAAGAAGAGACTGGAGACGCACTAACAAGATAACAAAGCAGAGTGAAGGAAGAATAACGTAGAGGGAAAAAAAAAAGGAGTCAAAGAAGGGAGGTAAGAGGATTGTCATGATGGCGCCAGTCGTCAGTCTTCCTCAAAACAGGACAAAAGAAAAGAAGAAGAAAATAGAACCAAAAGAACAGCACTTGGCTGTGCCATCCATGATAAGAAGGCTGGAAACGCCACACTGATGCAAAAAAAGGCCGGCTCTCTGCAAGAAGGAAAATCACCAAACCCACCAGTACCTCAAGTACTGTATGGGTAGGACATTGTGCCATTTTTGTCTTCTCCTTTCGTTTTTATATGCGCGCGGAGCAAGTGTCGTTCTTAAGATGGATGGTCGCATTCACGTGTTACCGCCCACTCCAACTCCACCATTCTGCCGTCCCCATGCCGAATTGCGCCATTCTTTCCGCTGGTTGCCGTCAGCATGGTCAATATGCGGCTCCGAGTGGCTTCTGTAGGCGGTGTTGTGGGTGGGATCGCTAGGCCCCCTCAAGAACTGCGGCGGCGTTCCCAAGCCCGGGTTGCTGTTGTTGTTGGTGCTGTTGTTGTTGTACGGCATCAGAGGGTCCTGGACAGGCCGGACACTGCTCGCCTGTGTGAAGGCGGCAGGGTCTGTGTCGACCCGAGTGGGCGGTGGTCGAGACGAGTTGTCCTGACGGTTATGTACCTCGCTGACTTCCCCGTACGCTGGTCTTTGGCCCATCCGGTCTTGGAATCGCTTCAGGATCTCCTTGGTCGAGAGGTCGGCATTGGCACCACCACTAATCACAGATGGGTCTTCCATCAGTCGCATCACCTCCTCCGGGACCTACAAGGGCATTGTTCGTCAGCGGGGCAAAGTAAAAGAGGGAAAAAGTGTTGCGTGTAAAAACACACGTATAAACTTACCAAACACATCTCCTCAATGTGAGTAATCAACTCCTCCACAGCGGAAATCGCCCACATGTGATCAGTGTCCAAGGCGAGCGTCTTGGAACTCGTGTACAGGATATTGGGCGTAATGACGGTGGAGAGGTTCTTAATGTCCATCCTGGACCCGGCTTCCTCGTCCACCTGATGGAAGGAGCCAGCCCACTTCAGGAAGCAGAACAAAATCTCCATGCAGTCCCGGTGCGCCTTGGGGAGCAGGCAGCAGGTCAGATGCAGGCACTGCCGTCGCCGCTCGGCGTCCGGGATCTTGGCCACGGCGAGCCACAGGCGGAAGAGCCTGTGCGTGAGCAGGGGGTCCGGCAGGTCGCGGAGATAGCGCTTGAGCAGGGCCGCGATCTGGATGACATTCTGCTCCGTCAGGTTGGCGCTCTCGCATCCGTCCCTGTCGATCCTCTCGATCAGTTCCGTCGCCTTCTTGATGTTGCCGTTCTTTCGGAACACCCCTTCCACCGAAAGGTCCATGCCCTTCATCGACCTGATCAGGTCATCGATGATGGCGGGGATCTTGAGCGCGCCCGGTCCAACCCCGTCCGTCGACTCGGCCCCGTCCTTCTCAATGATGACTTCGAGCGGCACACGGAAGACGCCCTTCTTCTTGTTGTTCTTCTGTCGGTCGTTCTTGAACGCCTTCCCCAGGTTCTTCCAGAAGGTGGGCGGCTTCTTCGATTCGATGAAGCTCAGCAACTCGTCTAGTGAGAATTCGTTTTCCACGTAAGGGTGCATGATCAGCACAGCCAGGTGCCGAACGTTGAAGTATTCGAGACCGGAGAGCTCCGAGAAGAACTTCCTGCCGCCCATGCGCGGTGCCTGATCGCCGGGACGCAAATCTCCGTGGCGGCCCTCCGACCGGGACCGTTGGAGAGCGAAGGAGGTACCTGATGCCGGAGTTCGGAAAGGGTCCTGGCGTCCGGGCTGGTTGTGTTCCCGGACCTGTTCCGCGGCGGCGATTCGGGGAATGTCGTCGAGCGTCAGCGCATCCTGGTGGCCGAACATCATGTCGTTCGTCCCGCCGGGTGAGAGTCCTGCGCCATCCATGTTGCCCGCGGGGCCGCCGCGAGCCTCCTCCGTCCCTTCCTGGACGCCCTGGCCATCCTGGCCTTCGAGAACCCGCGACGTGCGAGCTTTCCTGAAGCTTGCCGACAGGTGTTTGTCGAGCCGGGTGCTTCGCAGGCGACGGACGTCATTCAGAGTGTTCTCGTACGACGACTCTCGGTGGTGCTCGGATGAGCCGCTCGCATACGACTTGGATCGCGAATCGGACTTCAAGGGGTGAGCTACATCCTCAGCCTCGCTGGCAGCCGCTCGCTCGCCTTCCGTGGCATACCCGTTCGACCGAGGGTCCAGGTCTTGGCGCGAGAGAGCTCCACTGCTCTTCAGGATATCCAATAGCCTTGCTAGCGCGACCTTGAGGAGAAAGACGTATTGTTGCAGTTTGGTAATGTGTTCGAAGGGATGCATGTCCTCCGCGTCGATGCTGATGCAGTTGCTGCAGTAGATCTTTCTGTCGAAGGCGTTGTACCGGGCATCTTCGAGCTGGCGCCCCAACTCGACGTTGCACCTCGCGCACTTGACGCAGGCAATATGCCATCGCCTGTCCTTGTTGAGGGCGCACTCGTCCTCGACGGATTTGGTGCAGAGCGCGCAATGATCCGAGTCTTTTGCTGAGAGGCGCGGGGAGCTCGTCAGGACTTGAAAAGACGGGTCGTCGGGCTTGAGCGACTCCAAATGGCTTAAATCATCGAGGAACTGATAGATGCCGTCGGAACTGTTCGATTCGCGCTCGAGTCTCAAGGCTCCTTGCAGACAGATCCGGATGAGGAGCTTCAGATAATGGGCGAGGCCGGTGACCAAGGTGAGGAGTTCCTGTGTAACGCCAAGCTTGCGAGCCCCTGTGTCCTGCGTTTTGGACAGGAGCGAAAAGAAGGAAACGATTTTTTTGCAGAGCAGCTTGGCCTCCCGACCATATGACAGGCCTAGAAAGAAAGAAAGAAAGAAAGAAAAAATCACAAGTTAGCGCCAGGGTGGGCAAGGTGGAAACAAAGCTGAAGCGGTCACCACGTGGAAATGGGCTTCGTACCCTTGATCTCTGACCGATGCATGGTCATATCAAGCTGGTCGGCGGCGGTGAAGAGCACCTCGACGTGCCAGATGAACTTCTTAGCCACCAAGACGCCGTCGACGTAGGCTCCGTTACTAACGTGAAGCAGCATGTCCGAGATGCACGCTGCCGAGGATTCTTCAAAAGTAGACAGGACGCTCCAGATACGATAGACCTTCTCCTCCATCCGCTCTTCTTCTTCGCGTATGCTGTCCCGGACGGCATCGTCGTCGGAGTCCATGATGGCTCTTTCGGCTTCGGCCGAGGAGGATAGTCGTACGTTCCAGAACTTGTGGATCATGTAGCATTCCGGATGCCAGTGTTGGTTCTGTCCGTTTCGGAAGATCTCGACGAACTGCTTGAGGATGGAGGTGTGGCAGCCATTGCAGCGTTGGGCGAACTGGGTCGAGTAGTGGAAGTGGCAGTAGACGTTGCCGTCGTGCTCGTAGTAGCTATCTTGTGCCCCGAAGACGGTCGGGCACAGGGAGCAGGTGAAATGGTTGACGTGATACTTCCGATCCAGCGCCGTGATGTACGAACCTCTGAGGGCGCCTCCACACTGGAAACACAGCAAACCGAGGCGTCGGAAGTAGTCGGTTTCGCAAAGGGGGTACTGGCCTTCGCCATCGTTGTCGTCGGCCGGGAAGAACTTGGAAGCTACAATTTGACCGCAGTCCTGGCAAGGTGCGTACATGTTAGAAAACAAGAGTCCCGGTAGTCTGGATAGGTGCGCGCGGTCTTCTCCTTGCTGTCTGTTTTGGTTGTTTTGGGCTCTTACTCGACACTTAAAACAGTCCAAATGGAATGTCCCGTCCAACGCGCGCACAAACTGGCCTGTCAAAGGCTCGCCGCATTTTTTGCATATTCTTTGCGGACCGCTCGCCGATCGACCGCTCCGATGTCTGGATCTGTTTCGTTCGCCGCTACGCCGCGTATCGTCGTCGGGAGGGGGGATGTTGTTGGGGGATTTGCGGCCGGGGGACTCGGAGGGGGGAGGGTAGAGGACACTGTTGTCTGGTGTTTGTCGGCCGCCATTTGCCCAGCCCCTGTTGTCCATGGGATAACCAGGACTCATCACTGCGGGGTGGTTGTGGCCGAGGAACCGGTCGTCGGCCGGCCTTGTATCGTGACCCGAGGCCATTCCGGGACCGTTCTGTTTTCTCAATCAATGTATCGACGCACGATCCTCCAACTGCACTCGCCAACCAAAGGGGGTGAGGTGCTATATGTGTACCCTGTCAGCCTCTTGTGCCAAACAGAGGGGTGGACAGAGAAATATCGGTCGTCATCAGCTCCGGCGTTTGTTTGCTGAACACGTAGAGGGCAAATAAGGAAACCCGAAAGGACCTTGTAAGTTTTTGTGCTGTGATGTTCGCGTTGCGGTGAAACTAGGAGAGGCGAAGCCCCCCAAAAAGGCGTAGAAAGGAAGAAGAAGAAAAGAAAGAAAAAAAGGAAGAAGAGAGAGGGGGGAATAGGGCAAGTGACTGTAGGAATGTTCAAGAGAATGTGCCCAGGACAACGACTGAGCGCCAACTTGTTTTGGTCGCGTTGGTCGATGGGTTTATTCAATCATTCGGTCGGCCAGGTCAGTATCGTCATTTGAAGGCGCACGCGACAGTGGTGACGCCACGATAGGAGAAGAATGGAGATGCGTGTCGAGACGATGAATGCATCAGCTGGGAAGAAGTAACAACGGCGTTGGTAGGTCGAAGCGATAAATGAGTGAGGGTCGGGGTGTAGGAGGAGGAGGAGGAG